GAGCAGTGTACTCAGTAAACCTGGCAGTGAAAGACAGGACTCGGGGATGCCTGCAAAGTTTTCAGCCCGAACCAGCCCAAGAATGGTGAGGCCATTGATGAGAGGGAAGTCAGGGGGGGGACAACCAGCGGGGAGACCATCAGAAGCTCCGAGATGAACACGTTGGAAAGCCTGACAGCCTCACTGTCAGCCAAGTGAGACATCGAGGGGGCGTTCGGGTGGACAAGCCTGGAACTTGGGAGCAAGATCCCAGTGGAACGCAGACGTGTGGGAGTCGTCCAAGATGGTATTTATAGCCCTGAGACTGGCTGAGATCACTCCAGGAGGCAGTGTGGATGGCAAGGTCCCAGGCTGGGCTCTGGGGCTCTCTGAATAATTATCGGATAATAATTACCATCGTTGCATTCCTTGAAGCATCTGGCACAGTGCCTGGCTGTCACCGAGTCCAGCGGAACGCCGTGGCGCTTTTCTTCCCACCACACTTTCCTGCTAATCGGGACCCAGATTCTGTCTCAGCCGGAGAGCAGGAAGTTAGGATCATTCAGGTAAGCAGGAAAAGACAATATTCTTAGGAATTTCTCGGAACTCAGAAGGGAACTTCGCTCTCACCTGGGGGTGGAAACTTGGCTTGTCTCAAATTCCCACTTCACTAGTGAAAGTTCCTGCAAACACAGAAATTCCATGTTCCACAGACCCCAGAATTCAGAGCTGCACGCCTTCCCTAACCTCCACTCCTCACTCCCATGCCGAGTCCCCAGGTCTAAAAGCTTTATTCTTTCTGATATTGGGAGAACTCTAAACCTGGAAGTTTGGTCTGCAGAGAGCTCGGTCACATGCATAGACCCCTTCAGTCTGTCACCTGCTTCAGGGATGCCCGAGTGGACTCTCCACTTCGCTCCCCGCCCTTGAGAGCGGCGGCACTGGGATACCGGCCTGAATCACTGGAACTGAGGCAATGCCCGCGCCGCAGGCTGCAGTGGGGCTTCTGCTTGTGCCCCAGGGATGTGGGGAAGGGGACACTGCCCGGGCTGCATCACGACCTCCTCATCCACTCAGGAGGGCTGAGTTCACCAAGAGATGTGGGGAAGCCCACGTTGGCAGAAATGATGAGAATGAACATTTCTGAACATTCAGAAGTGACTTTACCATGACACTGATTAAGCTCTGTACCTCATTTATTTTTTATTTATTTTTATTTTTAAAAGGAATGAATTTTTAAAAAGATTTTACTTATTTATCTTGAGAGGGTAAGGGAAGGAGAGAGGGAGAGAAACATCAATGTATGGTTGCCTCTCATGCGTCCCCTGCTGGGAACTGGCCTGCAATCCAGGCCTGTGCCCTGACTGGGAATCGAACCGCAATCCTTTGGTTCGCAGGCCTGTGCTCAATCCACTGAGCTACACCAGCCAGGGCTCATTTTTAAAATTTGCATATTTCTTTTCTGGAAGAAAGCTCTCAAGTTTTTATAAGTTTCAAGTCTGACAAGACTCAAGTATGGGTTATGCTGTTTAATCCTCCTAACAATGTTGGGAAGTCACTTGCACTTCATTATCCCTCTACAGACAACATCACAGAGCGTAGAAAAGCCATCTTCGGGTTCCTTGGAAATTCCACACCTTTTTTCAGCTTTTGCTCCTTCTGTCACCCTTCCTGGAACCCTGTCCCTGGCTGGCTTCTCTGCATTCCACATCTAAGGGGCCTTCACTAACCGCCCACTTTTAGGAGCTCCTTCCTTTCCTGCTACCTTAGGTATTCTCCATCCCTCACCTCTTGCTTTCTTTACGGTACTCACCGTTCTAGAATTATCTTCATTTGTGCATTTATTTTTATTTAACAGATGCATAGAACACTTACTCTGTTGCTAGGCACTGTCCCAAGTGCTTTACAAACACCAAATCATTTAATCCTCACGACTACACTGACATTGAAACTTCTTCATCCCCACTTTAAAATGGAAGAAATCGAAGCACAGAGGGGTTAAGTATGTTGTGTGAAGTCACACAGCTGATGACTTTAAATATTATCTGTTTCTCCCACCAGAAGATCCATGCACGCAGGCAGAGGGTGCATCTCTGGGCTGCCTTGTGTACTGCTGGGCCCCTGTACCCGGAGCAGTGTGTCCCATGTAGGCAGACTCTAAAAACACAGTGTGTGGGAGACGCTACAGCCAGGTCACACAGAGCAGAACAGGAAAGAGGCCTGGAGACTGGCTGTGGGAAGATGATGAAAGGCCTCAAAAAGCCACCGGAGGCAGAGGCAGGGCCAGTCTAAGGAACAAGTGGAACAAGGATGGAATTGGCAAGTGGTCTGCCGAAAGTGCTAGTAAGAAAGGAAAGGTCACGTTGACAAACTTAGTAGATGAATGAGAGACCAGGCCAGAAGCTTCTGAGTCGGCCTGGTATTCTCCCTCCTTCACACTCTGCACCCAGCGCACCAGCAGATCCTGTTGGCACCTCCAAGATGCATCTCAAAACAACTCTTCTCACCCCTTTTGCTTGCCCCTCTTTTGCTCCCACCGTGGCCCAGCCACCATCATGGCTGTCCCAGCTTCCCCCTTACCCTCTTCTACACAGCGGCCAGAGGGATCTGATGAAGTACAGTTGGGCCACATCACTATTCTGCTCATAATCTGCCAGCATGTTCCAAAGTCAACGCGTTGGCTTTCCACCTGCAGAACCTAGCCCTGCTTCTCCTCCAGCTGGTTCTTTCTTCCCTGCTCCCTCCATTTTTGCCACTCCAAGGTAGCTCCTACCCTAGGACCTTTCCATGCTGTTCCCTCTGGCTGCCAGGTTCTTCCACTTTTCATGAAGCTCACTCCTCTGTTTTTCCCCAAAAGTTAACTGCTCACTGAGGTTTGCCCAGGCCCCCTTCACCCAAAGCTCTTTGCACCTCATCCCTAATTTGCTTCCCTACTGTGCTTAAGCAGATACCCCATATAAACTTTTAAAAGTTTGTCTCCTTTGCCAGCACAAGTAACACAAACACTGATTTTTGTCAGTTTTGTTCACTGTGTTTTCCCCAATACCCACAATTAAACCTGACACATAATGGGGCATTCAATACTTGATGGCTTAATGAATGCTTATGAGCCAGGCACTGTGCAATGCACCTGGAACACAGGGTAAAGAAAACAGGCTGGCTGTTGTGGCTCAGTGGATTGAGTGCCCCTGGCCTGAGAACCCAAGGGTCACTGGTTTGATTCCCAGTCAGGACACATGCCTGAGTTGTGGACCAGGTCCCCAGTAGGGAGCATGTGAGAGGCAGCCACGTATGGATGTTTCTCTCCCTTTCTTTCTCCCTCCCCTCTCTAATAAAATCTTAAAAAAAAAAAAAAATCCCAAGGCCCTCCTGGACCTCACAAAATGTGGCACTGATACCAGTTGCTAGTTTAATCTGTGACTGGACACATGTATAACCCACAGTGTTGGGAAACAGGTAGACAGTAATGAGTGTGCTTGTTGGGGGGAACTTGTGCGCTCATCTCAGCCTGAGAGATGAGAGGTTAACCTGGAGGAGCTGGAAAGGGGCTCCCAGCAGGAGCAGCTTGCAGGAGGGCTCAGCACCCAGGAGCCCATCTAGTTCAAGGACGGGAGGTCAGTGCGGCTGGAGTTCAGTGATGGAGGTGATGGACAGGAAAAAAGGGGTGGGCAACGTGGGCCTGCCAAATTAGGTTCTGAGCCGCAAGCTAAAGACTCCGAATTTTAAGCAACGGAGAGGGTCAGCAGGCATGTGAACCTGCGGTGACTTTGTCGGAGGCTGCTGGGGTGTTAGAGGCCGCTGTGGAGACACGCTATTGGCATACAGAGGACACTTAAAACCCTGGGAAGGGATGGCATTAGCCTGAGAAGAGCGATGATGGAGCAGAACCCAAGGCCTTCATCCAAGCCCTCTCCAAGTCCGTCAAGTGGCTCCTTTGTTCTTACCCACAGGTCCAAGTGGGAAAATGAGCATTTAATTCTGCAGGCCCATCTCTCACATTCTATGCCCTTCCTTATGCCTCTCGGTCGGTACTGCCTGCTCTGCCTCCTGCAGTCGAGTTGCAAAGTAAAGCCAAGAGGAGGTCGGGCACCACATTGAGTTCTGTTTCCTTCATCCCTTTACATACAAACAATGGAGGTAGCTCCCTTTGATTAAGTGCTAAATACTGCATACGAACCCCTTTGTGGCCCTAGATTACCTACGCTTTAGCCAAGAGGTTCAGAGAGGGTGCGCGTCTCCACTGAGGGGACTCGGCGAGCCAGCAAAGTGAGATCCCGGGACTGTCCTACCGAAGCCCCAGGGCCTTTACGGCCACGCTGTATTTTTCAACACTCAGAACCCAACAGCTGGGATCCGGGGATGGGCCAGGGAGCTCTCCCAAGGCCCCTCCTGACGGTCACCCTCACCGGCTGGGACCCTCCGGAGCCCAACGCACGGGCAAGAGACCCGGGCTCTCCACCGATAGGGAAGAGCTAGCTAGTCGCCTCGGCTGGACCGCAGCATAAGGAGTCGGGAAGCGGGCCAGAACCCGAGCAACCCCAAAGACCCCGAGCTGCCGGAGCCACCACGGCAGAAGGCAATCGCAGCTTCGGACTCCCACACACCCCACACTCCCCTTAGAAGGGCAGCAATTAGAACTTATCGGCGTAAAGTGTCGGAAACTCTCCGCCCGACAGAATTTTTTTCATCTAAGTCCACCAGCCCAATGGGAAAAGTGGAAATTTCCAGAAAGAAGAGGACCAATGGGCACGGCCGACGCTACTATGACTGGCTGAGCAAGCAACCAATCCCTGTTGCGGATATCCGTCCCTCCCTCCAATCGTGGAGCCTAAGATAGGCGTGGCTTATCTGGGAGCGCCCAATCCCGAAGCTCCTTAGAGGCAGGGCCGAGGGGATTACTTCTGGCTGTTCAATGAAAGAGAAGAGAAGATGATGGGCTAGATTTGAAGCCAATAGTAGAGAAGCAGAGAAAGCCCTTAGAGGAGCGTGGCCAGTGAGCAGACGAGGAAGGGGCGGGATCCGGGGTCCCGGCAGCTTCTAGTAGGTTCCAGAAGGCGGCGCGTGCGGTTGGTAACGCGGAGCGGACGGAGTCGATTCAACCGGGTTCCTGGCTGGGCTATGGAGCAGGTGAAGGGGGAGGGGCAGGCTGAGGCCCGGGGTTCTCATCCAGACCCGTCGAGGCCAGGCCGCGGTTGGAGGAGTGGGGCGGGCACGGGATTGTTGCGGGGGACTAGGGGTAGCCAAGCAGCGTGGAAGGCAAGGGCGTGAGGGCCGCGGCCAGCGGGCGATGAACGATGGAGCCAGGCTCGGCCTCAGGGAGCGTCGGGTCCACTCAGTGCCAGTCGCCTCTCGACTCCGCGATGGGGCCCGAGGGTAGACAGCAGTTTGGCGTGAGTCCGGCCCGCGGCGGCTTGAGGGGTCGTGGCCTAACCCCGGAGGCCTCCCCGGAGGTCGCTCTGGGCTAAGCGGCGGGGGGAGGGGGAATAGAGCCAGCGACTCTGGAAGGGATGGAAGTGGGCGAGGGGCCTCAGAAGGGTCGCGAGGGATCGGGCCCACTTAAGGCAGTTCGGCTTCTGGGGGATAGATGAGAGAATGCCGACTAAGCCGCCTCTCAGGACTTGGCCACAGTTAACTTGAAGGAATGCAGGCAGCGGGGACAGGAATACGCTGGAAGTAGCCGAGGGACTTAGTAGCCAGTTGGGGAAAAGAAGCTGTTTTTCTGCATCTGAAAATCGGAATTGGGAGAATGTTGAGTGCAGGTGTGACAAGCAGCAAGCCGGCTTCTTTGCCTGATGCTGGTAAGGGGAGGTGCAGCTAAAGTCCTTGGAACGAACACCGTCTCCCCCGGCGTTTCACAAATAACATGTGCGGCCCTCCCCCTTCTCTCTCTTTTTTCTTCTGTGCGCGATTCTACAGTAACAGGACAGACACTTTCGAGAGGTCGGTTTCTATTTACACGAGATATTTCGACAGTATAGATGAGCAGCACGAAGTCAGTTTGCCTCTGCTCAGCGTTTTGGGGGTTTGAGTGTGAAGCTGCTGCTGGTTAGTTTCAAGGACTTGGTTATATCCTGAGTGGCTTGAAGGTTGTGACGGGCCTGGAGATTTCTGTGCAATTGGAAGCTGTCATTGAGCTGTAGTGATTGGAGGGGAGGGGGAGAGAAAAGGGCTTGGTTTTGGTGTGATCTACAGAGCTGAACTTTTTGCTGCAGGATAGCTGTTTGTCAAATCTGAGGCCTCTGCTGAATTAAAAGAGAAAGAGCGGAATTGAGAAGAGTAACTTTTTTCACCCTTGTAATTAACTTACCTGGGAATGAGCAGGCTGTGGTATAGACAGGAAAAAGATTTCTGGATTGAGAGACACAACGATGTTGTGTTTTGGTTTTTTTTAATCCCTGTGTTTACCAAAGTAGAAAAAAATTTCTTTTGAAAAATGACACCGCCGGTGTCCGAAGTGCCGGTACAGGTGGGCTGTGAACGGATGCAGGTACAGGTGGGCTGTGAACGGATGCAGGTTTGCCCTAGCAGCTGTGCCGGTGACCTGGCATTTAACTCCTGGGGTTAGAGTCTGCTTTCTTAAACCCACTCCTGAAAATAAACATGTGGCTTCTCTACCTTTTGTTTCTCCTTCAACTTTGAGGAGAAATATTAGAGAAATTCGAGTATCCAAAATTGTATTGTTTTAGAAATAAGTGCACTGCCTTTCAAATAAATCCTACAGTAATACACTGTATTTGCCCCAAGACATACATACAACCATGTAACACTTAACAAAACAGTGCTAACTGCCATGTGCACTGCATGCTGGTATCTTCTCTTCCACTTGATGTTTTGAAGTGCTGGTCATGACCTACAAACTGGGTTTTCTGACTGAGTCTACTCTGTTAGGGAAATGATGATCTTTTTTAAGATTTTATTTATTTACTTTTGGAGAGAAGGGAAGGGAGGAGGGAGAAAGAGGGAAACCTTAGTGTGCGAGAGAGACACTGACCTCTCGCCCCTCGAAAGCCCCCAACTGGGCATCCAACCGGCAGCCTTTGGGTTCACAGGCCTGCGCTCAGTCCACGGAGCCCCACCAGCCAGGGCCAGTTGAACTAACTTTTAGCCTCCATCCTGGGTTCGAAGGTTTTTAATCCCTTGGTTGCGTAAATTTGTTAGTCTCCTTCCTTTTCTCACTTTGAGATTCTCTTTTCTCTGTTGGAGGTCGATGGAGGTCCCCACCTGGTGTGCCTCAGAGTCCAGTCATTGCTCTGAACAGACCGTCGTTGTTGTTTTAATTGATTTGAGAGAGAGGAGCAGCTATATCAGTTGCCTCCTGCCTGTCAGTTGCGCCCTGACAGGAGGTAGAACCAGGGACCTTTTGGTGTGTGGGATGTGCTCCAACCAACCACGCCACACTGGCCAGGGCCACAGAATGCTTTCTTGCATCAGCGTACTGGCCCGTGGGTAGATGACAGATAAGAAAGAATGGTGTAGTAACTAGAATGACAGCTCAGTCTCAGTGGATGTGTTCACATCTGAGGTGTGGCCCTCCCTTTCTTGTAGGGCTACCCTGGTTAGAATAAACCCCTTTAAGCCCTGGCTGGTGTAGCTCAGTGGATTGAGCGCGGGCCTGCAAACCAAAGGATTGCGGTTCGATTCTCAGTCAGGGCACATGTCTGGGTTGCAGGCCAGTTCCCAGCAGGGGACGCATGAGAGGCAACCATACATTGATGAAATAAAATTATTTAAGAGAAAAGAAAAGAATAAACCCCTTTAGTTAGGCCCCTGCTCCGATGGCCGAGGCTCGCTTCACGTACTTAAACTTTTTGGTGTATTTCTGCTTCTTCCCGTCTGAATGTTTGAGAGGATAGGGGGTGAAACCACCAGTAGTGTTTCTACACCCTCCATCCCCTTTGTTATGTATTAAATGTTTAAGCATGGCAAAACCTGCGAGGGGGCTGGCCTCCCTTTACCCATTCAAGAACAGATTGGTTAATCTGCCATGCTGTGACATATGCCACACCTATAAATGGAAACATGTAGACTTTTCTCTGATCGTGGGTGAGCATCTCGATGCTCCTGAGGATGCTGTCCTAAAGCCTTCAGTGCGCACGTGCTCCACTTCCTTTCCGATGGCAGCTTCCGTGAGGAGTGACCAGGCCTGCACCTTGTCTGTCGTTCAGACTCTTTGGGAATCTGTGCAGATGAATTTATTTTTGTGTGGCAGGAACTCCTGAGTATGCCCCTAGAGTGGCTTCATCAGCTCAAAGTAGAGGCTTGGAAGTAGCTCGAGGTCTTACCAACCCACACCGGAGTCAGTGGAAAGCAGTGTCAGGCTGCTTCTGCCTGGTCATTTTCTTTTTTCCTCGCTGATTCCCAGAGGTGTAGAAGTATAAATGAAGTCATCTGTAATTTCTCTTTTCTGATCTATAAAGTAACCTATTCATTGGTAACTAGGGCAAAGAATGAGCATCACATAAAAAGTTGGGACTAAGTGAGTGTATTGTGGAAAGAGACATAAACTGACTCCTTTTCTTCTCAGGTGAATGAGCTGAAAGAGAAGGGCAATAAGGCCCTGAGTGCTGGCAACATCGATGATGCCTTACAGTGCTACTCCGAAGCAATTAAGTTGGACCCCCAGAACCACGTGCTCTACAGCAATCGCTCGGCGGCCTACGCCAAGAAAGGAGACTACCAGAAGGCCTATGAGGATGGTTGCAAAACTGTTGACTTAAAGCCTGACTGGGGCAAGGTAAGCTATGGGTGAGTTGGGGCTCTTTAGACTGCCCAGCAATGCCTTTGGTGTGCAGTTCTTTGTGTGTGTGTGTGGGGGGGGGTTGTTTGTTTGTTTTAGAGAGGGGAAGAGGGGGAGAGAGACAGCAATGGGTGGTTGCTTCTCATGCTCCCTCTACTGGGGACCTGGTCCCTCAACCCAGGTATGTGCCCTGATTGGGAATCGAACCGGCAAATCTTTGGTGCACAGGCTGGCAAACTTGCTAGGGCTTGTGTGCAGTTCTTAATTATCAGGCCCTCCTCTGACCTGGCTTGTTGCCGAGCCCAGTAGCCTAGTCATTTATTACCCATTTAAATACATTCCTTAGAGTGACAGCATATTTCATCAACTCTAAGGTCCCATCAGTTCTCAGGACATGTCCCTTTTTTTTTTGGTACCATTGAGAAAGAATATACTGCCCAAGAAACTAACAACACTTGATCATAAGATGAATTGGGGTTGGGAGGAAGTGCCTCTTTGATATTCGGCTGGATTCTTGAAACGTCAATCTTGGCATTATGTCTTGACCGTTTTATTCTTTGGCCTCCGTGAATGCCCATTTTGTTCCACGAAATATAAACTATATTCTTTTTAGTTCACCTTCTGGATTTACCTCTAGGTGCCCTTTTCAGGCAGGAGTTGCTTAACAACCGGGGTGCGTTCTGAGAACCGAGTCATGGGTATTGTGCTGATATCACAGAGGCATGTACACAAAGCTGAGGGTCTCGCCCGCCACACACCAAGGCTGTGTGGTCCGGCCCAGTGCGCCTGGGCCACAAGCCCGTGCAGATGTTACTGTACTGAATAGTGTAAGCTACCGCAACACAGTGGTATTTCAGTATCTAAACATGTAAACAGCACTAGCTGGTGTGGCTCAGTGGATGGAGTGCTGGCCTGCCAGCCGGAAGGTCACCGGTTGGATTCCCAGTCAGGGCATGAGCCTGGGTTGCAGGCCAGGGCCCAGCTGGGGGTGTGTAAGAGGCAACATGGTGTCTCTCTCTCCCCACTTGCCTAAAAATAAATGATAAGTAAAATCTTAAAAATAAGAAGTAAATTAATGTAAACATAGGAATGGCACGGCAGAATACAGTATAAAAGATTAAAAAATTACACACTCACATACAGGGCACTTAACCCTGATGGAGCCAGAAGAACTAGACTTTGCGCTGGGTGCGTCAGTGAGGGCGGGTGGGTATGAAGGCCGGGGGGCCTTCACTCTGCTGTTCTGCAGACTTTGTAAACTCTGTCTGCTTAGGCCACGCTGAGTTGCTTCAAGAAATGGCATAGCACTGTCAGGATGGCTGCCGTGTCACCAGGCAATAGGGAGTTTTTAGTTTTGTCATGATACTTGGACACCACTGTCGTGACTGAATTCTGCATCTGTCTTTGCTGATTTAAGGGCTATTCTCGAAAAGCAGCTGCTCTCGAGTTCTTAAACAGATTCGAAGAAGCCAAGCGGACCTATGAGGAGGGTTTAAAACATGAAGCAAATAACCCTCAGCTCAAAGAGGGTTTACAGAACATGGAGGCCCGGTTGGCAGGTGGGTGCCTCGAGTACATCGTCGTTTCCCTTTTTTTACTTATTATCTTTAAAAATGGGATTGATTTGGAGGCTTCCCCCCTGAAATGTTGGTCCGCCGCAGAGGCGTGGGATGCAGTGTCTTCGGGAAACCGATGTGCTTTCCTTCGTTTTGAACAGAGAGGAAGTTCATGAACCCTTTCAACATGCCCAACCTGTACCAGAAACTAGAGAGTGATCCCAGGACGAGGGCGCTGCTCAGCGACCCCTCCTACCGCGCACTGATAGAGCAGCTGCGGAACAGGCCGTCCGACCTGGGCACGTGAGTTCGGGCAGCGCGGTTGTCTGGAGACGGGCCTGAGCGCTGGGCTTTCTCCCCAGGGTCCTGTGGTAGGGGCTTCCCTCGTTCAGCCAACAGCCTTTCTGCCTCTGCTTTCTCTCCAAAAAGCAATAGGGGTTTCTTGGTTTGTATTTCTGCAAAGGGCCAGGGGGCATGTAGCAGCGTAACCTGGAATGTCCCTTCCAACCCCCACACGCCTCCTCACTGCTCCTACAACTCTGATCTGGCCCCAGCCGTGTCCTTCCCACACGCGTGGGCCCTGCTGCCTCTGTGGGTTTATTGGGGTACAGACTCGCTCAAAAAGAATGCCAGACATGAAGGAGTATCCCTAAATCTTGCGTTGGTATCTGTTTTTTTTTCTGAATCTCTGTCTGGCTTCCGAGGCCAGATGGAGCATACATACAGCTCGTTTCTTTATACTTGCTGGCTCGAGAAGTAAGTCTGCCTCTGTCACCTTAGTTTAGATGGATTTTTGAAGGGTCAAACATTCCCCAGTGGTACTCACGGTAGGTGCAGAACCCAGCGGTCTTTTGACGGGCGGGAAACTTTTACACACAGTCTTCTGAGCTTCAGCAGCACACGACGTTGAAAGTCAGCTGGGGGAGAGTAATGGTTGTTTTTTTCTCTTTACACCAGGAAACTACAAGACCCTCGGGTCATGACCACTCTCAGTGTCCTCCTGGGGTTCGACCTGGGCAGCATGGATGAGGAGGAGGAGGTCGCAACACCACCACCGCCGCCGCCTCCCAAAAAGGAGACCAAGCCAGAACCAATGGAAGAGGATCTTCCAGAGAATAAGAAGCAGGTCTCGTGTTTTCTCTCGTTACTGTCTCATACAATTGTAACAACCTGGTGGGCATAGAGGTGTCGATAGGACCATCTGTAGGCCTCGGTGGCTGTATATTTTTGGGTGCTTAGTGTGTGCTGAGGTTCTCATCAGTCAGAATGAACGATAGCAGGCGAGTGATTTCATGGGAACCTTGTACCTCAGACTCCGGCAGTGGGCGCCGCCCTTTCATAGCCCCACAGCCACTGCGGTTCTGCCGGGCGGGTCTTGGCCAGGGCAGGCCGGTGTCCTTGTGGGCCATCCTTATCCTTACCTCGACCTGGAAGAACATGGTCTGTGTCGATCCTGAGGCCGCTGCTTCTGTGTTCCAGTTGGACGTGGCGTACGGGTCAGAGTTGGCCACTTAGCAGCTACACTGTCTTCCAGAGCGGGAGGCAAGTGCCTAAATGATGTTTCTCCTCTTTACAAATAAGAGGAGCAGATTGGCGCCAGATTTAGCACCTTTCAATGGATGAGCGTTGGTTGTTTGGGGTGTCTCTGTGCTGGAAATAGGCCCTGTGGTGTGGGTGGTAGTGAGCTGCGCTCAGGACTCGTGCCGCCCGCCCAGCCCCTCCTGTGCGCACACCCCCCCCTCACTGCCGGTCCCTGGCAGCCGAGACCCGGAGGCCGCCACACAGCAGAACCCGGGCCGGGTGCCGCAGTACCAGCTGGTACGGGAGTGCTTTCCTTTTTGAAGTTCATCCAGGTCGAAGGGATTCCTGTACCCTGAAGCCCTCTGTTTCCGGACAGAGCTCCAGCAGAGTAGGTGGAGGGACTTCCAGAGGAAGCAGAGACACTTTTCCTTCCAACAGCTAGTTTCAAAGTTCACTGTTGGAAATGGCCAGCTGGCTGATGCGGGGGCCATGGGTGCGCAGAGCCTGCCTCCGCAGACGCGGCAGTGCGGGTGCTGTTCGGTGCCGTGCCCGTGCGGGCCCCTGCTCTGTCTGCCATCCTGGCAGGTTCGCTCGGCACTCACCCTCCCAAACCCCTGTAGGCCCTGAAAGAGAAAGAGCTGGGGAACGAGGCCTACAAGAAGAAGGACTTCGACGCAGCCCTGAAGCACTATGACAGGGCCAAGGACCTGGACCCCACCAACATGACTTACATGACCAACCAAGCAGGTGAGGCCCCGGGCGAGGGCAGGCGAGCCGGGAAGCAGCCTGGGGCAGAGGGCACCGGCTGACCCTTCTCCCCGACTGTCCCGCCTGGCAGCTGTGTACTTTGAAAAGGGCGACTACAGCAAGTGCAGGGAGCTCTGTGAGAAGGCCATCGAAGTAGGGCGAGAAAACCGGGAGGACTATCGGCAGATTGCCAGGTATGTGCCCCCTTCAGGAGTACCCCGAGCGGTGCGGAGGCTTCAGTGTCCGAGATTTGAATCTCCCTGCGTGGGGGGCGCGGGGGGGGGGGGCTGCTGGCCACAGCATGTGCGGCCTGTTCTCCAGTGTTTGCTAACAGTGGACTGAAAGGAGGCCCCGGGAGTTGGGACAAAGGTATTGGGAGGGCGCGGTGCCCCAGCAGCGGCACAGGCCTTGCCCTTAGTCGCCGGCGTGCTTCGGTGGGGGCTGGCCCGGACGCTGCTCTGCCCCGGCAAGTCCTCCTCCTTGTCTTTGCCAGAGCTTACGCACGAATTGGCAACTCCTACTTCAAAGAAGAAAAATACAAGGATGCCATCCATTTCTATAACAAGTCCCTGGCAGAGCACCGGACACCAGATGTGCTCAAGAAATGCCAACAGGTGAGTAGGGAGGGAAGGGATGTTTATTGTTGTTGTTGTTTCTTAATTTATCACTTCTTTACTTACTGCCACGTAATGCCGAGCCTTAACTCTTTTAAGTTGCTCTTTCATTATATGACACTGTCCTGTTACTTAAAGGATAACACGTTAGGCAATGGCCCAGTTTTTTGGACATCCCTTTTTTTTTTTTAGATTTTATTTATTTTTAGAGAGAGGGGAAGGAAGAGAGGGAGAAGAGAAACATCAGTGTGTGGTTGACTGGGAATCGAACCAGTGACCATTTGGTTCGCAGGCTGGCGCTCAATCCATGGGGCCACACCAGTCAGGGCTGGCCATCCTTTTTTATAATCCAAGATTTCAACCTTTAAATGTGTTAATATGAGGATTGGTGTGCTAACAATGTTAATGGTTTTTATTACAACCCAAGAGTTTATTTACATACCCAAAGAGTTAATGTATTTTTTCAGCTATTATAGGGTGTGTAGGAGGGATGCTTGTATTCACGGAAACATTGGTCAGAAAATAACTTCTGCTGTCAGCGCGTGCGCCCGCTTTCTGTGGGGCGTGTGTTTGTGCCACGTGTACGCCCGTGCCCTTCTGTTCCATGGCAAACCGTGAGGATGAGGTTCTCCTTCTCATTGAAAGTTCTTAAAAACTAAATCTTGCCAGCAATACTCTTTGAAAATTAGATTTCTAATCTGGCTTTTAAAGACCAGTAGTAATGCTTCTGAGAGTGTAAATGACTGTTCCAAGAATTATTACTCTGGCTGTTGTGGCTCAGTGAATGGAGCACTGGCCTGTGAACCAAAAGGTCGCCAGTTTGATTCCCAGTCAGGGCACGTGCCTGGGTTGCAGGCCAGTTCCCCAGTAGGGGGTGTGTGAGAGGCAGCCACACATTGGTGTTTCTCTCCCTCTCCTTCCTCCCTTCCCCTCTCCGAAAATAAATAAGAACTTTTTTTAAAAAAGAAATATTTTTCTTCAGGCAGAGAAAATCTTGAAGGAGCAAGAGCGGCTGGCTTATATAAACCCTGACCTGGCTTTGGAGGAGAAGAACAAAGGCAACGAATGTTTCCAGAAAGGTGCCCACAGCCTGGGCGGGGCGCTGCTGGACGGGAGCGGTGTGGGCGTGCAGGGTGTGCCTGCCTCGGTGGGCGGGGCGTCGTGGTCGTCAGTGCAGTTTTCAGAGTTTCTCCCTTGCCCACCCAGGGGACTATCCCCAAGCCATGAAGCATTATACAGAAGCCATCAAACGGAACCCAAAAGATGCCAAGTTGTACAGCAATCGAGCGGCCTGCTACACCAAGCTCCTGGAGTTTCAGCTGGCACTCAAGGTCGGAGGGGAGGGTCTGGGGTGCACCGTAGCCGTCCTTATGACCTGCGCGTGGGGGTGTGCGTGTCCTCTTCACGTCCTCAGCACCCATGCACTGCTCAGCTCAGCCGCAGAGTCGAGGTGCTGGCGGTGTGCGTGTGAGGTCTGCGAGGTATGGGAGTGGGCAGAAGGAGGCTTACAGTTGCGAGTGTGCCAACCTCAGTTTGTTCTTGTGTTACCACTTACTGTGGTGTTACTTTCCATGGAAACAGCTGGGCACCTGCGTTTGCCCATCCCTGTACGGGACCTGTCTTCCCCAGGCCCTGGCCCAGGGGTGGAGGTGATGGGGAGCATGTGAGAAAGTCGGTCCTTTTCCACCTTTCCCGGTGGTTCACGTTCCCTCTCACCGCGACCCTTCCCCACGTCTGTTTCTGTTTCGTTTTGCCTTCGTGAGATTTAAGTGCACAGGTGGGTGGCCTCAGGTGGATTCATGCTGCTGTGTGACCATCATTGCCATCCTTCGCCAGACCTCCCTCATCCTCCGAAAGCGAAACTCGGCAGCCTGTCCGTGCCGCTCCCCCGCCCTGGCAGCCACTCTCCTGCTTTCTGTGAATGTGATCCTTCAAGGCACCTCATGTGTCTGGGGCCAAACATTTCCCTTACCCGTAACGCGGTCAAGGTTCATGTGGTAGAACGTGCCAGTATTCCTGCCTTTCTAAGGACGTACCACCCTTTGCTCATCCGTTTGTTCGCTGATACACGTTTCCACTTGTGGCTCTTGTGAGTGATTCTGTTACATAGGTGCATCAAAGCTTCAGGTTCCAGTTGTTTTCCACTCCACCAGCAAGGTGGTGGGTGAGGTGGTGGGTCATAGGGTAGTTGGTTAGTTACATTTGTTTCTCTTCCATTTACTGGTGGTTTTCCACAGCGGCCTTACCAGGCCTTACCATTCTTCCCGCTCTGGTGTTCAGCTCAGACGGGTCCGCCGTTCTCGGTCACGTCGGGTGTGGTTAAATGTGGGTGTGCCCGACGCCACGGACTCACTGCTCTCTGCAGCACAAGCTGTTTCGTGCCTCTTTCGGCTCTTTTTTAAGTGCTCTTCAGGAGACAAACCAGGACCATTTTGTGGGAAGGTGGAAGCACGTGATGTGTCTAGAAACACCGTAGTCTGTTGGCTTCATTTTTGTTGCCACTGTCTTCTGGGCCTGTGGCCTGGAGCCGTCGCTGTTGCTGAGAGGACTGGGCAGCGTCCAGCAGGGTGGTTGGCAGAGCAGAGGGTCACGCCATCAGTCACCTGCGGGGGGGGGGGGGGAGTGGCTTTGCTTCTGGTCTCGCAGTCGTGGTGGGAGAGTTGGAATTAGGGCTGGCTGAGCTGACTGCACTGCGCAGCATTATTTTTTACATTAAATTTTGTAGTTTGAAGACATTTCAAACAAAAATACAGAATGCCTGTGTATTTTTCACCCATATTCAATAGTATGAACATCAATCCATTTTTTGCTGAACCGTTTGTGAAAGGAAATTGTATACAGTTTGGTACTTGACCTCCAAACTCACGAATGTGCTCCTCCTGAAACGCGTGTGCGCATGCGCCAACCCCCAACCCGACCCACAGCCCCCAACCTGGTGCTGGGAGTTGGAGGCCGCAGTGCCGCACGCCGGCGTCTGCACTCACAGGGCTCCGCTTGGGCAGCCGTGCGCTCCACGGCTGTTGGTGCCTGAAAAACCCGCGTGTCCGCCTGGTCGTCAGGTTCTCTTTATCTTCTCAAACTAGAAGCTTCCCCACTTTTATTCCCCACTTTTAAAATTCCCCCCCACGTTTTAAGTAACATCAGCCTCCCGGTGAGAAGCCCTGGCCACTAGGGTGGGACGGTCCGTAATCGGATTTGTGGACCCTTGTGGTATCTCGGAACTCGGTCCTCCACCCTCCTCTTGCTGTGCCTGCTGTTAAGTCACCCATGTGCTGTGACTGACGGGCACTGGAGGCAGGAAGTACTGGTAGAGTCTTCCGCGGCGCCTGGGCGTGGTGCGCTGCGTCTTGCCAGGGGAGCGGTCTGCCTTGGGGAGCTTGTGGGAAGGAAAGGGCCTGATTCCCTTTTGCTTCTCCCTAGGACTGTGAAGAGTGTATCCAGCTAGAGCCAACCTTCAGTGAGTGCTTTTTTTCCCCGACTCTACCCCTCCCTTGATCCTGGTCAAAGATCGAGAGAAGAGGCCTGCCAGTGCAGCTCGGTTGGGTGTCGTTCCACGAAGTGAACGGTCACTGGCCGGTTCGATGCCCAGTTGGAGCACATGCCTGGGTTGTGGGTTCTGACCCTGGTTGGGGGCACACACAGGAGGCACCCAGTCAGTGTTTTTCTTCCTTCACCTCTCTTCTGAAGACGAATAAATAAAATATATTTTTTTAAAGATTATTTATTTATTTAGTTTTAGGGAGAGGGGAAGAGAGGAAGAGAAACATCAGTGCATGGTTGCCTCTCATGTGCTCCTTACTGGGGACCTTGTCTGCAACCCAGGCCTGTGCTCTGACTGGGAATCGAACCAGTGACCCTTTAGTTCCCAGGCTAGTGCTCAATTCACTGAGCCACACCAGCCAGGGCTAAATGGAATCCTTTTAAATTTTATTTTAAAATGGGGGTGGGGGGACCACGCTCTCTGTGTGCGTGTGTGTCCTCGTCCTCAGTAGCGGGCCCCAACAGGTGAGGGACTCGGGGGCCGTGCTGTAGGAGGTGCTTCACCTCCCCGCTTCCGTCCGCAGTCAAGGGTTACACACGGAAGGCAGCTGCCCTGGAAGCGATGAAGGACTACACAAAAGCAATGGATGTCTACCAGAAGGCGCTAGAGCTGGACTCCGGCTGCAAGGTGGGCTGCCTCCGGCTTCCAGCGAGTGCTCCCCTCTGCACTGCTCCTTCGGGTCTTTGCCGGGTTCATTCCCTGGTCCTTCCCTTGCCTGTTCTCTGCGTGTCCAGCTCAGCCCTCTGTCAGCTCTGTTATCTCGGATCTGCTCCCGCAAGTTTTGCTAACGCCCTCCGCCTTTGGCTTTGCTGGAACGCAGGAGGCAGCGGATGGGTACCAGCGCTGTATGATGGCCCAGTACAACCGGCACGACAGCCCCGAGGATGTGAAGCGACGGGCCATGGCTGACCCCGAGGTGCAGCAGATCATGAGTGACCCGGCCATGCGGCTCATCCTGGAGCAGATGCAGAAGGACCCTCAGGCCCTGAGCGAGTGAGTGGGGGGGGGGGAGATGGCCTTGGAGGACGGAGCAGTGAGAACGTGCACGAGGTTGGGGCGGGGGTGTCTTGTGTCGCTCTTTCTCAGAACGTGAAAGGTTGGCAGTGGGTGGTGAGCTGGAAGGCTTCGTCTGTGGGCTAGTCCCGATGGCTGAGGAGACCCGTGTTTCGGGAGAAGCTGTGCCCTCGTAAAGTGGAACTGGTCAGGCTCTGACTGCCAGCAACGCGGGCCCTGCGGTTCCCCCGCCAGCGCTGGCCCTTGGCCACCTGCTGCTGCCTTCCAGGGGGTTTGTAGGGGGCATTGCTCCAAGAGCAAGTAAGGCCTCTTTTGGGTTAAGTCTCACTTCAGACTCTGCCTCTTCTTCACTAGACACTTAAAGAACCCTGTGATAGCACAGAAGATCCAGAAGCTCATGGACGTGGGTCTGATTGCGATTCGGTGATGACTCGCTCGTCACCCCCCTTCCCTTTGCCCTCGTGTGGAAAGAGGAGCTGGGACCCCTGCGAGCAGCACAGCACGGAGCCAGAAGGGAGAGGAGGGGAGCAGACAGCGTTTCTCTCTATATTTATACAGACCTGTGGGAACGATGCAGAGACTCGTGTCCGCGTTCCTCCACAGCCGCCGCCTCTGGGGCCTCCCAGCACGTGCATGGTCTCTTCTGCTGTCCTCGAGTTTCATGTCTCTGTCCCCTGTCCCCAGTCACTGTCTCAGCTGCTCTCCCATAGTTGGTTATTTTTTATTTGGGGCAGTGGGCATGTATGGGGAGGGGAGGGTGTTCTTCCCAACCTCAGGTCCGTCCCAGCTGTCTTCACGTTGTTCGCTCCACGTCCCCTCCTCCAATAAAGCAAGCCAGTCGGGCGTGGTTGTATCTTGTGATGTCCTTGAGTGGTTTTTTGCCAAAAGATTTTTTTTTATTTTTAGAGAGAGGGCAAGGGAAGGAGAAAGCGAAACCCCTGCTAGGGACCTGGCCCGCTGCCCTGACTGAGAATCAAACCTGTGACCTCCCAGTTTGCAGACCTGGCCTAAAGAATTGAAATTGGCTGTCCTGCAGGGCTCACAACCTGGATTGGGAGAGGTGTGTCTGAATTGACTAGACTACCAGGGCCCTTTCCAGTGTGGGTTAGCGTGAGCTTGTCTGGGTTCCACTGCTTCGCCGAGGTGGCCACTGGGTGGTGCTGCCACTCAAGGAACTGCTGAAAGCAATGCCAACTCCCCACCTCCCACCGGGATGCTGAGGGGCTAGATTCTGATAAGATGACCATTCAGGTGACTCCCGTGCTGACAGTTCACACCCTGGTCTCAAACCAGAAGCCCCCTGCACCCAGAGAACACTCGATTCTACCCAAGAACCAAAACTGCTGCCACTACAGGAGTTGCTTGGGACCTACCTTTTTCAGAGATCAGATCTGTCCGTGACTAGATGTTTTCGTTTTTAAAGAAATCACTGCTCGCAATTGGGCATAAAGTAATAGCTTCTAATTATATGTTTTCATGGTTGCAACAAACTCTAAAGCCCTCCAACTGGGGCTGCTGTAGGGGCCAGAGTAAAACTTCCTCTTTTGCTCCAAGACAAACTTTCTGGGCTAGGAAGCCGCTGAGGCCAGCAGCTGGCTACACTTCCTGCTCCCTTGACTTTGCATAAACTGGCTTTCCCCTGGGGAGCCCCACATGCCCTGCCCCCACCTGGGTGGCACAGTTAAGAAAGCCTGCCCTCCCCAGGGATTCTGCTGCACCTTTGGTGCTACTGTCTCGAGGCTCAGTTCCCTGTAGCCCTAAACTGATCTTGTGCAAAGGCCAGGTACCTGCTGGGAGCCAGGAGCAAACTACAGCCTGGCTCTCCCAAAGCTAGCATCCCAGTGTGGACTGGGGCAAGGGTAGGAGGGCAGAGATGGGCTACCAGGGACCCTCCGAGGTCACATTTGAGAAGGGACTTGGCAGGACTGAGGTGCTGGTGTACCAGAGATGAGGGTCCTTGCAGGTGGGACAGTGAAGGGTGGCAGGTTTGAAGCCTTCCCTGGAGGCGTAGGCCAGGGCAGTTGAGAGTGATGGGCCAATTTTGTTCAGCTGCGTCCTGGGGCATCTCTGAGATGCACAAGTTTGGAAATAGAGGCCCTTAGCTGGGGATAGGAAAAACTTAAAGAATTTGTTTTTCCTTGGGCCTTCAAGTATCTGGTGACAAAGAGACATTGGGTCTTGAGCCAACTTGACCTGCCAAGTCCTAAATAACCTGGATCTGATCTTTTCGGTCTTGTAGCTGTCCTCAGCATCCCGGTGATGTTGTGTGGCCCAAAGCCACCCACTTCTTGACAGGTTGGAAATGAGAGATGGCTTCCTACAGAGCACGTAGCCACGGACACAAATTGGTGGCTTCTCTTGACCTGAGCAACCGTGAAAATGAGGAGGCCCTTCTGTGATGGGTCCGCCAGCAGCCTCCCTTGCTTTGTGCTCTCGGGGAGCCAAGGCGGGGCCACCCTGGGGCCCTTAGCGGTAGCTGGCAGTTTGCTTCCTGCACCCAGAGTCACCAACCCGCCCTCGGGAGGGGCTGAGCCCGCCCTGATTAGGACGGCAAGGGCTGCCCTCTGAAGGAAGCTCCGAAGAGAAAGCAGAGGAAAAGGAAGCTCTGTAGTCTGCAGGCGTTCAGGCCGAGGTCAAGAGTGGCTGGTGCTCCAACTCCACCTGCCGCCCCAACCTCTTGCCAGCAAGGTAAGCTGGGGCCCTTCTGTTCCTCGCCCTCCCACAGCCCGTCTGCCCAGCATGGCCTCCTCCATACGGAGCCTGGAGAGGTGGACTTCCCACTGCCCTAGAGAGGCCTCAGCTTGCCCAGGATGTTTGGGTCTCGGCTTTGGGCCAGGATTACAATTCTTTTCTGACCTGTGCTGACAACCGTTTCCAGGGTGGGCAGCTGCCAGTGCAGATTCGGGGTGAGTTGTGGCCAGGAGAAGGGATGGAGGCTGTGCTCAGCCCTGCCATCGAGCTGGGTGCTCCTGAGGAAGCCCTTCTTACTCTCACCGGGCCTCCGTCTTCCCGTCTGAGAGATGGCAGTGGGCTGGACCACATGGTCTCTGAGGGTCCATGCAGCTCACCCATCGTGACGATGGGAGGGTTTGCCTGGAACAACTCAGCACCCCGAGTCTTGCTGCCACCATGGGGCATGGCCTGCGGGTTTGCTCTGCCCCCGTGCCTGCCCAGGGCACCGTGGAGCCTCTTCTGCTTGAAGCAGGCAGCCCACCAGGCACAGCACCTTGCCCACTTTGCTTCCTCCCCGCCCCGTCTGCAGCGTCGCCGCAGCCATGGCGGGCATGAAGACGGCCACGGGGGACTACATCGACTCGTCCTGGGAGCTGCGGGTGTTTGTGGGAGAGGAGGACCCTGAGGCGGAGTCGGTCACCCTGCGGGTCACTGGGGAGTCGCACATCGGCGGGGTGCTCCTTAAAATTGTGGAGGAGATCAGTGAGTGTCCCCTGGCCCTGCCGGTGACCTCAGAACCCCGGGGGACGGCTGCAGCTGCGGAACCATGGCGCTTCCCTGCTGCGCAGCCCTCGATAACAGTGTCACAGTGACTCAGGCACCAGCTTAATCATTTGGTTCCAAAAAAGACATCTCCCCCTTATCCCCCTCCCGAGTCTTCCCTCCCTTCCTCCCACTCCAGCTGGTTCTGCTAAGTCCCCAGGGAGCAGACCCGGCCACGGTCCTCCATTTCCCCATTGCTGGGGGGCAGAAGCGGCCGAGCCTGGGCTGAGGAGGAGGCCACATTTTTGGGGTCTGAGGGGAGACCAGACAGGGCTCCTGGGGGCCTGAGGGCCTCCTCCCACACCTCCTCCCCCAGGCGGAAGCCCCAGCAGGCAGGCGGGTGACAGGCCCAGGCTGGGTGGGAGGGCCCTGCCCCCACAGGAAGTTACAGCAGAGCAGCCTGTGGTATCAGCCACTGAAAGGAGCAGGGCCGGGGCCATCTCATCATCTTTCCCTGCCGGGGTGGGGACCGCCCCTTCCTGGGAGACGAAAGGCACAGCCCGATAGCCAGAGCTGGAAGGCAAGCGGGGGAGTGATAGGCCCAGCTGGGAGCCCTTGCGGCCTGTGGGGGGGGTGGGTGGGTCTCCTCAGGCCCAGCCCACCCAAATTCCCCACATGCCTCTGGGGAGGGAGGTCAGGTGGACGGCACAGGGTCCAGTCTGGTCAAAGGGCTGAAGTGCCGAGGGGAGCCTCCCAGAGGCCGGGGCCCAAGGAGACGGTGAAAAGCAGAAGCTGGGATGAGAAGGTTCCCCGGACCGAGACTGGGGGCCGAGTAGTGGAGACCTGGTTGGCCCGGGCATGGCGTGTAGCAAAGCAAGAGGCCTCGACAGGGAGACAGACAGACCCTGCTCTGCCCACCGCAGGGCTCCCAGAGCTGAGTCCCTTCAGCTCTCACCCCCTGCAAAGGGGACGTTGTGTCCAGCCCTCCTGTCCCCACGCACTCCTTAGTGCATGGGGCACCTACTAATGCTCCGCCGAGGGGCGTTTGCTCAGTGTCCATGGGGCCAGGGTGATCACCGCCCACATCTCACTAACTAAAGCCGAGGCGCAGAGAGGTTAAGGGCTCGGCCAAGGTCACAGAACTAGGACCCACTAAGCAGGAGTGCCTGCTCTTGCGTGCCAGGCACAACACTGGGCCCTGCCATAGCCTTTGCCCTGAGCTCCCAGGAATGCCAGGGGTAGGGGCAGTGGGCCAGGGTTTTCAGGGGTACAGGAGGGGCTGCATGGGGGAGCCCAGTGGGCTGGAGCGCGTGAGGTGGGGGCATTAAGATTGGGGCACACAGATTCTAGGTTGGGGGCTCTCTAGGAAGTGATGTAGCAACTGAACCCAGAAGGCTGAGCAGAGTTAGCTAGCTAAGAGCCATTCCACTATGACCTTGACCTAGACCCCAAGCCAACCCAGCCCGGCCCTGTCCTTGGCTTGGGCAGGAGAGGGGCAGTCATCAGAGGCCTCCGACCCCTAAGCGGGTGCTCAGCCCTGGAGCTGGCAGCAGGGCCCTTCGAGGCTGATGGGCGCTGCCCCCCTTTTCCTGTGGTCCCGCAGACCGCAAGCAGGACTGGTCGGACCACGCCATTTGGTGGGAACAGAAAAGGCGATGGCTGCTGCAGACCCACTGGACGCTGGACAAGTACGGGATCCTGGCCGACGCCCGCCTCTTCTTCGGGCCCCAGCACCGGCCGGTCATCCTGCGGCTGCCTAATCGCCGGGCGGTGCGCCTGCGGACCAGCTTCTCCCAGCCCCTCTTCCAGGCTGTGGCTGCCATCTGCCGCCTGCTCAGTGAGTCCCCGGTGGTCCCCACCCTGCCATGCTGCCAGGTTCCTGCAGGGGGGCTGGTCCCCTCCCTTCACAGGCCCGGCTATCCTCCTGTAGTCCTTGCTGCTCTGGCCCCCATCCTGCCTCAGGACTGTGACCTGCCCCAAAGTGCCCATGGCAGGGGGTGGCAGGGAACAGGGCAGCTCCTGGTGCCTGCTGAGGCCGCAGCTTCCCACAGGTGTCCGGCACCCCGAGGAGCTGTCTCTGCTCCGTGCTCCTGAGAAGAAGGAGAAGAAGAAGAAGGAGAAGGAGCCGGAGGAGGAGGTGTTTGACCTGACCAAGGTCGTCCTGGCCGGGGGTGAGCACTGGCTGGGTGGGCCAGGGGCTGGGTGCAGGGGACAGGCCCATGAGGCCCAGGGCTGGGGGCAGGGCCTCGCTGACCCCAGCCTGCTCTCCAGGCGTGGCACCTGCGTTGTTCCGGGGGATGCCAGCCCACTTCTCAGACAGCGTGCAGACAGAGGCCTGCTACCACATGCTGAGCCGGCCGCAGCCACCGCCCGACCCCCTCCTGCTCCAGCGCCTGCCTCGGCCCAGCTCCCTGTTGGACAAGACCCAGCTCCACAGCAGGTGCACTGCCCCCCAGGTCTTTGCCTGGGGCCACACCCACTGCCGTGGCTCACACCCTGCGTGTCTTGCTCACCCCAAATCCGCGCCTCCTGTTCCCAGGCCTTCCCTCTATGTGTGTGCTTGCCCCCAAGCTGCCTGCCCAGCCCCCCACCCCGCCCCAGCACTATGCCTGGCTCAGTCCTGACCCCTGCTTGTGCCGTGGCCCAGGTGGCTGGACTCGTCACGGTGCCTCATGCAGCAGGGCATCAAGTCTGGGGACACACTCTGGCTGCGCTTCAAGTACTACAGCTTCTTCGACCTGGACCCTAAGGTGGGCCGGGTCAGGGACAAGCGGGGTCTGGGCCGATGAGACATGGGGAGCTGGGTCCAGGGGTCAGGGCTCTGAGAATGTTAGAGACTTGTGAGGGTCTGTCTCTGTCCACTTGTCCATCTATATCTGTTTATAACTCTGCTAACACAGCGCTGGGTCTGGGCTGAGGCCAAGGGCGTCAGGGGGAAAATGACCACAGATCTGTGTGGACAGTGGTGAGGGCCCCTGGGAAGCCTGCTCGGGTGGGAGACGCCCAGCACCTGGGCTCAGGGAAGGCTTCCTGGGATGGGGGTGGCACTGGGACCTGCAGGGACAGAGCTGAGTGAGGACCAGGCTTTGAGGCAGGTACCAGTGTGCATCCGTCCCTCCAGGCCAACTGTCTCCTCTGGAAAACCACCAGAACCCCACAGGCAGCCCCTCCAGCCCCTCACGATTCATTACAAAGCCCAGACTTAACATGTCCTGGGTCTTTCCCTTTGCCTCCCGCCCACCCCTCCTCACTAGGAGCTCCCTCTGCTCCCTCTGTCCTGCTGATCGCCCCTCAAACTGAAATCCCAAACCACCCGCTCTTCTCGCTCTTCTCCGTCCTCTGCCCAGCTTCACCTCCTACGGCACCTTCCTCCCCTCCGGGCCTCCCCCTCCCCCCAGCTCTGGAAGGAACCCTTCACTCCTGCCTAAAAGGCTACCTGTGGCCCCAGCTGCCACTCCCGGAGGCCCAGGCTGATTTGGCCCCGCCCACGCCTTTCCCTGGGCATCACCGCCTTCCGTCCTGGGGACTTTCTTGCTCCCTTCTCTCGCCTCTCCTACCTTTTAGGGTTCAGTCGTTTTCATGACTCCATTTTATTTTCTTTATATTAGCTTGGTAGCTGTGCTTTCTTTTTTAAGTCGTTGCTGTAGGGGTCATAGTATACGTGCAGAATTGCCACCCGGTAACGCTCCCGCCTCACCTGTAGTCCAAGAACCTCAACACCAGGATTCCCTCACCTCCCCTCGCTGCTGCGCACCCGCCATTCTGTTCACCGACGCCCCCGGCGCACTGTCGCACTCGTTGCTGCGGTTGTCGTTTCGATGCTGCATTGAGAAGTAACTGGTGTATCATACACTTTGCCCACTGGCAGTGTCCAAGGCGATGGTTTTTATCATATTCACAGGGTCGTGCCACCATCGCCACAACAGACTTGAGAACACACCGGGGAAATCTCCTGCTCATTCGCAGGCACTCCCGGTTTATTCCCCACGCTCCCCGCAGCCCCAGCAACCTCCGGTCTCCTCTCTGTCTCTATGGCTTTGCCTGTCCTGGACTTTTCAGGCCCGTGCGGCTCTTCGTGTCTCGCTTCTTTAACCCAGGGCCATGTGTTCCAGGTGCATCCGTGCCGTGCCGTGTGGATCGGCGCTTTATTTATTGTTTCAAAAAGATGTTATTTATTTATTTTTAGGAAGTGGGGAGGGAGGGAGGGAAGAGAGGGAGAGAAACCTTGGTCAGGTGCCTGTCGCACACCCACAGCCAGGGACCTGGCCTGCAACCCAGGCATGTGATGCGACTGGGAGCTGAACCCATGACCTTTCGCTTTGCAGGATGACACCCAACCCACTGAGCCACACTGGTCAGCACTGTGCTTTATTCATTTTTATGGAGCTGTGCTATAGTTTCGGGTTAAAAACAGCATGATCATGGCTATAAATAGTGACACCTATAAATAGTTTTCTTAGCCAAGCCACAGAGTAAAGATATTTCCTTTTTTGGTCACGTTTTTTATAGTTCACAATTGCTATATTTTTCTTAACCTATTTTTCTACTAATTGTCTATTTGTGCTCAGTCTGAAAAGAGACCCCAACAGGCTATCAGGGGCTGTGGCGTGTCACTGAGGGTTGAGATGCAACGTTCCACGGCCAAGCCCCTCCAACACTGCACCCCAGTGAAAAGACTTCTTTCAGAACGGTTGACCTCGTGAGGATGCCAGTCGGCGTGATTCCCTTCTGGGGACCACGGAACCGTAGCCTTCTATGCCCACCTCACAGCTTCTCTCAGTCCTCTCGCCACTGCTCCCCGGGGAAGGCCACCGGGGCTTCTTGGTTCCTGGACCACCTGTGCTCCTCTCTCTCTCAGCCGACCCCCTCGCTTTGATGGAGCGTATATTTCAATAGCTTCCCCTAGGAGGGCACGAGAGACTTGAACGATTTGAAACTCTGCCTGTCTGCGAAGGTCAGAATTCTGCGCTCGCTCACGTAACAGTTTGGCGAGGTATAGAATTCTAAGTTGGAAACGTTTTCCAGCCAAATTCTGAAGCCACCTTCCCGTCGTCCTCTTGTTCCCAGTGTTGCTGCTGAAAGTTGATGCCGTTTTTATTTCAACCCTTCTCTGTGCGACGCATACGTTTGCTCGATTCCTTGCAGGGAGGGAGCAGGTGTCCGAAACTTTTTAAATCTTCTCTTTATCTCTTGGTGTTCTAAACGTCTCAGTGGTGTGGATCTTTCTCCACACTTGCTGAGTCCTTTCACATTAGAAACCGGGGTCCTTCGGGTCCGGAAATAAGCCCTTTACAATTTCTTCAATAATTTTTCCCCTCCATTTTCTGTTCTTTGTTTTTTTTTTCAGGGACGTAGGAGACATTAGACTTCCTGGACTGATTTTCAAAGAAAGAAATTAGATATTTATCTTTTCTTATTTTTAAGCTCGTTGTCCTTTTGCTCTGCTTTCTGGAGGTTTAATCTCTGCAGCTGTATTTTTAAATTCCAAGAGCTCTTATTTCCCGAGTGTTCTTTTTCAGAGCTCACAGCATTTTGCTGACCACCAGAAGCCCCCCTCCTCCCCCTCCCAGGCACCGCCTCCCACAGAGGCGACAACTGTTGTTAGTTCTGTCACCACAGACGAGCTCTGCACGTGTTTGAAATCTGCACAAATGAAAGTCACCGTCCACACTTGTAGTCTGGCTTCTTTCACTCAGTGTCGTGTGTGTGATTCCTCTGTGTGGTGTATTGGTGTAGTTTATTCTTTCCCATTGGCATGTCGAATCCCGTTATGTCAGTACGCTACAGCTGATTTCCATTCTGCTGCTGAGGGGCATTGGGCAGTTTCCAGATTGGGGCTGTTAAGAACAGAGATGCTATGACCATTTCAGTATATGTCTTTTGGTGAACGTAAGTACATAATTCTTTCATTTTTAAAAGGAAAGAAATGGGGTCCCTGACTGGTGTGGCTCAGTGGGTTGAGTGCTAGCCTACAAACCAAGAGGTTGTCGGTTCGATTCCCAGTTAGGGCACCTGCATGGGTTGTAGGCTGGGTCCCTGGCTGGGGGTGTACGAGAGGAATCAGATCAGTGTATCCCTTGCACACTGATGTTTCTCTCCCTCTCTTTCTCCCTCCCTTCCTCTCGCTCTAAAAGTAAATAATAAAACCTTTAAAAAAGGAAATGGGGAAATTAACTTTTTAAAAAGGATTTTATGTATTTTTAAAGGAAGGGAGGGAGAAAGAGAGGGAGAGAAACATCAGTGTGTGGTTGCCTCTTGCCTGTCCCCTCCTGAGGACCTGGCCCCCAACCCAGGCATGTGCCCTGACCGGGAATCGAACTGGCGACCCTTTGGTTTGTAAGCCAGCACTCAGCCCACTGAGCCACACCAGCCAGGGCTCACGTGGTATTTCTTATCTTTTCCGTTGTAGCCATATAGATGTGTAGTTATCTCATGTGGTTTTCCATTCCTGTGTTTTTTAAAACAGCCGTACTGAAATATAATTTATATACTATAAAAACCACCCATTGTAAGCAGTGCTTATTTTTAGTAAATTTATACAATTGTGCAACTGTCGCCCAGTTTTAGAACGTTTCCGTCAAGCCCGAAAGTTCTCCAGTGCCCATTTGCAGTCACTTCTCCCACACCCGGCCCGTGACGCCGCGATGGGCCTGTTATGTGGCTGTAATTTACACTTCCTTGATGACTCATCCCGTTGAGCCCTTTTTCATATGGCCATTAGCCAGTTGGAAATCCTCTTGTGTGAAGTTTCTGTTCAAGACTTTTGCCAATTTCTGTAAGGACTTGCTTGTCTTTTGCATACTTCTTTGCTGTTCTTTATACAGTTGGTAGATGAATACTTTGTCAGATACATATATTGTGAATACGTTTTCTCTCAATGTTTTTTTTTTTTTTCAAGATTTAATTTATTTTTAGAGAGGGGAAGGGAGGGAGAGAAACATCAGTGAGTGGTTGCCTCTCATGCACCACCCCCTACTGGGGATCTGGCCCGCAGCCCAGGCATGTGCCCTGACTGGGAATCGAACTGGCGACCCTTTGGTTTGCAGGCCGGCACTCAATCCACTGAGCCATACCAGCCAGGGTTTAATGGTTTATTTTGTATATGTGCTGCCAGAGTGAACACTTTAATGGTTTATTTTGATAAACAAAATTCCTAATTTTAATATATTCTGATTTATATTTCTTCTTTTATGATTAATATCTTTTGTGGCCTGTTTAAGAAATATTTTTTTCTGCATCAAGATCTGAAAGATGTAATCTTATTTTTCTCTAAGGGCTTTGTTTTAACTCTCACATTTGACCTGCAATCCATCGGGAACTGATGTTGGTATATGGTGTGAGGTAGGGGTACAGATAAATCCTCCACAGGGACACCCAGTCGACCCAGTGTCATTCTTGGTAAAGAGCGTTCTTTCCCCTGACTGCAGCATCATCTTTGTCCTGAGTCAGGTGAGCGTCCGCGTTTGGGTCTCTCTGGCTCTCTAAGGTTCCACTGGTCAATTTGCTTCTCGTTGTCAATGCCACAGAGTCTTAACTACTCTAACTTTATAATTATGTTCCTTTTTAAAATAGCCTCCTGTTCTTGCTTTATGGGTGCAGTATTTTGTCCCTACAAGGATTTTGACGAGCGTTGGAAGTCTTCTTCTCTCCCTACATGGTCTTTATTTTCTCCAAATCTCTTTTCTTCCTGTTTGTCTCGGTCTGTGGGGTTCATGCTCGTAGCTTTCCATGAAGGTGGGAGATCCTTGCAAGTCCTTTCGTAGTTACAGGGAAGGCTCTTACAAGCCAGATGGGAACCCAGAGTGCATGAATAGGGCTCGTTATTTTGGGGAACCTCCTGGGGGTACCAGGGCAGGAATGCCACTCTTCTGCGGGGTTTTCCCTTTGGCGCGTCAGTTTCTCAGCACTGAACCTTCCGATCTCCCAGCTGGGCATAGAAGGCTCGCTGCCGATGTCCTGGGTGACAAGGGACAAGCCGGGGTGTCTCACCTCTCAGAATGCCAGACTTCTCTTAATTTATCTGTTGTCAGCACCTTGTACCACCCCTCCCAGCTGTGCCTGAAGTACCAAATGCAGGGGCATCTCTGCCTCAGCATCTCAGAGAGAAAATCTCTGGCCTCTGCCAGGTGCCAGCTAGCTGTCACTTGGCTGCAGGGAGTGGAGAGGGACCTGCCCCTTTTGTGTACTTTCTACGGTCCTCGTTGCAGCCCATCCTTGCCTCTCACCCAGGAGATTACCATCCAGAGCCTGTCCTGGGGTCCCCCACGTGGGCTGGATGCCTTGGTCCAGGTCTTTGTTCTTTTTGCTGTTTGCTCTCTCTTATTTTCAAAACTCATCAGTGCCTTTGTGACAGAGCAAGAGGGGAGACCACGAGATCCCAGCAACCTGGTTCCCATTCCCATTTTGCTTCTCATCTTCCAAAACCCTTCCTCTTACCTGCTCTAGGCCTCGCTCTCCTTTGTCATTTCGGGTTTACCTTTTCTACGTCCTTGCTGTCAATTTTGGTGATTTCAGAGGGAGCCTGGGCTCGGGCTTCCACGGCTCTGGGGTGCCCCTTTGAGCTGTGACTGCCTGTTCCTTCTCTCTGTGGTGTTCTTCCCATCAGTCTCCCCTTTAGTGGCCCGTTGTCCTTCTCCACATCTCAGCACAGTATGTCACCTCCTCGGGGAAGGCTTCCTCCTGTGGACGCACCCCCTGCGACCCAGTCCGATTCTCAGTCACAGAACTCAGGCGTCCTCACCTGAGGGCACGACCGCGCTGACCCTGGCGGCTATTTCCTTTATGGCTCCCACCACGTTCCCGAATCATGTTACCTGTTCATCGATGGGTTTGCCACGTCCCCTTCAGCAGTGTGTGGGGCACACAGCAGATGTATAATCAACATCTGTACGAAAAGGTCTAGAAGGAAAAAGGTGCCACTTACCTGGGCAGGTGGGCAGACAGGCTCTAAGGCCTGCGTGGGGCCAATGAACAAACTTGCCACAGCACAGAGGGCAGGCCGAGGGCAGAGGCTCTCCGGCCGGCACGTGGGGTGAGCAGGGCTCTCGACGCCCGGCCAACCCCGCTGCCCCCTCCCGCCGCTCCAGATGGACCCGGTGCGGCTGACCCAGCTGTATGAGCAGGCTCGGTGGGACCTGCTGCTGGAGGAGATCGACTGCACAGAGGAGGAGATGATGGTGTTCGCAGCCCTGCAGGTGCCAGGCAGGCCTTGGGGCTCGGGGTGGCAGGGGCACGGGCCAGTCCCCGGCAGGGAGAATCTCCCAGGGCGGGGCCCCATCTCTAGGGAAGCCCAGCTCAGGGTAGGGTTGGGCAAACGGGCTGCCTGCTGAGCCCTCCCTGGCCACATGCCCCACCCAGTACCACATCAACAAGCTGTCCCAGAGCGGGGAGGTGAGTGAACCGACAGGCACGGACCCGGGACTGGATGATCTAGACGCAGCCCTGAACAACCTGGAGGTGAAGCTGGAGGGGTCAGCGCGCACGGATGTGCTGGTGAGAGGGGCTCTGGTCAGGGATCGGGGGCGGGTGAGGCCCAGAACCGGCCCCTCTGACTCCCCCTCGTCCCCAGGACAGCCTCACCACCATCCCGGAGCTGAAGGACCACCTCCGCATCTTCCGGTGAGTTTGGGGGCAGAGTTGGCAGCCCAGCGGGAGGGGCCCAGTGTAAAGTGACAGAGAGGAGGGAGGAAGGTGGCTGGTCCCCACCTTCCACCTCACCCTCAGGCCCAGAAAGCTCACCCTGAAGGGGTACCGCCAGCACTGGGTGGTGTTCAAGGAGACCACGCTGTCCTACTACAAGAGCCAGGATGAAGCCCCGGGGGACCCTGTTCAGCAACTCAACCTCAAGGGTGAGTGTGGGAAGGCCAGGTGGACACTCTCACCTGCTTCCCCCCCGAGTGCCAGGGAACAGGCTGTGTTCTCAGGCAGACTAGGGCTGGCCTTTCCCGGGGGCGTCACAGGCAGGGCTCCCCCACACTGGCCTCCTAGCCCACCCCTCTCCTTTCTGCAGGCTGCGAGGTGGTCCCTGATGTCAACGTGTCCGGCCAGAAATTCTGCATCAAACTCCTGGTGCCCTCCCCAGAGGGCATGAGTGAGATCTACCTGCGCTGCCAGGATGTGAGCCCTGCGCCTGGGTGGGCAGCCAGGGTGGGCGTGGGGTAGGGGAGGGGTGGTGGGCTGAACCGGAGCCCAGCTGGCCCCTCACCACCCTCCCACCTCCCACCCTAGGAGCAGCAGTACGCGCGCTGGATGGCCGGCTGCCGACTGGCCTCCAAGGGCCGAACCATGGCGGACAGCAGCTACGCCAGCGAGGTGCAGGCCATCCTGGCCTTTCTCAGCCTGCAGCGGACAGGCACTGGGGGCTCCGGCAACCAACCCCAGGGACCTGATGCCTCCCCTGAGGGCCTCAACCCTTACGGCCTTGTTGCGCCCCGCTTCCAGCGAAAGTTCAAGGCCAAACAGGTGCCACAGGGCGTAGGGGTGGGAATGACCTTGGCGTTTACCTGGCCATCCTTGGCCCCTGGATCTCCATAGCAACTTCCTCTGAAAAGCCATGTGCTCCCACATTCCTTCTCCCACCCATGTCCCTCAGCTTGAGTGTGCTGGTCCCTGCCCAGAGGAGAGGGGCTCACCACGGTCCAGCTGCCTACACCCACCTTAGGGCCTGGCTGGGCTCACAGTGGGGAGAGGGAGCACTTGGGTGGCCCAACAGTGGACGCTGCCCCTGCCCTAGGCTTAGCGTCCTGTCTCCCTGATGGGGACAGGCAGGGGGACTCAGGGACTTTGGAAGCCCTCACAGTGTGGTCCTGCAGCTCACCCCACGGATCCTGGAAGCTCACCAGAACGTGGCACAACTCTCGCTGTCGGAGGCCCAGCTGCGCTTCATCCAGGCCTGGCAGTCCCTGCCTGACTTCGGCATCTCCTATGTCATGGTCAGGTAAGAGCCCTGCTCTGCCCCGCCCTCTCCGCCCTCACCTGCTGCCTGGGGTTTGCACCCTGTGTGCCCCACCCCCAACCCTGCGCCCCCACAGCAAACCCAGAGAGGTCAGGCCGGGAGAACAGGAGTACCAGCTCCGTCCCAACGCCGTCCCAACGCCATCCCAACGCCGTTCCAACGCCGTCCCTCTCCAGGCCTGGGTTAGCTGGTCTGTGGGACTGCGCTGACGCTGGCTGCTAGGACAGGGACTGCCCCTCTGCCTGTTTTCCAAGCCAGCAAAGATGATGATGATACAAGAAAGTTATGTAAAGGCATGGACTATTTGCCTGACGCCCCTAAATGTTACGGTGATTGTATCGATCGACTCCCACACTCCAGATGAGGAAGTCGAGGCCCAGAGAACCTAAGGGACCCACTTGCACAGCCTGCTCCTGAGCATCACACCAGGCTGTGTGAGCAGGGGACTTCGCTCACACTCTGTCCTCCTGGGGACCAGGTTCAAGGGCAGCAGGAAAGATGAGATCCTGGGCATCGCCAACAACCGACTGATCCGCATTGACTTGGCCGTGGGCGACGTGGTCAAGACCTGGCGCTTCAGCAACATGCGCCAGTGGAACGTCAACTGGGACATCCGGCAGGTGGGCCCAGAGTGGAGTGGGGGGTGGGGGGGTGAGGGCGGGGCTGGGGGGGGCCAGACCCAGCCAGGGCTGTGCAGGGGCTGCGCCCTCATCCCACTTCCACACGCCCCTCTAACCACCTGCCCTGCAGGTAGCCATCGAGTTTGATGAACACATCAACGTGGCTTTCAGCTGCATATCTGCCAGCTGCCGCATTGTGCACGAGTACATAGGAGGCTACATTTTCCTGTCCACACGGGAGCGCGCCCGAGGGGAGGAGCTGGACGAGGACCTCTTCCTGCAGCTCACAGGAGGCCACGAGGCCTTCTGAGGCCTGTCCTGCTGCCCCTGTCCTGCTCACCACCTGCCATGGCCACTCCTAAGCCCACACACACTGGGACTCACTGCCCACACCTTCTCCAGACATGCGCTGAGCTGGGCACATTCACCGACTGTCACTGGCTTTGTGCCGACCAGGGACTGGGCTGGGCTGGACTCTGCCCTCCCCCAGGTGGGCCCTGAGCGCCCCAACACTGCTCTTCCTCGGTTTGAGTGGTGGAGACTGACACCCCGGACCTCACTGCGGTCCCTGCGCACGCAAGGAAGACCAGCTGTAGCTACAGGATGACAATTCATGGTTTCAAACTGGAGTTTCCTTTTGGTTATCTTTTACATTTCTTATTTTAAAATAAATATTTTATTGTTGGATCATCCTCCTTGCCCTGGAGCTGTGCTTGGGAGTGCTCTGACACTGTGTCTCTTCAGTACCAGCCAAGGAGAGGGGTTTTCCTGAGACAGGGACAAGTCGGTTAGAGAACGGGAGATTGAAGTCAGCTGGGAAAGAGGTAAAGGGCACAGGTTTCGGGCTCAGAACAGGGCACAGTGGAGGTCCTCACGGGTAGGGCGTAGCTGCAGAGCCTCCTTGAAGTACTTGGGAAGCAGGAAGCCATCAGCATTCCCTGGAGTCAGGATCACCCCATTGGCAGAGCGGAAGAAGGGGATGCCATCTGTGCACAGAGCCAGGGATGCAGCCAGGCCCTCTCTGCAGGCCCCAGGCTGCCCCTGCTGTGCCCAGACTCACCTGCCAGGGCCAGGGGCCCATTGATGAACACAGCCACGTCGCAGTTCAGCCGCATGCCTGCAGGGACACCTGGAGCTGGGGTCTGTGGTGCCGGGGGCTGCAGTTATCAAACCTGGCCAGGCTGGGGAGCTGGACTCAGTGGGCAGAAGAGGGTGCCACTGCACACAGGGTATGGGGTGGCTCTGGAGGGGGGCCTGGGAGGAGAGTGGGTGGGAATCTGGGGGGGGCACTGACCACTGATGACACCAGGGTCCCCAGGCAGTCCTGTGGCCAGGTGGATGTGCGTCCTTCTCTGGCAGGACAGGCCCTTGAGCAGGATGGAGGGCCAATACTTCCAGAATGTGCCATGGACAAGTATCAGGGGCAGGTCCCGCGGGGTCTCCAGGGGCATCAGCTCCAACTCAGGTACCTGGTATGGGTGAGGGAATAGGCAGCAGTGAGACCCCCTCCCAGGCAGGGGTCCCGCCTGGCTCTCCCCCGTGTCCTGTTAGCCCCCACCTGCAGGGAGTGACCCTGATTGGCCCGGATGAGAGGGCCCGTGCTGGGGTCCCCCGGCTGCAGGGCAAACCGCTGCTTCCCATTGGTGTCCACCACGCGCTGCACGTCTTCAGCTGAGAAGCTGCGGAACTGGGGCAGCTGCAGGAGGGCGCCCAGGGGCACGAAGCCGCCTGTGGGCACACGGGGTGCTTGGGGCTGAACCTCTCTGGCCTGAGCCAGAGTTACCAGGGGAGACACAGGTGACCAGAACAGAGCCTGGGCTTAAGGGTCACAAGGGGTCATTGGCGTGACCTTGGGAAAGTCTTCCCTCTCCAAGCCTCAGTTTCCTCAACTGACCAGGGAATAGGCTCTGCCTCCTGGAGGGCCCCAAAGATAAAGTGACCCTTTTTAGCACAGTACCTGGCTCAAGGTGGATACTCAGTAAGCCTCCTTTGTACCCCCACCCCCCACCCCGTGCCCACTTTTGGGATAAGTGTTTATGCCCAGAGGCTCCTTTCCCAGTTTGCCCCAAACATGGTATTGGGCTCTGGGTCTTCCCTGTAAATGGAGGGATGTACCTTGCTTGCATGTGGTCCCCACAGGGCCACGGTGGGAGCTGTGGGGGAGAGAAGTTACAAACAGGCTCACACTGCTCCCTGCACTGGAGCCCCTCCAAGCCCCTCACTTACCAGGCCCCATGGGAAGCCCCAGCTTCAGGGCCCCGTGGCGCAGGGCATAGGACAGCGCCTTGGACAGCTGGACATCTCGGTCCTACAAGAGTTCAGAGGTGGCCCCTGGTCCCTGTGGTGATCCTGCCTTGCTGCCCACCCTGAACACTGAGTGACCTGCTGCAGGGGGAGACCAGAGGGAGAGAGAGTCCCTGTGTTCTGCAGAGAATGGTGTGATAGGTCAGCCATCAGTCCCACCCCACCAGCATTTCCCAGAGAGCCAAGACTGAGTCCCCTCACCTCCCCTTTCCACCACGGAGGGCAGGGGGGTAGGGGTGAGGGGCGGGGAACGCACCTGTTCCCGGGGTCTGTGAGCCCTTCTACCCCTGGGCCCTGCTGCTTCCTGCTTCTTCTCTCCAGAGTTCATGATCAAAACCTGTGGGAAGCAGTGGCCTGTGGGGGACTGTGAAGGGCCGTCTCATGACCCCACCCCTGCCCAGAAAGTCAAAAAGCCTCAAGAGGTGAGAGCTGGGAGGGGGGTACTCAGATCGTTAAATTCACCTCCCACCCCCAACTCCCTGGTGCAGAAAGGAACACTGAGGCCCGCAGGCAAGACTTGCCCAAGGTGACACTGTCAGCCACGGAGTCCAGCAAAGCCGAGACCCCCGCACTGCAGGCTCACAGGTCGCCCCGGGAGGCGGGCCTGAGGAGGAGGTGCCGGCGCCCAGACTAAGCGGGCGGCTGATCCGGCGGCCGTGGCAGAACGAACAGGAACAGGGAGAACAGACCGCTAGGCTCACTGCCTCCTACAGCAAGGCGGCTGCCTACGCGAGCTCCGGAGCACCGAAACCCGCCAATGAAAAGCCCGGGAGGGAGGGGCGGGCACTTCCGCTGGGGGGAAGGGGCGGAGACTGCGGGCTGTGTTGGCGGTGAGTCCACGCCGCGGGCTGGAGCTTCCGAGCTCTGGGAGGGGTTCCTGGGAGTCTAGGGTTGGAAACAGGACCCCTGGGTTTGGGAGACATGGACATCAGGGGGTGACTGGAAGAGGACCTCCGGGTGGTAGTGGTGCCCTGGAGTCCCAGGAATGTCTGGCGGCAGGAGTCTCGGGCTCCTGCTGGATGATAAGACACTTTACTGCCCAGGGACATTCAAAAGGGCTGGAAGTATCCTCAGTAGGTCTGTGGGTGGCTGTAGGTACCCCAAGCTGACAGACCTGGCTGTGACCTTCCCCAGAGCTTCCCTGTCCAGACTATGGACCCCGAGGTGTCTCTGCTGCTGCAGTGCCCGCCGGGTGGGCTGCCAGAGCAGCAAGTACGGGCTGAGCTGAGTCCAGCCCACGACCGTCGTCCACTGCCAGGAGGGGACAAGGCCATCGCTGCCGTCTGGGAGAGCAGGTTACAGGCCCAGCCCTGGCTCTTTGATGCTCCCAAGTTCCGCCTGCACTCTGCTGCCCTGGTGCCCACTGGCTCCCAGGGGCCACAGCTGCTTCTGCGTGTGGGCCTGACGTCCTACCGAGACTTCCTGGGCACCAACTGGGCCCGCTCAGCTGCCTGGCTTCGACAGCAGGGGGCTGCTGACTGGGGTGACAAGCAAGCCTATCTGGCAGACCCTCTGGGAGTGGGCGCGGCGCTGACCACTGCGGATGACTTCCTTGTCTTCCTGCGCCGCTCTAAGCGGGTGGCTGAGGCCCCTGGCCTGGTGGATGTGCCTGGTGGGCACCCTGAGCCTCAGGTAAGATGCCAGGTTGGGTGCAAAGGCACAGCGACCCAGAGAACTCAGTTTTTACTCCATTTCTCAGAGGGGGGATTAGCCTGGTACTTCTCTGCAAGTCTCTGCTCAAGGGAGCCCCTCAGCCTCCCCACTGATCCCTTCCCCAGACCTGTCAGAAGCTAGGGAATGGGGCAAGGACCTAGCTGGACCTCTGGTTTTCCCTTTGGAAAAGGAGAGCCTGGGTGAGGAGGCCACCAACACTCACACTGTGCCCTCAGGGCCAGTGAGCATGGGGGAAGGCAGGGCAGGAAGAGGTGGGGAACCGGCTGAGCCTCACCTCTCACAGGCCCTGTGCCCTGGTGACAGCCCTCTGCACAAGGACCTCCCTGGGGAGCTGGTGGTGCATGAACTCTTCTCCAGTGTCCTCCAGGAGATCTGTGATGAGGTGAGTGAGGGGTGACCAGGTCAGGGTGGTGGACTACGAGGGAGGTTGTAGAATAGAACGTGCCAGAATTCCACGACCTCATTCTGGGCTGGTGCGAGGGTCTGCAGGCATGTGGCATTGAGAGAAGAGCTTGGCTTTGCAACTGGGCACACTTGGAGTAGAATTCTATCCGCCATTTCTGTGTGCCTTAGGTTCTTCCTCTTTACAATGTAAACAATGACAAATGTCGCGCCTACTCCCCCCAGGTTTGTTGAAAAGAAAGGTAACTGGAAGTCAATTTATCGACTTCCCTTGCGTGACTGAGCAAATTATCCAATCTCTGGTTCTGGTTTTCCCATCTGTAAAATGAACATGCCCAAGATCCAACATCCTGCGATCCTGGACACTAGAGCTACAAACTGTAAAATGCTGTAGTAACAGGGTAATGCATGTGCTGACCTCCACCGGGAGGGGCAGGGATGTGGGCAGTGAGTACTGACAGGGGGGACCCTGGCCCCAGGTGAACCTGCCACTGCTCACCCTGAGCCAGCCGCAGTTACTGGGCATCGTGCGCAATGAGACCAGTGCAGGCCGTGCCAGTGCCGAGTTCTACGTCCAGTGAGTGAGCTCTGGGGGACAGGGTCCTGTTTCCTGAGGTGGGTGGGTGGTTGAGGGGCAGGGCTGAGACAGCTGGGGCTCCACAAGGACCCTCCAGGGGCTGGGCACCCACCAGGCCATTCTATGTCTTTCTTGTCCAGGTGCAGCCTGACCTCTGAGCAAGTGAGGAAACATTACATGAGTGGGGGACCGGAGGCGCACGAGTCCACAGGAATTATCTTTGTGGAGACACAGGTGTGAGGTGGCAAAGTCTTGCTCCTTGGACAAGGAGCTGGGGTTGGGACTTGCAGAGGCCTGGCGATGCGTGTCCCAGGCCATCAGACAAGGCTCCCAGATCTCTCAGAGCTTTTCTCCAGCGTCAGGAGGCCTCACTGGGGATGCCCAGAGCCCAAGGGAGAGGGCCACGGACATGGTCAGCCTCTTTAGCATGTCTCCTTAGGGACTGTACAGGGCCCAGAACTCTGGGCACAACTGCAAAAGACGCAAGGGCAACGTGTCTGGCTCTCACTGTCTCCCCACAGAACGTGAAGAGGTTGCAGGAGACTGAAATGTGGGCCGAGCTCTGCCCCTCTGCCAAAGGCGCCATCTTCCTCTACAACCGGGTCCAGGGCAGTTCCACCTGAGTCATGTTAGGGTCCCCAGACCTATCACCACAGCTCGAAAGACAATAAAGGACTTTACTCTTGGATTCCGTTGATATGTGCTGTTTCCATGAGACAGAGCCTGCGGGTGAGAGAGACAGGACAAATGACCTGAGGGGAGGGGGGTGGAAGCCCAGCCTCAGTACTGCCCTCTGCATTCTGGGATGAAGGCCATGTTTTCTTGCCAGGCTCTGGTGAGGGTCCGGGTCGACTATGGGGTGGAAGCTGTTCTGTTAAAAGTATCTCATCGCAAAGCAGAGTGACAGCAGATGGCCTCACTGAGTGTCAGGTGTGGTGCGGCCGCTTCCCGCGTGGACCTCCGCGCGGACACCCGCGCTTATCAGCCCGAGCAAAGCACTCCGCTTCTGGAGGTGGCCCGGGACACAGAAGGCCAATGGGCTATGGGGGCAGGGCCTAGTCTCACCACCCTGCTCGGTGGGTGTGTCTGGGTGTGCGAGCCACTGAGAACGTGGAGGCGGGGCCTACATCGGAGCAGAAAATGGCGGCGGCCACGGAATCTGTGAGTGATGGGGGCGGGGCTCGATGTAGCTCCTCCTTCGTTCGCCCCTCAAACTCCCTGGATGGGGTGGGTTGGGGGTTTCTCCGCGCTCGGGGCTGGTCGTACGGACACCGAGGCCAGTGTGGAGAAGGGCCCGGTCAGAACCGGGGCAGGTCCAGGGCGCCGCGGTCTGGTCTTAAGCAAGGAGGCCCCACCTGCTCATGGGTCCTCCGGGCCTGCTTCAGTTTCCCTTCGCAAGTTAATGGAGCCAGCCCCCTTCCCTCTGCCCCAGGGGTGCTTGAGGTCTGGTCCCAATGCAGTCCTCTTTGTGGCCTCTTTTCACCAGCTGTCCGCCTGCCGCCATGCTGCCCCTGTGTCTGTGTCAGCTGTGCCTACGTCGGCTGCGACCCCGCAGCCCTCCCACCCGGCTCTTCGCAGAGGCCGCCCGGCAGCGGTGAGTCGGTCACCGGGGACCCGGTGCCGGCCTGGTCGTTCAGTGGGTTTTGTTGAGGGCCTGCCGAGCTCCAGGCTCTGCCCTAGGTGCTGAGATAGTTGTGATCTCTGTGTCAGGTGTCTTACAGCCTTGTCTCAGGTAACCCTCACCTTCACTACTGAGGATGACATTAAGGGATGGCCATCAAGGGTACTTGGTTATACAGCGAGTTATGAGGCAGATCTGAAGGGTTTTTTGAAAGATTTTTATTTATTTACTTTTAGAGAGAAGGGAAGGGAGGGAGGAAGGAGAGAAATATCAATGTGTGGTTGCCTCTCATGAGGGACCAGGTCCGCAACCCCAGGAGTTGAACCTGCGACCCTTTGGTTCACAGACCTGCATTCAACCCACTGAGCTACACCAGCCAGGGCCAGATATGAAGTTTGAGCCCAAGCCAAACCCAATGCACTTTCCACAACTCCTGTGGTTGTGGAGCATCATAATCCTAACCCACCTGGGGAGGGGGGGGGTGTTTTACAAAAATGCAGATTCCTGGGCCCTGCCCTATTCCTCCAACACTCAAGAAAGAGGGATGGTATGGAGATAGGTCTCCCTCGGTGCCTGTATCTCAGCTCATGGTTGCTGAGTTGAAGAGTGTGGCCCAGGGGGGGCTGGGAGGAGTAGGGAAGGGGTATCTTTTGTGTTTCTTTAGCCCCTGCAGGTTCTGGCTTCTCTCCACAGGTCTGACCCCAGGAACTACTATGAACTGTTAGGGGTGCATCCTGGTGCCAGCACTGAAGAAGTAAAACGAGCTTTCTTCTCCAAGTCCAAAGAGGTACCAGTGGTTCTAGGCAGGGAGGAGGGAGAGGAAGTTTGAGCCAGATGGGGTGCACACCAAATTCCCAGGGATGGAGCTGAGTGGCTCACTCTGGCTGGTGCCACATTCCCTCAGCATGTACAGGGAGGGGGAGGTGCCCTAAGGGCTGAGGTCTGGCATGGTGTGAGGAAAGCCAGGGGTCCTGCCTGGGATTAGTTTTCTTGGCCTGCCTGCTGTTAAGCAAACCTGGACCAGGCAGCAGGTGGAGAGGGAGCAGGAGTGTTTCCCGACTCTCTGGCCTTCTGGAGGGGTGCTCGGCCTGAGGGCCTGAGAGTGAAGGTCACTGTCCAAACAAGGCCTGTGGGGATGATTTGAGCCCTTGTGGGTGGATATTATCAAGATGGGTCCTGGGAAGGAGCGTGGGAAGGGAGATGAGGAGAGTCCTGCCCCATTCCAGCTGCACCCTGACCGGGACCCTGGGAACCCAACCCTGCACAGCCGCTTTGTGGAGCTGAGTGAAGCATACCAAATACTCAGCCGGGAGCAGAGCCGCCGTGAATATGACTACCAACTCCGCTCAGCCACTCCCCCGAAGTCTCCAGGAACCACAGCCCATGCCAAGTCTGCCCATCAAGCACACAGGTACAGTATCTTGCAGCTAACCACTTCCCCTCCAAGTCTCCAGGGGAGCCTCATCCCCACACTGCCCCTGTTTCTCCCTCCCAGCAGCTCCTGGACACCCCCCAATGCACAGTACTGGGCCCAGTTTCACCGTGTGAGGCCTCAGGGACCAGAGTCGAGGCAGCAGCAGCGCAGACACAACAAGCGGGTGCTGGGGTACTGCCTCCTCGTCATGCTGGCCGGCATGGGCCTGCACTATGTTGCCTTCAGGTGCATCCCGGCCTTTCCCGGTGGTGGTGGGCAGAGGGCAAGAGGAGAAGTGAAGCCAAGGGGGGCCAGTCAGATATCCATACCGCCCCTGTGACCTGCACTCCTGTGTCTCTCAGGCTCAGGTTGTGTGAAATAGGTCTCTAGAGCCTATTCTTAGCAAACTAAGGGAGACTGTTCTGTTGTCATTTTAAGTTTGTTTTGTTTTTTATAATTTGCATGTAAGTCCTTGGTGCTGGCTGCCAGGTAGTGATGGAGCCAAAGTCATGCACAAGAAAGAAATGCATCGTGACTGGGCCTCACCAACAACGAAGCTCACTTGTTTGGCAGTCAACTGTCTCCCCACCCCTCTCTCACGTGTCCCGTGACACTGAGGTTCCACTGCAAAGGGACAGAAAGGCGGTGCCCACTGCTAGCAGCCCACCTAGCTCAGTGATGCAGTTAGACATCCAGCCCTCTCTGATCTTCTGTGAGGACCACCCTGTTGTTCAAGTGCTGCGGTCACCACCTTCAACAGGCCAGCCAGAGAGCTGGGTTGTCACTAGACCCTGGATAAGCCTGGACACTCTGTACCCCTTTCCACACCTAGCACAGGCAGTTAGACTGAGGTCCCCACAGACATAAAGCTCTGATGCCCTAGAGTGGGGTGCACAGTGTGTGGGACCTGGGAGACAGCAGGGTTTGGAGGACTCAGGGTTAACTGTACCCCGTGCAGGAAGCTGGAGCAGATGCACCGCAACTTCATGGATGAAAAGGATCGGATCATCACAGCCATCTACAATGACACTCGGGCCCGAGCCAGGTCTGTCCCTGCTCTACCCTGCCCTCTCTTCACTGTCCTGACACCACCCTGTAGGGTCCCGGTTCCAACCACCCCGGTGCTCTCTCCTGCAGGGCCAACAGAGCCAGGCTCCAGCAGGAGCAACAGCAGAGGCAGCAACTGCAGCCACCGCTCGGGCCTCCCCCAGGCCCGGGGATCATGCCCCCCAGCGCCAGTCCTTGAGCCTCTCACCCAGATGGAGCCTCATGTGTATTCCCTCTTGGGACACCCCATTGCCCAAAACGCGTGCAATAAAGTGATTCTCTGCGCTCTTGTCCGACTCCCTCCTTTAGGCCCAGCACCCCCAACCCAGGCCTCGCCTTGGGACAGAGCCCCGCCCTCGGAGTTCTGGTGACTGCGAAGCGGGAGCCCAGCCCCCTGGGTGGTGCGTCCCCTTTACCCTGTTGCAGCAGGAGGGGGGGGCGGTGTATGGAGGGGGCGGGCCCGCCAACGGCCTCGCCCCCACCCGCCCCCGCCCCGCCCCGCCTCTGCCCCGCGGCCCGGGTGGGGAGCGCGTGTCTGGGTCACATGAGCCGCCCGCCAGCCAGCCCGGGCCGGCCCCCTGCTGCCCCCGCCATCCCCGCCACCTCGCCCGCCGCTGCCACCGGCCACCCACCCACTCAGCTCCTTCGGCCACCGCGGCCGCTGCTGCGCTGCACTGCCTGCGCCCAAGGCTCGGGAGAGGGCCGCGGAGGAGCCGCCCCCCGCAACCGGCCCCCGCCCGCCGCGCCCCAGCCCGCGCCATGGGGCTCTGGTTGCCGCCGCCCCCGGCGCCGCCTGGCTAGGACGATGCGGGCGCCCCCGGCGCGCGGCCCCTGTGGGCACCATGAGCCCCTTGCTCCGCCGCCTGCTGCTCGCGGCGCTCCTGCAGCTGGCCCCAGCCCAGGTACGTGCGTCCCCGACATCCTGCCTGCCCGCCAGCCGTGCCCTCTCTCAAGGTTGGCGGAAGTGGAGGCGCGAAGCGGCCTGGGCAGAGGGTATTCGCGGGTCCGACCGCAGATAGGGGCGTAGCAGGAGTTGGAGCGGGGCATCCCCCAGGAGTTGTCCCTCCCCACTGGCCTGCCAGCCCAGCCCCAGGGCCACTCCCCCGCCCCACCCTATCCCCTGGGTGCTACCGCTCGGGGGGTGGAGCTGTGTGGGTGCCTGCAGGACCTGGTTCGGTGCCCCGTGTGCCCCCTTCTGACCTGTAGCCTCCCGAACAAGCCTGGTCGCCAGGCTTGGAGATTGCACTGTGCTGGTAGAGCATGCCTGGCAGGTCGTGGCTAGAGGCAGGTCCCAGGTGTCCAGAAGAGGACAGGTAAAGCTAGAGTGAACCTGGGAACAGAGCGATCTGGAAAAATGTCAGGAGTTGAAGCCTTCTGACTGCAGGGGTAGAGCCGTGGGTCAGTGTAGCCCTAACTAGAATGCACCTGGAGCCCAGTTCTCTTCTCTCCTACAGGCCCCTGCCTCCCCGCCTGAGTCCCCTGGCCACCAGAAGAAAGGTAACGCTAACAACAAAAACTTCACATAGGCAGCACTAGGAAGGTTTGCTGAGTGTCCATCATGTATAATCTCAGCTGTTTTGTAAGATGGCAACTCTTGCCCTGCCCATTTCACAGAAGTTGAAGTTGAGGCTGTGGGATTCCTGGGTTCTGGATGAACAGGTTGGGCGGGCAGAAGTGGGGGCTAGTGGAGGGTGGCTGTGACACAGGAACTGGGGAGAACAGCTGCTGGGCACAGGGGTGGGAGAGCCAGGGAGCAGCTGCAGGAAACCCAGTGGGGACTTAACCTCACGCTTCTCTCCTCAGTGGTGTCATGGATAGATGTGTATGCTCGCGCCACCTGCCAGCCACGGGAGGTGGTAGTGCCCCTAACTCTGGAGCTTGTGGGCACCATGGCCAAGCAGCTGGTACCCAGCTGTGTGACCGTGCAGCGCTGCGGCGGCTGCTGCCCCGACGACGGCCTGGAGTGCGTGCCTACTGGGCAGCACCAAGTCCGAATGCAGGTACCGGGCGGGTGTAGAGGGTCTCACCGGGTGGGATGCCGGTGCTCTGGCGGCTGACACACCAGCAGCCAGAGCCTTGGCAGGTGGGAGAGCTGTTCTCCCTCCAGCCCATGCAGTGTCTCCTTCTCCCTTTCCTCTGTCATTGTCTCTCTCCCTGTTCTCCTGAGCACAGATCCTCATGGTCCGGTACCCGAGCAGTCAGCTGGGGGAAATGTCCCTGGAAGAACACAGCCAGTGTGAATGCAGGTGCCAGCCAGGCCCCACTTCTGAGCTTGCAGAGACCAGGCTTGGGGGGTGCTGGGCATGGTGGTACACCGCAGTGGGGACCAGGTTTCCTTGAGTGGGGCTGGGGTAGGCCTGGGATCTGGGCAAGAGAGTAGGGTACTTGGCTTTCCTGATCCTCCTCCTCCTCGTTTCTGTTGGTCTCTCTTTCAGACCAAAAAAAAAAGAGAGTGCTGTGAAGCCCGACAGGTGAGTCTCCGGGGCTCCTGTTGAGGTGGGGATGGAACCCAGGCCCCGTGCCCAGGATGTAGCGTGTGGGCGGGGCAGGGGCTGTACAAGTGTGTCAGGCAGCTGCCGTCCACTTCCCTCTCTTCCCTCCACTTGTGTCCCCTTGTCCCCTTTCCCTCTGTTCTCCATTCTGTGTGTTCTGACCCACCCCCAGCTCCCTCCAGGGAAGACTCTTCCTTCCTGTCCCAGACATGTTGCTTCTCCTCCTAGGGCTGACACTCCCCGCCACCGTCCCCAGCCCCGCTCTGTTCCGGGCTGGGATTCTGCCCCCGGAGCACCCTCCCAAGCTGACATCACCCATCCCACTCCAGCCCCAGGCCCCTCTGCCCACGCTGTACCCAGCGCCGCCAGCGCCCTGACCCCAGGACCTGCCACTGCCGCTGCAGACGCCGCAGCTTCCTCCGTTGCCAAGGGCGGGGCTTAGAGCTCAACCCAGACACCTGCAGGTAAGGAGTTGTTTGGGAAGGCGGCAAGGCCCTTTTCCTGGAGCACATCCAGGACGAGCCTGCCAGTGGGGTGAGAGCCAGGAAAGGGGGAGCCATTGAATGAGTTGAACAAATATTTAACGAATGCCTGCTGGCGCCGGGGTCAGCATAAATAAGGCTCACATTCTAATGCAGAAGTCCGACACAAGGACACATGATGCCAGCCAAGGCTGTTGGGGTCTGTGGTAAGGGGCACCTGGCATCGTGTTGAGAGGTCAGAGATGTCCTGGAGAAGGTGACATCTGCCTGGAGTAGAAATGAGAGAGACATCTTGCCAGCTCGCAAAGGTCTGCGCCTTCCCAGAAGCCCTTGCATTAGACATTGTCCCACCTTATGGGTTCTGAGAAGCCAGGGGACATAGTGTGAGCCTTGTTCGCCATTGTCTGAGGGCTTCTCACCACCCATCCCTTCCACAGTGAGGCCACCAGTGTGGCATCGTGTGGGCTGGGCCAGCTGGGACTGCTTAGGAGCGTTAGGCAAGAATGAGGTTCACAGAAAGTAACAAAGGGGTGAGTCCAGAGCAGTAGGTGCTGAGGTGTGGCAGCGTGAACAGATGCCCCTTTCCTCTCCTCCTTAGGTGCCGGAAGCTGCGAAAGTGACACATTGCTTTTCAGATTCAGTGGGGCCGCTTTCCTCGCAGGCCATACCTCCGAGAGGCCTAGAGGGCAGCCTGGAGAGAACAGCCCTGCCGCCCCCCCTCCCCAAGACCTCAGCTCAGGCGGACACTGCGTCAGGACTTGGGCCTCTCAGAAGGCTTTCTGGCCACCCCCTGTCTCTGCAAGGTTGCATCCAACATGGTGGGCAGAGTTGGATGAAACTTGGAGGCAAGAGGGATGGTGTACCAGCTTGGGAGAACTTGGGCCCTGTCGAAGCCTTTGACCACTCTGTGCAAGTGAGCATCTTAACTGGCCCCTCCTTGCCCTTGCTAAGGAGACCCTGGTCCTCTGCAAATAATGGGAGTTGGGCTTCGGTATGAGAACTGTGACCCCAGATTCTGATAAAAGAGATGGAAGGAGCTGTCCCTGCCTGTATCACTGTTTGTGACTGTTCAGGCTGGCGGTTCAGGCATGAGTGTGTCACACTGCCTCCTCGACCCGGCGCTTCTTACTCTTCATGTGCAGATGCAGTGGGTGAGGCCCAAGCTCCCACACCAGCTCGCAGACAGAGCCCACATATGTGTGCTTCCCATTCATGTTGTTACTGCCAGGCCCCAGGGAGGCCCTGTCCCCTGCTTATCATCACAAGGGTTTCTTTCTTGTGAGTTTGGGGTGGAAACCAGACCTGCTGAATGACCTTGGCTATCACTGCCCCTCAGTCTGAGCCTCAGGTTTCAACCTGTGCACATAGAGGGAATGGACGATCACGATGGTCCAGGCTTTGGTCCCAAGGAAAGTTTGAATGAATTTTTTCTTTTTTTAAGATTTTATTTATTTTTAGGGAGAGGGGAAGGGAGAAAGGGAGAGAAACATCAATGTGCCAGCGATACACTGATTGGTTGCCTCTCACATATCCCCAACTGGGGACCTGGCCTGCAAATCAGGCATATGCCCTGACTGGGAATTGAACTGGCAACCTTTCAGTTCACAGGCCAACGCTCAATCCACTGAGCCACACCAGCCAGGGCTGTTTGCATGAATCTTGACATCATAGAAAAGAACACCTTCCTCCCTGCCAGGCAGCTCTGTGTTTTAGTCCCTGTTGCTGAACTTACTGTAAGGCCAAGTACCTGCCTTGTATGTTACCAAACATACAAGGGAAGTACCAAAGATACGTGGCTGGTGGGCTTGGTTTGAGAAATAAGACCCCCTCACCCTGACCCCAGTCTTCTCCACCTTCATCTCCCTTTCACCTTGGGTGCCCCTCACCAGCCCCTGCTTGAGACTCTCCGGACCTTTATCTGCCCCAGTCCAAGCTTAGTGCCCAGCCTTCTGCCCGTACAGCCTACAGTGCCACCTGGGCTGAGTGGTGAGGGGTGGTCCAAAGGTCAACTCTGAGTACAAATGGCTTTGTTTTGTGCCGCAGAGGAAGAACATGCATGCAGGGGCAGAGGTTAATCCAAAGTAGCCACCCGCACAGTGTTAGATGGGAGGGTGTGATAATGATCTTGGGCCTGAGGCAAAAGCCAGGTAAACTAGAAGAGAATTCCTGAGATTCATTAGTATTTTCTTATCCCGACAGCCCTGCTGTCAGGGCAAATCCCATAGAGCCCAATCAGATGAGGGTTAGGGACCTAGAGCCGCAGTCTCCTGAGCTCACTTAGACACGCTGGACATGCGCAGTGCTTCGTATGTGCCTCCTTGCTTAGTCCTCAGCTCTGAGGTCAGCTCTGTGACTTCCTTTCTCATAATAGACTGATTGGCCTGGGGATTTGACTTCAAAATCAGCTGTTTCCCTAACACTTAACATATAGGTTTACCGGCCTGTTAACAGCAGGTTCATTACTCCAATCGAGATGTTTGCTGGTACTGGGTCTGGTTGGGGACCCGGCCCGGCCACACCAGTACAGTCTGGTCAGCGGGCAACGTGTACAGGAAAGCCCGGGTGCTGTGCAGGGAAAAGGGACAGTATCATCTGTGGGCCAGGGCCTAGCACTGTCCGCCGTCGCTTCGATCCTACAGGGGCCCTGCAAGGTAGGAGAGTTATCAAGCCCGCGTTACAGCGACGCCAAATTCTGCTAGGCAAAGGAACTTGCTCAAGGTCACAGCCGATCAGTGAGAGGGAGACCCTGAATTCAAACCCAAGTCTCACTTTGAAACCCAGGCTCTTTACACAGCAACTAACTGGGAGTGATGGAACCTAAGGAGACCCAAGGGCGCCGTAGGTGGGCTTAGGGGGCGACATAAAATGGCGTCTCAAGACCCCCTCTGGGAACCCGCGCCCGCCTGACCTTAACTTCACCTCGACCGGAAGTGCCTGCAGCTCTTTCGGAAATCATTTTCACCTAACCTTGCGGACTACAGCTCCACAGGAAGTGGTGTGAATCACGTGGCGCTGCAGGGGCGGAGCTAGAAAAGAGCCGCCCCTGCTGGCCTGTGGCAGCGGGTTTCACGCGGCCCAATGAGGGCGGGCGGCGTGGCCCGGCCTGGTAGCGAGGATAACGCGCCTGCGCAAAGGCGGCAGCACGACTAGAGTTGACTCCGGGGGCGCGGCGAGGAGGTGAGAGGGGGCCACAGCCCAGGCTGGGGGAAGTCGGGGTAAGGGGGCAGGCTGGATCAGGCCGGGGCTCCGAGTGTCAGGGAGGGTTAGGTTACGAGGAAATTTGAGGTTGGGGTAATAGCTGTCTGGGGATGCCGCAGGGGGAGGGTTCTCACGCCGCACGGGGCGGAGCCCCGGGACTTGGGGCGGGACCTAGAACAGAGACCGGTGGGACTTCTGAGCCGGTACCTGTGGAAGGCGGGACTCTGGGTCTGGGGGCGGAACTAGGGCTGGTGAGGGGCGGAGTCTGGACCTTGAAGGAGGGGCTGGAACAGGCGGAAGGCGGAGCCTCGGGTTTGGAAACAGAAGGGGTACAGGACCAGGTGCTGGGGGCGGGGCTTCAGTTGGTGAGTGGCTTGGTTACAGTTAAGAAAAAGGGATCGAGTTCTGTGGAGGGTGGGGCTCCAGGGCCTGGGGCGGAATTACGCCCTCTAAAGGGTGGGGCCAAGGAACCAAACTCAGGGTTAGGCCCAGGTAATGGCCCTGGGCGTCCACGCGGGGGCGGTCTCCGTGGTGGCCGGGCCTGGGAACGGGGTAGACCGAGAACACCCCCAGGAGAGGTTGTGTGGGTGGAGCGGGCTCGGCGGCCACCCGACACTGGACCGGTCTGGGTGCCCCGCAGACCCCCGAGGGCTCAGAGCTGGGGCGGCGCCTCGGGCGGAGGTACAGGGTCGGCCTGGGGGGTATCCCCAGAGGACCGGGGCTCCCCGGAGCCACCCAGCGGCGATGTGTGGGTGCCTCGAGGCCGGCCCCCTGCAGCGGCCGCAGAGATGTGGGTGTACTGGGCAGGGGGCAACTGGGTATGGCGTGAGTGGTGTGGCCCGGTCCAGGCCCCTGCTGTGCAGCCGGAAAGAGTCTGGACTTTTCGTAAAGGAAAGGGTGGGAATTGAACGGAGTTGGGAACCAGGAGGGAAAGAAGGGATGAGGGTGAACAAAGGGGCGGGGCCCTGGCTGCTGTGGCCTCCCCTGACCCCCTCCCCGCGCTGCTGGGGTCCTCGGGCAAGCCCCCTTCTCACTGGACTGGTAAGTGTGGCTGTGGAGTCCGGGGGAGGGGGCGGTAACCCGGAACAAGGGGATCCCCAGGGGCAGGCAAGGTACAGTAGGGTGGAATCCTTCTACTACCTGCAGGTATTCCATGCCCTTCCTGCCCTTCCGGTCGATTGGTCGGTCGGGGTCTGTTCCCGCAGAGACATGAGACTCAGCTGGGTCCTGACAGTACTGTCCATCTGCCTGAGTGCCCTGGCCACAGCTGCGGGGGCCGAGGGCAAACGGAAACTGCAGATCGGGGTCAAGAAGCGGGTAGACCACTGTCCCATCAAATCGCGGAAGGGGGACGTCCTGCACATGCACTACACGGTGGGTGCGGAGGCAGAGTTTTTGGATGTGAGTGGGACTTCTGGGGACCAAAAAGGACTTGGGAGCCAGGTTCCTTTGCCAAGGTGGGTGACCTGGGTCAAGTCCCTTCTCACTTTTGCCTGTTTCCCTCGGTCTACCCTGCTCTTCACTGTCTACTCCCCAGGTTGGTACCAGCAGAGTTACATTACAATGTACTGTGAGCTGCCTAAAGCTCTGTCCCCTTTTAGGACTATGACCACCAATGTTGTTGGGGGACAGCTTGATGAGAGCAGTTGGGTGGGTGGGGGGCATGCATGTCACAGTGGGCCCTCCTGCTCACTGGCCTTCGCATGGTCCCACAGGGGAAGCTGGAAGATGGGACGGAGTTTGACAGCAGTCTGCCCCAGAACCAGCCCTTTGTCTTCTCCCTGGGCACAGGCCAGGTCATCAAGGGCTGGGACCAGGGGCTGCTGGGGTGAGTCAAGAGACCATGGCTGTGGTCTAGGAGGTGAACTGTGGGAAACAAGCCCCAGGGGTGGGGGGCAGGCAGGGAGCCCAAGTGCTGCCATGTGCTGAACATGTGTTCTCCTGCAGGATGTGTGAGGGGGAAAAGCGGAAGCTGGTGATTCCATCAGAGCTGGGTAAGAGGTCCTTCCTGAGTAGGTATAGGGTTTGCAGTGTGTCTGAAGAAGGGTGAAAGCTAGTTCAGCCTCTGCATTGGTCTCCCCCCATGCATTCATTATAATTCATGTTCTCTTCCAAGTTTAGCAGTATCTAGCAGTAAGGACAGGGCAAGACCCTTGGGGCACTGGGCTCTTATGTCCACCTTCTGCCCCTTACCAGGACTGTTAGAGCCCTCCCACCCACTATACCTTCACGTCTGGCTTTGTTACTGTGGTGGGCAGAGGCCTGGTTTCAGCCCGAATGTTTGCAGAACCTCTTTGCCTGACTGCCACTCACTTTGTTTTTTTCTGTGCATCTCTGACAGGGTATGGAGAGCGGGGAGCTCCCCCGAAGATCCCAGGTAATACACCCTCCTGCCTCCTGTCTGTTGTGCCTTCCCACCTCCCTGTGGCCCTGATTCTCATTCTATCTCACTTCTCTACTGCAGGTGGTGCAACCCTAGTGTTCGAAGTGGAGCTGCTCAAAATTGAGCGACGTTCCGAACTGTAGCCAAGCTGGGGAGGGCCAGTGGAGACGCCCCCATCAGGGACCAGACTGTTTCAAAACAAAACAAAAAAAAGCCCTTAAAGCTCATGAAGTGAGCCTGTGTTTGTTTGTGGGCCCTGAGCTACAGAAACCACAGCCCCAGTGTCCCCTCCCTCTCTCTCTCTCAGCATCCTGCACCCTGCTTCTTTTCTAGCTTCAGAGCCTGGGTATCTAGGCTCAGTAGTCTGGGGGGTCAAGATGGCCAGGCCTTGGGGGGCATGGTGGCCCCTGCCCAAAGGGAAAATTGGGTTCTTGCCTGAAGCAGCAACAGTGCTCCCCAAAGCTCCCCAGCCACCTCTAGCTCCTGGTCTGGGAGCCAGCATCGGGCTATTGCCATGACTACGTGGCCCTCAGGAAGGCCTTCGGTCACCTGGGGAGAAGCTAAGCTGGCAACAGTTATAGAGCAGCGTGTCCCCCCTAAAAGAGATCAGCTGAGCCTGTTAGCTACACCAAGGGCATATCCTAGCTTTATTAAAGGGCCCGTGCCGCAGAGTCAATATAAAAACACAAAAAGTCCCATCAGTTTAATAATAATAAAAAACCCCAAAAGTGGAAAACGGGGGGCAGGGAACACCCCTAAGAGAGGGGCATGGGGAGCCCTGCTCATGGCACCAGGCCTGGCCACAGGGCTCCTTGGTATTGCTGTTGCTACGAGGTCAGGGGGCAGCGATTGTCCTGTGGGAGCCACCGTTCACCCGTGTTGAGGACCCTTACTTCTTCTGAGGTGTGCTCAGCTTCTGCATGCCCCGGATCTTGTCCAGCAGGCCAGAGATGAAGGCCTGGACAGGAAGGAGGACATGAAGGAGACCAGATCCCAAGAAGACAGGGGCCCAGGCTTTCTTCCCCCCGCGGTCTGGGGAAACCACTTACCTCAGTGGGTTTGTAACAGTCAACCAGCAGCTCCTGGTGGGACATGGTAGGGGAAATGTAACTGAGTGCCCAAGAACAGGGGCCTAGAGATCACCTGTACCCAGTACCCACTTCCAAGATGACTGGGGCCACCTTGAGGCATAGGAATGCCATAGCTAGGCAAGTGGCATTAGCCCCATTTGATGGAGGCAGAAGCTGAGACTCATTGTCACAAAGCTGCCTGGCTCAGATCAAAGAAGGCCTGGCTCCAGAGTCTTGCTCACCCAACTGGCCCTGCTTCCAGGCAGCCCACTGCACCAGTTACCCTAACCTGACACTGCCAACACCCCACCCACAGCCCCTTTCTCACCTTGACCCTGGCAGCCCGGGTATCATCACTCTCCATGTCCAGGAGCTCATCCACATCAATCTCCAGCTCCGGGATCTCCTCTTCCTGGGGTGGGGGAGGAGGGAGAGACAAGGGCCTGAGTTGGGAGAGAGGGTGTGAGAGGGGTTCGCTGGCTGAGGCCCCTGCTCTATTGCAGGACGAGCCCGCCCTCTCTGCCCAGCAGACAGGAGCAGCTGCTCCAAGGAAGAAAACAGATCAGGCCCGTGCCAAGGCAAACTGCCGGGCTGGGTGGGGGGAGCTTCCTGTGTCTGCCAGTTGGGCACCTCAGGTGCCAGACAGGGCCAGCTAGCTAGGTCTGCGGACCCCGCAGATGTATCTCCCTAACTTCTGGATCCCCCATTTCAACCAGAGCAGGTGGGGCCAGCTGTCTCAACTTATCACAGCCTTTCCCCCTCCCCCAAACACCTGTCACAGCCTCCCAGGAGTGAGGAGGAAGTGAAGGGTGAGAGGTCAGTGAGAAGAACCCAGGTCTGGTAAAGGGGAAACAAAGAGCACATGCTTTGCTGAGGGAGGGGTGCCTGACGCCCCTCCCCCCAAGGAAGTATCTGTCCAGTCTGCAGCCAGTTGCATTCCAGGGCTGGGCTAGGGTAGGCAGCGCAGGGCAAGCCCACTCCTCCGCCCTGCCCCCAGGGGTCTGAGTCACCCTCTGAGCAAGGAAGGAGTCATAGGGTGGAGAACCAGTACCCACAGATCCAGCTAGCCTGCCCCGGGCCAACATGGAGCTACCGGCTAGCCCATTAGGATAACCCAGACGCTTTACAGTGCCCCCACAAGCCACGCTAGCAGGCACTTTAGTGCCTTCCACTGCCAGCCCAGGCTATCCCCATGCCATCCCCATGTCTTCTGCCCAAGGCCCAGGCTATACCAAACTTGACAGGATAGTGGCACGGGGAGAAGACTGGAGTGACTTAGATCAGACAAAAAAAAAAAAAAAAAAGAGCATACAATGGAGGCGGGGAATACTCCAGGTGACAGGCGGGCTCAGAGTGGGATTCTCAGGCGGCCGGACTCGGGACCGACTTCAGAGTGTCGGCGCGGGGTGGGGGACACACCTGGCAGTCGTAGAGGCGAGTGAGCTGCTCCAGAATCCACTCCTCCAGGTTGAGGCGCTTCCGTAACTCCTTGCGATCGTACTTGACCGTGACCTTCCCTTGGCGCCTCACTGGGCCCTCGTCGTCCGCGCTACCCGGGCCCTCGCCTGCAGCCCCAGGAGGGCTCTGAAAGTAGACGCGGGGCCCTGGGCCGCCACTGCCCGGCCCCGGGGCCGGGGCCGCCAACGCCGCGCCCCCTGCGGGGCCGCTGTCCGCCATGGCGGCCGCCGGGGCCACGTGCGCGCGTCCTGCCCCTCCCTGCGCCGCCGCCTCCTGGACGCCCGCCGGCTGGCTGCGGGCCGCTGGCTTGGGTTAGCTGATGAGCTCGGCTCCGCGCGGCTCTGCAGTAAGGGCGGCAGCGGGGGAGCCCGGGGGCAGCTGCAACATGCGGAGCCCCCGGGCCTGGCTTGGCCGAGCCCCGCCCCCTCCCCACCGATCCGCCCGCCCTTTGTCCCCCGCGGCCGCCGCCCGAGCTGCCGCCGCCACCGCCGAAACAGCTTTCTTGTCTCGCTCACTTCCCCCGCCCCCCGACCACACCCCCTTAAAGAGCCAGTCCTGCTGCAGTCCCCTCACCCCCACCCCGCCCCCAGGCAGGGGTTAGGGGAGGGTCTACTTGTCAGGGGTTTGGGCCTGGCTGTCCGCTACTCCTACTAATTTTCCGGCTCTAAATTCGGATATTCTAAGCTCCAAATACCAGGATTTGCGCTCCCATTGAAACCCTAGTATTCTGTCCTCATTGAAGCGAAAACAGGGGCCGTTTGGAAAGGGAGGGGAGTGGGTACTATGTGTAGGGCGGATGTCCGGCGAGAAGATGTGGGAGACCCCCGAAGTCTGGGTCCTGCAGCCCTTGGACCGCGGGGAGCGAGGAGGCTTCTACGCGCGGACCGGCACGTGGACCGGGGTCCTAAGGGTGGAGGAGTAGAGAAGACAGACAGGAGCTGCCCAGGTCCCCGGACGCCCTACTCGCCGGAGTCTCGCGCCCCCCATGGTGGTGGTCTGGGTTGAGGGTGAGCAGAACCGACCGGCGGTCGGAAAGGCCAGACCCCAGGGAACCACTGCCCACTGGCCAAGATGGCGGCAATGAGCAGAATTATGGGAAATGTAGTTCAAGGGCGGGGGGGGTCTGGCACCGCTTGGCTGTCCCTCCCCAGCAGCGGAGCCAGGGCTGGGAAGCACACAACTTGTTTGGGGCGCCCTCTCGTAGGTCTGGCCTTCACAGGGGCCCCTCCGCATCCCGTAACGTATATACAAAAAAGGAAATTCAGACATAAAGAACTGGGAAGTGAGGGCGCCGGTAATCATGACAATAAAGTTAATAATAACAACTGACCCATAATAAGCGTTGCTAAAGTCGGTTCCACACAGTCGATTCCAGCGTGAGGGCACCTCACTCTTTCTCCCACAGATCGTGGCCCGGAGGCTTCTTCAGTTCCTTAGATCTCACAGGGGCCTTCTGCACCTCTCTTTAAACCCACTGTGCATCTCATCCCCTCCCTCCCTCCCTGGTTTGCTTTTCGGTATCATTAAGTAGTCTCTCTCATTTATTTGTTCATTGTCTGTCTCCCCATTTGTGAGCTCCATGGGGCGGAGACCTGCCTGACTCTCGTGTCCTGCTGGTTGAGTGGGCGTGCTCAGCTACAAACCCACGTGTATCTAGCAAATTACCTGATTCTTTCTGAGTTCTCGGCATCTGTGTGAGACTCATAGTAGGTGCTCCATAACTAGTGGTTAAACAAATGACTGAATGAAAAAATGAGTGGCTTCCTTTGTGCCTCCGTTTCCTCATGAAGTTGTGGTGAAGATTAAAGAGGAAAATGCATGACAGGTTCAATGACTGCACCACATGGGGTAAGTCCCACGGGCACATAGAGATGCGGCTCTGCCTGTGAGCCCAGGCTCCTGACCCAGAGTCTCTGCTCATCCCCCTGCTTCTCCTTAGATACCACTCCACAAGACTGCACAGCCTGTCTGGGATGCTCCCACTGATGGCAGGCTCACTCCCCGCAGTTTCAAGCCGAATATCAGGGTCTGAGAGGCAGTTTCTGTCCTTGCCCCTCAGAGATCCCCTGTCTCTGGATGCCTGAGACGCCCTCTGTAGCAGGAGGGGTTCAGTGAGAGGTTGAAACTGGCCCAGCATCACATAGCTGATGTTGTAGCCAAACTCCACCCGAGGACTTTAGACCCTATAGCTGGAGAGAAGAGATGAGAAGGCAGAAGATGAGGATAGGGGAGATGCGGAAGGAGGATGAGATGGACTTCTCTCTGAGGGCCCTTGTTCACCAGATTGGGGGCAGGCTCACTGAGCCCAGCCAGGTAGAGTTAGCTGATGCCTCCTCCCTCCCCACCCTCCCATTTGGCCTTACCCTCCCTTCAGCCAAACTGGGGGGGGGGGGCAGCAGGTGGGTGAGAAACAGGGAAGGGCTGACCCCCTTGCTCTTACAGATTAAGCAAGACCCACCCTTTCCACCAGGAGCCCCATTCCTGGCCTAGCCTCCTGGCCTCCTGGCCTCCAGCTGTGAGCTGGGCTGTTGGGAGAAGCAATTTACCCATGTCCAAATTCCCCAACACACCCCACCTCACCCATCAGAGCCTGTCTGATGGTCTGCTCTTTCTGAAGGGAGCACTGATTAGGACCTTGCAAGTCCTCATGGTCAAGAGCAGAGATGTACCATAGCTTGCTGAGGGTGTGGGGCCTAGAGGCCTTGAAGACCCAGGTACCAGCTCTGGCTCTGCCCTCTAGATGCTGTGACCCAGAGTCCTGAGTTTCTTGTCCCTCCTCCCTTCAGGGAAGGTGTGAAATCCTGCTGTCACAACATCCAAATTTCATGAGGGTACCTGCCGTGGGTTCTCTGGGCAGGACAGAGTGGAGGCGACCACTTTTCTTGTCTCTTCCTCTCTCCACCTCCTACGCCATCCCCAGGGCACTCCCAGATTCCTGGTGCTAACTCCTCTGTCCTCCCCCTGCTCCTCTCCCCAGTCCCATCCCATGGCCACCTACCCTGAGAAGAGTTAGAGCAGATGGCCATGCGGCCTTGCACAGAACCTCAGAGTGCAAGAGCTGTGCTCAAATGCTGGCTCTGCCTAGTAGGGTGCGAGGCCATGGGCAAGTCACTTACCCACCCTGAGGCTCTTCAAGGGGGCTCTTCCTACTGACCTCCTGTGTTTGGGGGCCCGGAACTCAGTGCCACACACTCACATCCCGGCCTTGGCCTTGGCCTTCCTGCCTCAAGCCCCGGGACTGGAGTGTGACACTGCAGCTGCACCTCATCCTTCCAGCCTCGGGTTGTGGCCTCTCCAGCCGCACCCTCTCTGGGGTCCCAGCTCCCCTCCACCAGAGTGCTCCACCAGAGTGCAGCTAAGGCTGCTTTCAGTGCCTCCTTGAAGCAGAGGCCCTAGGGAGGGTCCCGTGGGCAGTGACCGCTCCCTTAATCGAGGGTAGAGGCCGGAAAGGCGGCCTTCCTTCCACCATTACTGCTTGCCGAGAAACCCTATTATCATTACCAAGGCTGTCCGAGGAGGAAGGAGCCCTCTAATGGGGGCAGCCCTGGCCTCAGGAGACACAGGGTGGGGGAGAGGCTCAGGCCCTGGAGAAAGTCTCCCATCCTGTTTTACGAAGGATCTGCTGCCCGGGGCTTCTGTGAAGTAGCCCTGTCCGAGGCCTAGGGCCTACAGCTCAGACGCTTAGGCGCATGTCTCCAGGTCCTGCTAACCCTGGCACAGGCTGGTAGGCGCCCTGCCCTGGAGCTGATCTGTGCCCTTTCCACCTTCCTCTCTGATGCCCCCCAGCCTGCCAGCCACTCCTCAGATGTCTAGCTTCCTGCAGCCAGGGGTCATGGGGTACCCATTTGCTTATTTCATCCTCTAACAACCTTCAGCTTCTGGACAAGGTGACTGAGGCACAGAGAGACTAGGTCCTATGGGAGCAGAGGCCGATCTCCACCCTGCATGCACGGCTGTGCCCAATAGACGCGGTGGTCCCTGGGTCTCTGAGTGGTGCAGTTCTGCTGCTTTGCTGAGAGATGAGGATGACAAGTCCTGTTTTCCTTTCTTTTTCCCCTCAAGGGCAAGGAGTGGAGGGATCACAAGCTGGCCTTCAAGTCACAGAGCTGAAAACCTCTCCTACAGAGCTGCGTGACGTTGGGTAAGTCCCTTCCCCTCTCTGGGCCTCGAGTGGAGAATAATCACACCCTAGGGGGTCTGGGCCAAAGACAAGGAGAGTTGTCCTTAGGTTAGAGTTGGTGTCCCACACTGTGGGTGTTTTGAGGAGAGTCAGTTCCAGGCAGGGTTCCCCTCGGGGGTCTGAGGGCCCGGGGCGAACAGGCCTGCAGGGCACACTCCTCCTTAACTGAGCCCGCCTCCCCCAGAACCAGCTCCATCTCTTTCTGGGTTTCTAGGTGACTTGGCTGGCCCCTCTGGATGAGTTCTACTTTAAACTTGCTTCTGCCACTGCCTCTATATTGGGGGGCTCCCACAGGGGCCCCCAGGCAGGAGCCCCCCCAGCCAAGCCCTGCGGGAGGGGCCGTAGCCCCCATCCCTCCCAGTGCCCATGCGCCTTCCCCCTCCCGTCCCTGGAACACAGATTTCAGGGCACCTGCTGTGGGCCTGGCGTTGCAGAGCTCCTCCTCTACCCCCTGCTCCCGGATACCTCTGAGGCTTCTGACCCTCTGGGCAATTGACTAGCTGTTCCCTTCGCAGTTTTTAGTCAGGATCCCCCCCAGGGACAGGCTCCAGGCTGGGTCATGGGGGTCTGCAGCACAAGAATGGGCTGTCCCTAAGCTCTCTCTGACAGGCCAGAATGCTCGGGTCCTCCAAGGAGGTCTCCCTGGGCTAGGTAAGGAGGAGGGGCTCCTGCCTGCGGGAGGCCCATTAGCTAAGTGCTCTGAGGGAGGGGGCCCATGCTGCTGCAGGAGGGGGTGAGGTGAAGCGAGGGCAGAGAGGAGGGTGAGTGGTTTTTTTCTGCATTCAGTTAAGTGCTGCAGGAGTGGGGTGGGGGGCAGGGCTGTGCAGCCCCCTGCCCCACAAGTCTGGCCTTCCAACGGTACCCCCACCCTCCCCTGAGAACCTTTAGCCCACTGACCCGAGCTGGTCTTCAGCAGCACCTCTGCTCGTAGCCCCTCCAGCTGCACCCACAATAGACTCCTTGGTCCCAAGTGCCCTCTCCTCACCCGGGGTTTCTCCAGCTGAGGCCCCCCAGCAAAGTGACCGGTGTTCGGGTATGCCCCCGCCCCAATCCCCATTCTTGCTGCAGTCGCCGCCCCGGCCGCCAGGGGGAGCCGACGCGGTGGGAGGGGCGTTGCCGCTGTGGCCCCGCCCCCGCCCCGCCCCGCCCGGGCCCCGCCGATTCTCTGGTCTGTCCGGGACAGACTGGCGGGCAGACCGACGCTGACGCCGCGGGGCCGGAGCGGGCCGCGCGGGAGCGCGCGGAGGGAGCACCGGCGCCGTCGGTCCCCGTCGGGGCTTGGTGGGTCCCCTGGCCCGCCCCTGGCCCGGCTATGGCGGGCGCCAGGCCCGGCGTCCACGCGCTGCAGCTGGAGCCGCCCACCGTGGTGGAGACCCTGCGGCGCGGGAGTAAGTTCATCAAATGGGACGAGGTAAGTGGGGGCGCCCAGTTCCGTCCATATCTGGGGACTCCCTCATTCAAGCTCCCCCAGAGCCGAGGACCCCCATTACAGCCTGGTGTGGCCACTCCGCGTGCCCCCCCACCCCACCCAATCCCAGGCTGGCTGTGCTCCGGAAACTTGAGTCCCTAATCGTCCCTGTAATGAAGACTTTGTCCCCCACCCCCCACCCCAGGCTCAACTGCGGAAAATTTGACTTTCCACTCCTTGGCCCCGAATCTCCGAACCCCAGTAAATCCCAGCTCTCCTTTTCACTGGCCCTTCCTACCCCTCCTTGCTGATCTAATCCCGGTTCCTCCAACCCTGGTCTGGTCCCCAAACCCCTGACCGGTACTGAATCTTTGGTTCGAGAACCCTGGACCCCAGTCTGGCCCAGGTGCACCTCCATTCTGGGTGGGTGCCGCTAGGACTCTACTCTTCCCAGTGTCCGGGTCTAAACGCTCTTCTCCATTCATCACTTTTTCACCCTGTTGTGGTTGGCACTCATTTGCCTTGCTTTGGATCTCAGCCCACCCCCCAGCTCGCTCAGGTGGTACCACCAAGTCACTCTCTAGTGGAGACTTTGCCCCCCAACTTCCTCCACTCCAGGGGAACTTTGCGCCCTACTCCTTAGCATCGGGACTTTGAACCCCAATAAATCTTGGTCCCCTTTATACCCCCGTTGCCTCGGCGCTCACCTGCAGCTTCTCTTCCCAGTCTTTCGCCCCACCCTCATTTCACACCGCCCCCTTCTCTGCCCCCTGGGCCCCTCCTTCCCCAGGGGCGCCACCCGGCCGGCCTGAGCTTCCTCGCTGCTCCTACTCAGTCAGGCCAGAGGCCTGGAAGTCTCTGGGCTCCTTTCCGGCTGGGTGGGGCGGGTAGGCGTGGGAGCCGGGGGGAGGGGCTTGGGGCGTGGCCTGAGGCAGCAGGTGTGTCGTAGAGGGTGCCTGGAAGCCTCAGGGGTCTGGGGAGACCCCTTCCTCTAGAGGGCCTGAAGGGAAAAGTTTCTCTTTTTCCTCCCAGTGTGATAAACCCAAATAAGGAAGTGGGAACAGAGAGAGGGCCTGGGGGTGGGGTGACTGGGACTTGGGGCCAGAGAGCAGGGGGCCTGGGCTGCCTTTGAATGCTAGACCCCTTAGGAGGGGCAGGGGGAGGCCCTGGGAGCATTCCTACAGAACTCCCCCTCCTCATACTATGGGGGTGCCCTCAGTTCCAGGGCAGGGCGGGAATCCATCCCAAAGTGGGGCTGAGGATGTTTGTTCGTACAGCGAGGTGAGGAGGCTCAGGGTTCCCCAAAGTCCCAGGGCTCCCTGGCCCCTCCGCTCCCAGATGAACTTCCTGTCCTTTGTGAGCAAAGCCTGAGGTGGGTGGGGCTGCTGAGGTCCCATCCTCCAGAAGAGGAAACTGAGTCTGGAGAGTGGAGACTGGTCCCAGCCCCACAGTGAGGTTGCAGCTAAGGCCTGGAGCTGGGAGCCTGGCAGGGGTTGTCCTGGCTCCCTGCTTCCTAGGCCAGAGGACTTTGGAGCCATATTGCCTGCGTGCAAATCCTGGCTGTCCTCTCTCGCCCTTCCACAAGCCGTGTAGTATAGCCTCTCCAATGAGCCTCAGTCTGCTCATTTATGAAATGGGGAGAATACCAGCGGATACCCCACAGGGTTGCTGTGGGACTGAGGCAGTCCCTGGACGCTAAGTGCTTAGACTGAGCTGGCACACAGTAGGGACAACATGAGGGAGTCGTTGTGTTGACAATCCAGGCAGCGAGCACAGTGAGCTGTTTAGGGGTGACACCCACAGGAGGCGGCGTCTCCTCCTGGGGCAGCAGAGTTCTAGCTGTGACTACTTGGCCACCTGGGCCCTGGCCAAGTCTGAGTCCCTCTTGACCCCCTTTGGCCGCTGTCCTCAGTTGCCTGGGGTGGCCCTGGAAGTATGCCAGGGCCCAGGCCCTCCTCGGAAAATGGGGCCAGCACACTCTTCCTTGCCTGTCTTGGGGCTGTTTGAGGGAGGGCAGATTTCGCTCTGGCTGAAGGCAGTGTAGGTCCCCTGCTGGTGTGACTCAGTCCGTGCTCTGTGAGATGGGGTGAGCCATGGGGTGCAGAATGGGGATAGTGGACTTGCAGGTGGATGGAACGAGTGGCCGGTCATCACAGGACCCCTAGGGCCACAGGAGGGCTGTGGGGGTCAGGCTTCCGAACCCTCTGCTTTCACACCATAAATATTTCCAATGGGTCTGCGGGGAGCTCCAAGCTTCAGGGGGCTCTCAGGCCTTTGGCGGACATTGAGCCTGGGGTTGGGGTCTTGGGAGGCCTCCCCAGCGAGGTGGGTCCGGTTTCACGGGTAGAGGAGGACAGAAAGGATATCTCGGCAAAGGAACCGTGGTGCAGAGGCTAGAAGTGGGGAGAGGGTAGTTAGGGGTCCACGTGACAGAGTCTTAGGTGAGACGAGGTGATACCGGGAGGTGTGTTGGGACCCCAGATGTCGTGCCCAGGACCTGAGCTTTGTCCTGAGGATTATCAGGTACAGGGTGAGGTTTCATCTTTGCTCATCATCAGAAATATGACCCTGGATAGCCCCAGGGGGACCAGGACCAAGCCTGGCTTTCAGCCCTCCTTGACCCCTGCTGTCCTATGCCATCCCCAGGAGGCCTCCAGTCGGAACCTGGTGACCCTGCGAGTGGACTCCAATGGCTTCTTCCTCTACTGGACAGGACCCAACATGGTGAGGGTGGGCACTGGTACAGTGCACTCAGGTCTAGGGCCCCCGCCCGAGACCCTCACATCCAACCTGCCAGGGTGGGGCTCAGGGGCGGGCTGACCTCTCACAAGGCTTGCTGGACAGGGAGTGCTCAGGGCAGGCGCTGAGGCATGGGTGGCCACTCTTTGGCCTGGGTGGGGAGCTTGGGGGCTCTGGGTCTCACCCAGTAGCCTCTTAGACCCACCCTGGCATCTGGTTTCCCCAGGAGGTGGACACACTGGACATCAGCTCCATCAGGGACACACGGACGGGCCGTTACGCCCGCCTGCCAAGGGTGAGCGATGGGGCCCAGGACTGAGCATGGGAGTGAGATGGTGGGAGATGGGGATACCCTTCCTTACTCTTGGCTCTCACCTACTCAGGACCCCAAAATCCGTGAGGTGCTGGGTTTTGGGAGCCCTGAAGCACGGCTAGAAGAGAAGCTGATGACGGTGGTAGCCGGGCCAGACCCAGTGAACACAACATTCTTGAACTTCATGGCCGTGCAGGATGACACAGCCAAGGTGGGCTGGGGCTGAGGGGTCGTCCAGGGGAGCCACCTCCTCCCTTGCTGGATCGGCCATCACTTAGTGAGGGCCTGTTGTGTACTAGGCTGCTCTCTGCCCCTAATTCTCATCGTGTTCTCTGACAAAGCAGCATTTAAGCACTTACTGTGTACCACACCCAGTTCTGGGCTTGGGCTGTGGCTCGGCCAGCCCCTCTGGCCCCCACTCACCCTCTCCCCTGCATCCTGACCCCTCAGGTCTGGGCCGAGGAGCTGTTCAAGCTGGCGATGAACATCTTGGCTCAGAATGCCTCCCGGAACACCTTCCTGCGCAAAGCGTGAGCCCCGGGCCTGCCTGGGGGGCACTGGGGGTGCAGGTGTTCGTTCCCAGGGCATGACCCTTCTGCCTGTCTCCCCAGATACACAAAGCTGAAGCTGCAGGTGAACCAGGATGGACGGATCCCGGTCAAGAAGTGAGCGTCCCTTCCCCTTAGCACCTTCTGTCCTACCCTGGTCTTGGTGACCTTTGCCCTTACTGACCTTGACCCCCTCCCACCTACTCAGCATCCTGAAGATGTTCTCAGCAGACAAGAAGCGGGTAGAGACTGCACTGGAGTCCTGTGGCCTCAATTTTAACCGGGTGAGGTGGCCGAGGGCAGGTGCTGGGCGGGTGTCATGGTGGGTGCCTGCCCTTTTGGGGCTGGCTGCGCCTGGGTACTCACCCCACACTCCTCGGCCCCCAGAGCGAGTCCATCCGGCCTGATGAGTTTTCCCTGGAAATCTTTGAACGGTTCCTGAACAAGTTGTGTCTTCGGCCAGACATTGACAAGATCCTGCTGGAGATGTGAGCAGGGCTGGGCCCGCTTACCAGCCCCCAGCGCTCCATGCCAGCCTCCACTCCAGAGTTCCTTCCAGCCCAGGATGGGCAGTGGGGCTGTTGGCGGTCCTGGCGCACGGGGCTATGCCTGAGCTCAGAGCCACGCTGCCTGCAGCTTTGTTGTGGACAGTGTCTGCCGAGGCTTTGTAGTTTACTTTTGCCAGCCCATGCTGGGGATGAACACTGGGTGGGGCAACTGCCGGGTACTCGCCTGAGCTCACACAGGGCGAGTGGGGGCTGGGGCCGAGACTGGGTCTAGTACTGGCCCAGCTTGTGCTAATGCCAAGAGAGCGGGTGGGAGAACTGAAGCTTAGAGAGGCAGTGACTTGCCCAAGTCATAGTCAGTGGGTACCAACTCCCTCTGCCGGGGTGAGGGCTTGGAGCGGGGGCTGGTGAAGCTTCTGGCTGACTTGGCTTCCCTCCCCCTCCAGAGGTGCCAAGGGCAAGCCGTACCTGACACTGGAGCAGCTCATGGACTTCGTCAACCAGAAGCAACGGGACCCGAGACTCAATGAAGTGCTGTACCCACCCTTGGGGCCCTCCCAGACCCGGCTGCTCATCGAGAAGTATGAGCCCAACCAGCAGTTCCTGGAGCGAGGTGAGCCAGCCGTCGTGGGGGGCAGGGACTGGGGGAAGGGGCCAGCTGATATCCTGACTTTGCTGACCCTACCCGGCCCCCAGACCAGATGTCCATGGAGGGCTTCAGCCGCTACCTGGCCGGGGAGGAGAATGGCATCCTGCCCCTAGAGACCCTGGATCTCAGCGCAGACATGACCCAGCCGCTAAGCGCCTACTTCATCAACTCCTCACATAACACCTATCTCACAGGTGAGCGAGCTGCCCTCCGCCTGCTGGAAGGGAGGGGTGGCGTCCGTGACCTCCGCCTTCTGGCCTTTACACTGCCCCCCTCCTGTGGGGCGGTCAGTGCTGGGTATGCGGTCAGGGAGTACTTAGCCTGCCCTGGGGAACCAGGGCTTCTCTGAATGGGTGTGTCTCATGGGGGGGTCTGGAAAGCTTCCTGGGGGAAAGACTGAGGCCTTTAGTGGTTGGCTTTGGGAAGGAACAGCCTGTGCAAAGGCCTAGAATAGAAGACAGCTTGGTGCAGAAAGGAGGCCGGGAGGAGGTGGCGATGGAGAGGCGGGGTGGGGTGGGGTGGGTGCTGGGGCAGCGAGAGGTGAGAGGGGGCCAGAGAGGAAGGCAGGGCTAGACCCAGTGGGGTGGGAATTTGGATTTATCCTAAGTGGTCAAGAAAGACAATTTTTGGAGGGTGTTAAGCAGGGGAGGGGTGACGTGGCCAGGCGAGTTTTTAGAAGGATGACACCAGGTGCTCTGCAGAGATTGGGAGGGAGGCAGGGAGGGTCTGGTGTCTGCAGGCAGGAGGTGGTAGTGGAGGGAGGAAAGGGAAGTCAGGGGCCATGGGGACATTGGGTGTGACTCCCCGGTTCAGGCTGGTGCGATGGGAGGTGGTGGATATTTCAGTGAGAGGAGGTGAGCCTGGGAAGGAACCAACCCGTCAGCCAGCACTGGTGGGCACTGACCCTGACCAGCTGGGGTGGGCGCCAGGGGCTGGGTGCGGGGCCTGGGCCCTGCCCTGGCGAGGTGCTGCTGGTTCTGCGGCGAATGAAGGAGTGATCAGGGGCTTGCCAAGCAGACTGGGCCAGGGCCAGGCCTGGCCGCCACGGGGCCCTCCGTGTCCCCCAGTGTCCCCGGCGTGGCCTGGTTCAGCACAGGCCTGGGGAGGAAAGGGAGGAGCCTGGCTGGCGGGACGGCTGTGGTGACAGGGCCTTGCCTGCAGCGGGGCAGCTGGCTGGGACCTCGTCGGTGGAGATGTACCGCCAGGTGCTGCTATGGGGCTGCCGCTGCGTGGAGCTGGACGTGTGGAAAGGGCGGCCGCCGGAGGAGGAACCCTTCATCACCCACGGCTTCACCATGACCACGGAGGTGCCGCTGCGGGATGTGCTCGAGGCCATCGCGGAGAGCGCCTTCAAAACCTCGCCCTACCCAGTCATCCTCTCCTTCGAGAACCATGTAGACTCGTGAGTTGGTCCTGATCAGAGATGTCCACCCCAGTGGCCTCTAATGTGGGGGCTTCTGACCTGGGGACCCCTGATCAGCCCAGAGATAGCCTCCCACGAGCTGTCGGACAGCTCCTGTTACCTCTAACCCTGGGACTTTTCACTGACCCTGAGGATCTCTGACTTACCCTGGGGACCCCTGACCTCTGACCTTGGCCCCACAGGGCAAAGCAGCAGGCCAAGATGGCTGAGTACTGCCGCTCCATCTTTGGGGATGCGTTGCTCATCGATCCACTGGACAAGTACCCGGTATGGGGGCTCGGAGCTGTGGCAGGTGTGGGGGGCTGATGGTGCCCCAGCGGGACCTGACCCGTCTGTGCCCACCAGCTGGCCCCGGGCATCCCCTTGCCCAGCCCCCAGGATCTGATGGGCCGCATCCTGGTGAAGAACAAGAAGCGGCACCAGCCCAGCACTGGCGTCCCCAACAGCTCTGTGCGCAAGCGGCCACTGGAGCAGAGCAACTCGGTCCTGAGCGAGAGCTCGGCCGCCACAGAGCCCTCCTCACCCCAGCTTGGTATGACCCTGGCCCAACCTTTGACCCTGACCCTGACCCTAATTCCCATCTCACTGAACCCAACGCTCCCGTCTGCTCCCAACATGACATTCCTCCTCACCAAGCCACATTTGTAGCTGCTTGTGGGACCTCTGACCCCAGGCACCGACTCAGCTATACACCCCAGTTGGATTTGGCTCCATGCAACTCCTCACCCCTCAGTCTCAAACTCCCACCTCACAGTGCCCTCCCCTCAACTGGGCTATGCCTCTGAACTCTGCCTCAGTGAACAAGGTCCCCGTGCTTTGAGTGTGACCCTCAGATTCCTGACCTCTGTCCTATGACCCCGACTTAGTCTGCCCACCCATCTGGTTATAAGTTCAGCTGACCCTTGACCTCTCATTTTACTGGAGTCCTCCTGACCTCTGACCCCCAACTGGTCCCCTCGCTAAGCTCCTGCATCGGGTGCATATCTGACTGACCCCCGACTTGGAGTCACACAATGGCACCCTTCACCCTTCCTGTCACGGCTATTGTACCCGAGCTCCTGACTTCTCACCCTCCTGAGCCACCCTCCCTACCTCTCTGGTGAACTCTGGGCCCTGACCTTTGACCTTCTCTGCCCTACCACTACATCCAACTCCTGACCTCTGCCCTCTCCCCCAGCTGCGCTGCCCTGAGAGTCCCCTTGACTTCCCAGCTGAGTCACCCCTACCCACACTGGCCACAACACCCTCTAGCTGCTGAGAGTGTGTGCGCCCTAACCCCTGAGCCCCTGTGGCCCTGTCCTCTGCAGGGTCCCCCAGCTCCGACAGCTGTCCAGGCCTGAGCAATGGGGAGGAGGCGGGCCTTGAGAAGCCCGGCCTGGAGCCACGGAAGTCTCTGGGTGATCTTGGACCTGCTGACCGTGAGGATGAGGAGGAGGATGAAGAAGAGGAGGAACAGACAGACCCCAAAAAGCCCACCACGGATGAGGTCAGGCGGGCCAGTGGGAAGTAGGAAAGTGTTTGCCGAGCGCCGACTGGGCGGGGCGCAGCGCTGGGGGCTGGCTTTGGCCATGGCGCTCTCCTGGAGCTCTGTGGGGGTGAGGGACATGTGGAGAGGGAAGGAGGGGTCTTAGATAAACAGGCACGGAAGAAAATGTGAAATTATGCGCATGACGGGGGAGGGGGCGGGGGCGAGTTCAGGGCAGAAGGGGCGGGGAAATGAGGGGGAGGAAGGGGAACCTGACCTGGGGGCGTGGTTTGGGCGGGCAGACCTGAGGAAGAGGAACACCTGTGGCAGGGCCAGAGTGTTTGGGAGGGGGTCCTGTAGCCAAGGATGGTGTTGGGTCTGAGGACTGGAGGTGACAGCGGAGTCAGTCCCGAGGTCGAATTTGGGAGGGGCCTGGCGTGGGGAAGGGCGGACAGGGGCTGCCAAGCTCAGCAGCACAGGGATTGGGTCTGAGTCTTGTGAGCCCCTGAGAGGGGGGGGCAAGGCGGCTGGAAATAATGGCTGGGGGTGGAAAATCGGGGGCCTGTCTGCATGTGGGTAATCGAAGCCCTGCAGTTGGGGGAGAAGTGCCAGCTCCAGAATCAGGGAGGCAGGAGGCAAACCAAGGCTGACAGAGCTGTGGGCTGCGGCCTCAGCTGAGGCTGCTGGGCCGCGTGGTTGCCAGGGTGGGTCAGAGTCTCCTTCGTGGTATGGGGCAGGTGAGGGAACTTCCCGCGGATGGCTGCAGGGCATGACACTGCTGACCCTGCATTTGGGGCCACAGGGCACTGCTAGCAGTGAGGTCAATGCTACTGAGGAAATGTCAACCCTCGTCAACTATGTCGAGCCTGTCAAGTTCAAGTCCTTTGAGGCTGCTCGAAGTGAGTGGGGTGGGAGATGGTGGGAATGGGAGCCAGCTTGGCCCTGCCGGACCTCACTGCTTCCTACTGCCCACTCCTCAGAGAGGAACAAGTGCTTCGAGATGTCATCCTTTGTGGAGACCAAGGGCATGGAACAGCTGACCAAGAGCCCCATGGAGTTTGTGGAGTATCCTTTGGTGGCACCGGGGCCACTGGGCCAGGCTTCTGGCCTAGAGCATCAGAACCAACACAGGGTTCTGACGCTCCAGCTCCCCCGTCTGGGTTTTGGGCGGGTCTGGGAGACTGCACAGGGGCTAGGCCAAGAAGTGGGGGGCCTAGGGGCACCCTGAACCCAGGCCAGGAGGCGGGCAAATACACGGTGTGGCCCCTGACCGACCACCTCAGGTACAACAAACAGCAGCTCAGCCGCATCTACCCCAAGGGCACCCGTGTGGACTCCTCCAACTACATGCCCCAGCTCTTCTGGAATGTGGGCTGCCAGCTCGTGGCGCTCAACTTCCAGACCCTGGGTGAGCACTGGTCCACCTCGACCCTGGACCCCCCACCTCCCCCACTTCTGCCCCATGACCCCACTAATTTTGTCCGAATGGATCTCTGACTCTAGCTAATTCCAAATTCCAAAACCAAGGGGGAGACCTTGGTTGACCCCAACTCCTGGCCTTGGTGGACCCCAGACCCTTCCTCCTGCCTGGGCTTTCCTAACTGTGGGGGCCTGATGCCCTTCGTTCTGGCCCCAGTGCTGCCTGGTCTCCTTCCTGCATGACGCTGTCCATCTTGGCTCTCGGCCCTGTGCTGGCCTGCTGACCCCCACCCTCCCGCATTGCCCCAGATGTGGCGATGCAGCTCAACGCAGGCGTGTTTGAATACAACGGGCGCAGCGGCTACCTGCTCAAGCCTGAGTTCATGCGGCGGCCAGACAAGTCCTTCGACCCCTTCACCGAGGTCATCGTGGACGGCATTGTGGCCAATGCCTTACGGGTCAAGGTGGAGCCAGGGAGGGCTCAGGCCGGGGGTCCTGGGGGCGGGACTCTCAGCAGCCTCCTCACGCTCCTGGCTCTCCCAGGTCATCTCCGGGCAGTTCCTGTCGGACAGGAAGGTGGGCATCTACGTGGAAGTGGATATGTTTGGCCTCCCCGTGGACACACGGCGCGGCAAGTACCGCACTCGGACCTCTCAGGGGAACTCATTCAACCCAGTGTGGGATGAAGAGCCCTTCGAGTTCCCCAAGGTGAGCCTCACGCCCGCCCAGGCCTGCTGGGCTCCCCTCGCGGGGACGGGAACCAGGCGCACTGACGGCGGCCAGGGGTGGAAGGGGGGTTGCCAGGCTGGGACCTTAAGGCTGGGCCCGTTGCCTCCAGGCCCCACCCCCATTCCTGCGTGTCCCTGGGTCAGGCTGGGCCCCCTGCCCTCTGTGGGGTGAGAGAAGAGGACGGGAAGGTGAGACGGAGGGAGGTCCGTGGCCCCAGGATGAGCAGATGTAGCCTGTCCCATCCAGCGCTTGCCTGAGATCAGTCAGGAGCTCACACCAGCTCCTCCCCACCTCCCAAATGCACCGGAACTCCATCCCCAGCTGGGGCGGGTGTGGCGTGGCCTGGCCTGTCCCACCGCAGTGGTGCCTGCAGGGGCGGGTCAGCCTGTTTTCAGGGGCTCTGAGGGCTGCTGACTATCCACTTGGCCATGCTGTGCACTGTGGGTCCACCATTGGCCCCGTAGCTGTGGTGATTGATAGTTAGTTAGTCATTAGGTCATCTTGTCCGAGGGCCCCCTGCTCTGACTGCTGGCCTCAGTGGCTGTGGTCAGCTGTGCTCAGTAGCCACATTAGCCGTGGGTCAGCTCTGTGGCTTAGCACCCCTGTGGACCCTCAGGTGGTGCTGCCCACGCTGGCTTCGCTGCGAGTCGCGGCCTTTGAGGAGGGCGGCAAGTTCGTGGGGCACCGGATCCTGCCTGTCTCTGCCATCCGCTCGGGTGAGGCCATGTGAGCTCTGGGCAGCGCGGGGACAGCGTGCGTGGGGGCCTCATGGGGCTCATTCGCCTTGCCTTCCCGCCCTCCCAGGGTACCACTACATCTGCCTAAGAAACGAGGCCAACCAGCCCCTGTGCCTGCCAGCCCTACTCATCTACACTGAGGCCTCTGACTACATCCCCGACGACCACCAGGGTGAGCTGTGGGGGCAGGCCAGGCAGCCTGGGGGACAAGGGCGCCCTCTGGGTCTGGGGATGGCCCAGCTGAGCAGCCCCAGTTGAGGGTGGGTTCTGCTGTCCCTTGATGAGATGGAGCTGCTGGGAGGGTGTAGCCCGGGCTCTGGCTCTGAGACCCTTGCCCTCTGCCCCGGCCCAGACTATGCAGAGGCCCTGATCAACCCCATCAAGCATGTCAGCCTGATGGACCAGAGGGCCAAGCAGCTGGCTGCCCTCATTGGGGAGAGAGAGGTGAGCCAGGGCAGGGTATAGGGGCTGGTGGGAGGCAATGGCTCAGACCCACCTGACCTCAGGGTCTGCTGGGGGTGGGGACAGGGGCAGCCTCCCTCCTCTCCACCACCTGCACCAACCCCCGACCCTGGCACCCTCTCCCAGCTGGTGAGCAGAGGCAGCTCCCGGCTACTCTCCCCAAGAGGAAAAGGGACTGTTCACTGCCCTACGGCAAACACCAACACCTTTCACCCCCCCCCCCCTTTCTTCTGCCTGGAAGGCCTTTTCCCCTTCCTGGATTGGTCTCTCACCCAAACCAGAAAACGAAGCCAAGTGAGTGCTGAGCGTCAGCTCTCTGCCCAGCAGGGCACGAGCTGTTTTCATGAACTTGGCTCATACAGTCCTCCCAGCACCTGTCTTTGCCAACTCCAGGGTCGAGATAGAGACACTGAGGCTCTGAGTCGAAAAACCCTGGCCTGGACCCCCACCCATCCTTGGCCTTTCCACCAAGCTGCCTGGTGTGGGGTTTCTGGCCTCTCTTGCAGTAGCTCAGTGGCCTTGGTTAGTCTGCACACTTTCAGATGGTGGAAACCATCCCATCTGCATGTGTGAGGCCCTCGAGACAGACCTGGGCTAGAACTCCTCCCACTGCGTGCAGGATTGAAGCTGGGGACCGGGGCAGGTTGGAGCCACAGAGGGTTTGAAAGCAGGTCCTGTGAGCCACGATGAGGTGCCGGTGGCTTCTGTGGGGAGAGGTCAGGAGCAGAAGCCCGCCTGTACATCTAGACCCAGCCCCGAGGGGCCTGCAGCAGGCAGGGGAGAGGCAGCTACTTGAAGCTGTTAGCCAGAGAGGCTGGTGCCCACTCTGCAGTCACTTCCTTCATTGATTTAATCAGGAGCTAAGCAAATGGGAAGATGAGCAGCCGTGGGCAAGGGTGGAGGGGGCTCAGAGACAGGAAGAGACTTGGGGCCGGGCCAAGGCTTTCCAGAACAGTTTGGAAATTCCTGAGCACAGGCAGTGGGGCCTGGCATTCTAGGGACACCATTGCACATTCTTCCTCACCCCCCCCCCCATAAAAAAGGGGTTTAGATGTGCTTGCTTTACACCTCTTGTGTCTCAGGTAACCGTCTTCTTTCCAGATTTTTTTATTTTTAATTTTTCAAAAAAGATTTCATTTATTTATTTTTAGAAAGAGGAAGGGAGGAAAAAGAGAGAGAGAGAAACTCATATGCAAGAGATACATCCATCAGTTGCTTCTTGCACCGCCCCCCCCCCCAACTAGGGACCTGCCCACAACCCAGGCATGTGCCCTGACCGGGAATTGAACCAGCAACCTTTCAGTGGCAGGCTGGCACTTAATCCACTGAGCTGCACCAGCCAGGGCTCATGTAGGTAGAAGTCTGCACAGCCCCATGTTATAGATGAGTCACAGGGCCAGACCGACAGAGGGAGGCAGGCCTGGAGCATCAGGCAACCCCAGGAAGTTGTGAAGGACGGAGTGGCCTGCAGAGAGCAGCATTTCTGGAAAGAGCGTTCTGCTTTCCCCCTCACAGGCTCAGGCTGGCCCGGAGACATGCCAGGAGACCCAGTCTCCGCAGCTGGGGTCCCAGCTGACCCCAAACCCCACACCCAGCACACTGGACACCACCCCCAGACGGCCCCCAGGCCCTGTCACCTCCCCCTCCAGCCCTTCCCTTAGCAGCCCAGGTAAGGGGCAGCCTGGCCGTGGGTGGCCTGAGGGGAGTAGTTCTGGGGTCTTCTCCAGTTTTTCCCAGTCCTGCCTCTGCTCTCCAGGTCAGCGGGATGACCTCATTGCCAGTATCCTGTCAGGTACAGTCCTGGTGTTCTGGGGGCGGGGCTACCCAAGGGGGCGGGGCCACCCCTGGAGGGCCTGTGGTGCTCCTGCGGGCTTGGCCTGCGGCAGCCCATCCTGCCTTTGCTCCGATGTTCTGTAGAGGTGGTTGTGGCCCCACTGGAGGAGCTCCGAGGCCATAAGGCTCTGGTGAAGCTCCGGAGTCGACAAGAGCGAGACCTGCGGGAGATGCTTAAGAAGCATCAGCGGAAGGCAGTTGCTCTCACTCGCCGATTGCTGGACAACCTGGCCCAGGCCCGGGCCGAGAGCAGGTGCCGGCACCGACCAGGTGTCCCGTGAGTGTCCAGCCTGCCTGGGAGTGTGTGCTTCATGTGGTGATCTGAATGAGGGGTGTGCACGTGGGTTTCTCCTACACCAGATGGGCATGGAGGATAGCCAAGGGCTGCTTCTCCACCCCCAAGGAGGAGGGTTTAATGCAAGGGAGAAATAGGAGGCTTCCCTTCTTCAGTCCCGCCCTCTTTCCACCTAAGAGCAATACCTCATTGGAAAACACCTGTGAGGAGCATGTGTTTTGAGAGACTGTTGCCCACACAGGCTCAGAGGCTTGGGTGAAGCAAGCTAGCCTCCTCATTGGCATAATAAACCCCACCCCCCTGGGCTGGTGTCTGTAGTTTCCTGCTGGGATATGCCCTGCCACCCTCCACCCTCCTCCCTCCTGGCCTGAGTCCACGTGATGAGTTGAGCATCACCAGAGGGGTTCTTCACACAGAGGCAGGGAGGACGAGAAGGAGGAGGAGGAAGAGGTGAAGCGATATCAGGAGTTCCAGAATAGACAGGTGCAGAGTCTGCTGGAGCTGCGGGAGGCCCAGGCAGATGCTGAGGCCGAGCGGAGGCTGGAGCACCTGAGACAGGTGAGGGGGGTTTGTGGTGGTGAGGGAGTGCCTGCTTTTTGGACAGACCCGTCATCGGGCTGCGTCACCTGTTGGTTATCTGTGTCCACAGGCTCTGCAGCGGCTCAGGGAGATTGTCCTGGATGCTCACACAACTCAGGTCAAGAAGCTGAAGGAGATGAATGACAGGTAAAGGCAGAGGGTTTTGTGTGGGTGGAATGGGGGACCCCCTAATGCCAGGACAAAAGCAGAGCCCCAAGGCCTGCACTGATCCTTCCTTTAACCCCCACTGGCTCCTCCAGGGAGAAGAAGGAACTGCAGAAAATCCTGGACAGGAAACGCCACAACAGTATCTCGGAGGCCAAGACAAGGGAGAAACATAAGAAGGAAGTGTAAGGGCATCGGGGCTGGGAGCTATTTGGGGGCTGGGCAGGCAGGGCTGGGTGCCTGCACTGAACCCGCCCTGCCTTGCTCCATTGCAGGGAACTGACAGAGATTAACCGACGCCACATCACCGAGTCGGTCAACTCCATCCGTCGGGTAAGGCTCAGGTGCCACTCCAGTCCACTCCCTTCATCCATCATCAGGGACCCATCTCGGTGCTGGCCTCGTGTGACATTGGCCTGTTGGGGTTTCTAGACCCCACATTCCCCTAAGCCCACGCCATCTCCAAAGCCAACCATGTATAACAGTGTCCCATGGCTTTCGGGTCTGGGCCCAAAGACTTTGCCGTAAGGATCATGTCGAAATTCTTGCCCCACCCCGCTGACAGCTGGAAGAGGCCCAGAAGCAGCGGCATGAACGAGTTATGGCCGGGCAGCAGCAGGTCCTACAGCAGCTGGTGGAAGATGAGCCTAAGGTGAGGCCTTGGGTGAGGCGGGCACCGGGGCAGCAGGCAGAGTGCTGGGTGGCCTGTCCTGTGATTCTCCTCCTCCTCCCATAGCTGCTGGGCCAGCTGGCCCAGGAATGTCAGGAGCAGCGGGCGAGGCTGCCCCAGGAGATCCGCCGGAGCCTGCTGGGCGAGACGCCGGAGGGGCTGGGGGATGGACATCTGGTGGCCTGTGCCAGCAACGGTCACGCGCCTGGGAGCATTGGGCCCCTGTCTGGTGCTGACTCGGAGAGCCAAGAGGAGAATACGAAGCTCTGAACTGGCTGAGCAAGAGGTGGCCACAGGGCCAGGGTGGGCACTGGGAGGAGGGGCGGAGGCTAAGACACTAATGCGCTTTTTTTTTTAACTTTTTATCTTTAGAAATTTTATTTTTTTAAACCGAGGCGAGCACCGCACACTAACTTCCTTCCTTCACCCTCTTGGGGCCTCATTAGTCCCCAGCCCCCCCTTCCTGCCCTCAGTCCTAGGGAAGGTGCTGGGTCACTCTGGGCCTGAAGAACTTGGCTGGGGCCCTTGCCCCCCATGACGTCCATACCCCAGAGTGGGAACCACCTCCCTCACTGCCCCAGGGAACACCGTGTGGAGACTTAGAACCCTGGGAAGTAGGGGTCACAATCTTTCTCTATTCTCTGGGGACTTTTTTTTATGTGAATAAAAGTGGATTTTAGGGACCCTGTGTGCAGTGTGGTTTGGGGTGGGGCAGTGCCAGAGAGGACCTGGGTCCTAGGCCCTCTCTGCCACTTCTTTTGAGGCCTCAGTTTCCTCATCTACAAAATGGGCTTGTAGGCATTTAGAGCTGAGATCGGGCCCCTAGTGAAGGGCTGCTGGGTTTGGACCTTGAGACCTCCTTGCCCCGGGGCCAGCAGATCTTCCCAATCCCGATATCTGAGGCCCTTTGGCCCGCCCAAGGCTTTCTGCCTGGTGCCCTCTGCTGCTGGGCTTTCCTTTCTCCCTTCTGGGCTCTTGCCTTTTCCCTTCACAGAGGCGGAGGCCCTCGCTTCAGGAAGCTTCCCCACCCCCTTCTGCCTGATGCAACCCGACCCTAGGGTCCAGCATCTTCTGCTGAGGCTGCCCTGGGCTCCACGCCGGCTGTTAACTCTGGGTCTGGAGATGGACTAGGGGTGGAGCGGGGCAGCTCAGGACCAGTGCAACCTCCGAGGAGCTGGGCTCTCAGCGACACGTGGGCAGTGGGCGGGTCTGGCAGTGACCCTTGGGAGAAGGGAAGCTGGCAGTCAAGGCACAGGGCTGGGAGACCAAGCACCCCCTCAATCCCTGTGAGGGAGATGTTATGCCTCTTTTACAGATGAGGAAACTGAGGCCCAGACAGAAGTCACGTGTGCCAGGCCAACTCAAGATATCCTGACCTGGAGGCAGGGCAGGTCTGAACACTCTATGGCAGATGGTCTACAGCCAGCCTGGAGGACCTGCTCCATGCCTCCCCTTCCTGCCTCGAGACAGCGACAGCCTGGAGTGGCAGAGACCCGCAGTGAGGGTGCGGCTGGGTTCTGCTGCAGGGTCAGGCTGGCACTCCTTCAAGGCCTCTCCCAGCTTCCTGGCGGAGCTTCCCAGGCTAACTGCCTCCCTCCTACAGAGGAAGGCAGCCTCTTATCTGGGTTTATCTCCTGCCAATTGAGTGTTTTCTTTCTTTGTTTTTGCTGCAGCCTCAGGCAAACCGAAAGGGTGGGGAGCCCAGAGAAACAGGACTTCCAGAGTGGGGCTCTCCCAGGGGAGGGGACCTCTACTCTGGGCCCTGGTCCCTCAGGGTCAGCACCACTGCCCAGGTCTTCCCTGCTTATGTGTCAGTCCCTGTCCTATCCCAAAATCTGCCCATAGCATTGTGTGTCCAGGCCCCTCAGCAGCCAACTCCTATCTTCTTGGCTCGCCTCCACTTACGGAAACACTACACGTCAGTCCCATGGTCCTCAAAGACCAGGCTAAACTCCAAACTCCTGGGTATGGCATATGAGCTCCTCAGAAGCCTGGCTTCTGCTGGCCCTCCCATACTTCCATGGGTCCATTTTCTCCTCAGCCTAGAATGACAGCCCCCTCCCCCATTTCTCCCTGCCCACCCGCTGTGTCTTAACTCATCTGTATACCTAGCACAAATTACTGGCTCATCTATAGGGGGCGCCAATAAATCTTTCTGGAATTGAGCTCGGAGCTCTCCTCCCAGGTCCCGATGAAAGCTTCTCTGGTTCCCTAGTTATCACTCTATTCACAGCCCTTCCCCTACCCTTCCGCCACCCCCTCCCCCGTCCTGCGCGCCCTGCCAGTTCCCTTAGCAGCGCTGGCCCCAAGCCGGCCACACAGTAGCTGTTCTAAAGGACTGACCCAAATAGGAACAAATGACCCTCCCTGGGGGACGGCGGCACGGTTTGCAGAGCGCGGAATTCCAGCGGCCGGTCAGCCTGCGGTTCCCAATTACCAGATTACAGATAAGGGCCCTGGAGGTCCCTGGGGCCCAACTGTGCTCTGCTTCCCCGAAGCCAAGAAGTCCTGGCTCTGCTCGCCGTGTCGACCCTTTCCTGGTCTCGGTTCCAGGATGTCATTCAGAAAGAGGTTGTTTCCGTTCTGTGTAAAATGGGGGCCTCTTAAATAGTGCTAGCGCTTCCCGCTAGCCCCCAGCAACTGACAGAATCGGCAGCAAAGATGTGGACTTTATTAGCATAGTTCGTATCGAGCGTCGGCTCGCAGTTATCACCGCGGAGGAAAGCGTTCTGGTGAAGTTAGTTATCCCGACTAGCAACGGCGCAGACGCCTGGGGAAACCCACTTCCAGCAGCTGAGGGCGGAAAAACTTCCAAACTTCCGATGGGGCCAAACCCTCGAAGACTCTCCGCAAACTCCGGAAGGAAATCGGACTCTGGGTCAGAACGCCTTAGAAAGGGAGAGACCTGATCCTCTTTTTGCATAGGCTAGGCCTGTAGAAACGACTTCCGCCCACACACAAGATGGCTGCCGGTGGCGGCGTGCGCAGGGGAAACCTCGGAGTGTGGGAAGAACAGTCATTGGGAGGGGGCGGGGCCTCCTCTCCCCAAGTTCCGATCCCACCAGGATTGGATGATGCGCGTCCAGCTGGAGTTTTGCCGCATCTGCGTCGCTGTGCCTGCGCTCTTCGGACGAGGAAGTCCCTGCGGGGTGGGAGGAAGAAAGGGTTCAATGAATTAGCAGCCGGAATCCCATCCCTAACTGAGAACCCGTGGAGATGAAGACCACAGCTCCCAGCATGTCCTATATCGAGAGGGTCTCCTAGGCCACTTTCCCAAGCAAGAGAGGTCGCTTGTTTGGGCCCTTAGGAATGGGACGAGTTAGATCCCAGACGCTCTGAGCTGGGAACTGAGAGAGGACATGTAGGTGGACCCTGTATGTTAGCGCCAGCGCCGGAGACCACCTGGAAGATGGGATCACAATTCGAGAATTAAAGAAATGGTTCCGAAGTTGAAGGCAAACAAGCTGGACACCCGGAAGGGGCCGGCTAGGAACACAGAAGCCTGCCTGCCTTGAGTTCCACGGACTTGGGGGCCCCAAATCTTGGCCTTCTGGAGCTGGTGTGGACTCTAGATCCCAGCATGCTTTGGGATTCAGGAAGTGACAGGTAGCGTCCAGGATTAGGACTACAGATTCCATCATGCCCCGGGACCCCGAGGGTTAGTCCCGAGATTGCACGTCCCGGCTTGCCCAGGGACTCGGCCGGACCAGGCTGGTGGGAGGTGACTTGGAGGTACAGGTCCCAGCATGCTCCGTCACGAGTCCTCCCCCTTCGTCCCATTCGCTCTCACCTTGAAGGAACCCTCAAACTCATCGCTCATCCTCCGGAGCTCGCGGCCATAGCGCTGTGCAGCCCAGAGATTGGGAGGCGCCGAACTCGAGCGGCCGCGGAAGGGGCTGGGCTCCTCCTCCTCGATCTCGCCATTCTCCTCGGGGTACGAGCTGTGGCGACTCCGGGGCTCCACAGATCCAGCACCTAACAGAGGTCGACAGTGCGGGGGCTATGTGAATATCAACTTCTCTGAGCCCCCAGCATTATTAACTCCATCGGCCTGCCGATGTATTTGTGTGCACATCGGAGTGTACCTTTCAGAGGTCCGGTTCCCTCATCTATAAATAGAGGGAAGCCCCTGGGGCTTTTTGTGAAGATTCGAATTAACTTCTCATTAATCCCCACAAATCTTAATTTAGCCCCAATAATGTGCTAGAGCCATAGTATGTAAAGGATCTTCCCCTGTGCCTGGCACAAAATAAGGACATAATAAATAATAAGTTACATTTATTAGTGCAAGGCCATGGGGTTGTTAGCTCTCGAATCATCTCCATTCTCTAGCAGAGGAGAGCAGTTCCCTGGATGACGGGCGTCCTGCCCCAGCCAGGCAGGGCTGAACTCCAACTCTGCAAGCCACCTGCTGGTGCTCACCTGTTTCAATGTTGCCTACAGGAGGCCCCCCTGCAGCCAGAACCTGCCAGAGGCATGTTTTCACCTCCCACAGCACCTGCCTGGGAGGAAGTGCCCTAATGTTTTTTAGGTAATAGGAGGCACTTATGGTGTGCTAGGCCCAGGGCACTCTCATCATGCTCCTTACCATTCTGGGAAGTGAGTACTAACCTTGCCCATAGACTAACATCTGTTCTACAGATGAGAAGACAGAGGCTTACAGAGGTTAAGACTCGCCCACGGTCACACAACTGTGAAGCTCTGAGGCTGGAAGTACGTAGACTTTCATTGGAATCCAAAGTTCAATGATTATTCCATGAGCTTCACCACTTCCCTTGTCCAAACACCCTTCTGCTCTCTAAGCCTGTGTCTTTATCTCCATGCAGGGATAAACCTATTCCTTCCTGTGTAAAGGTCACATAAAGTAGAATGTGAAAGTGCTTTGTGAGCTGAAAGTGCACCATGGGTCATTATTCAAATGTGGCACCTTGACTGTGTTGGGAATTTATCTGGCTTGTGTACTGTGAGCCAGGCCCTCACTCCTGCCAATCCCATACCCAGACCAACTCTGAGAACCACTCCTAGGAGCAAAAACCGGGAACTAAGTAAGAGTGGAAGACGGGCCTAGAACAGGTGCGGAGAATATGTCCAGCATCCATGGCAGGGCCCCTCCATCAAGGGAGGCTTTTTGAAGGAAGCAAGATTTAGGCCAGGTCTTGAAGCTGGGGGATAACTGTCTTGTTCTCCCTCCAGAAGACCTTCAGCTGACCCCTGTGGTTCAGCTCGAGGGGATGCAGGACCTCCAAGGGTCCCAGCTTCAGATACCCAACTGAGAAAGCCAAGAAGCAGAAAGAGGCACTGCTGGTGTGGCTCAGTGGATTGCATGCCGTCTTGAGAACCTAAGCATCTCTGGTACAATTCCTAGTCAGGGCACCTGCCTAGGTTGCAGGCCTCACAGGGGTGAGGGGTTCATGAGAGGCAACCACACATTGATGTTTCTCTCCCTCTCTCTCTCTCTAAGTATAAATAAATAAAATCATTAAAAAAAAAAAAGAAGCAGTGAGAGGGTTGGATCCAGAAAGGCTTAGTTAGGTCAAGTGTTCAGAGTGGCTGGCTGTTTTGAGCGTCACCAAAGCCCAGGCTGAGGTCCGGTAAGGACACTGTAAAGACTTTGGGGATCCAAGTGGGAGTGGTGAACAGACAGCTAAATCAAGAGTGGGGACAGGGGACAAGGACCAGAGGAGCTGGGAATAGAAAGACCCCTGATAGGGTCAGGCCCATCTGCAGAGCACTTTCCAGTTCTGTACGGTGTGGTCATGAGGTGGGGGTCCACTGCCAGGTGGGTCCCACCTCAACCACACTCCTGCTTTCACATCCTGCAGCCTCCGACCTTGCCAGTGAGGTGCCTGCCAAGTTCTCCCTGTTTTACAGATGAGGAAATGTATACACTTAGTCGTTAAGAACTTCCCTGAAGTCACAGGGTTGGCCACTTAAGTACTCAGGAAATGTCACCTATTATTCCCCTTTACTAGCCCTAAGAACCCAAACCACCACAGTTGACTGCGGCCTGGCCAGAGAGTAGGCAGGTGAGTGATTTACAGATGGGCACTTGGTCTGGGCACAGCTGCCTCACCCAGGAATTACAAGACTAGATGTGCCAATGTGTAAAAGTGCTTCTCATCCAGCCCTAGGAGGGAGGTTACTCACTGTCTGCATTTGGCAGAGGAGAAAACTAAGGCACAGAGAGGGTCTTGCCCAGGGACACTCAGCCAGTAGGTAGCAGGGCAGAAATCCCAAATGAATGAATCTGGCTTCAGGGCCTGTCTCTTTAATTCTCATGCTGCAGGGAATGTGCCCTGGGTTTTCTGCTAGTGCCAGTTCTACCTGGAGCCTAGCCTAGGGGGTGGGGGATTTTCACCAAAGCAATTGGATTTAGCAATGCCAAGCCAGACATTGTTAAAATGATGCACATTTGTTTCACTTGGATATTTAAAGTGTCCTGTTCACTGGAAAAAACCTGGGGGATTTTTTGATCTTCCATTTGAATCATCCCACCCTCAATCAGCTCTCACCCCTAGATGCCCCTAGGTAGGGCAGAGGTGGCCCCTCCCCACTATGGAAGGTAAGGAAGAGGGAGGGGGCGTGGCTGCTCTCTGGGTGGGTGCCTAGGTCAGCCCACTCACACCACCCTCCCAGAGTAAGCCTGGGGCTGGGGTGGGGCAGTGGCAGGGGCCTGGGGCTGGAGATAGCCCAAACCCCAACAAAGCTTTTAGCTCTTTACCCCTGTTAGGCTTCCAGGTGAATGGGTGGGACAGAAATCTACCCTAGTCAGGCCCTCTGAGCATCCTTGCAGACTTACTTAAGGTGATGTGCCACACAGTGGGAGGCAGTGACACTCTGCCACCACGCAGGGCTGTTCAGATCCTGGTCATCCACAAGCAGGTGCCCTCACACTGCCTGCCCCCAGCAATGCAGACCCTGTTGCTTCTAGCACCTGCAAGCCCCAGCCCCGACTCCCTGTGCACCCTAAAGCCATTTGGGGTACCAAAGCCCTACATCCCCATCTTGCTCAGCACTGACAAAATCAGAAAGCAAGAGCTGGCAAATGTTTTCTGTAAGGGTTGGAGAGTGAATCTTTGGGGCACTGCAGACCTCAGAGTCTGTGTCACACCTACTCAGTGCTGTGGAAACAGCGGGGCAGAGCCTCGAGCACTATGTAAACAACTGTGCGCTGCTGTATTCAACTAAGATTTTATTTAGGGGCATGGAACGTGGAATTTCATATTATTTTCACATATTATGAAATGTTATTGGATTGTTGTCAGCTATTTCAAAATATAAAAACCATTTTTAGCTCATGGCCTGTATAAAAAGAGGCCATGCTCTGCCAACCCCCATTCTAAACCCAGCCGTGCCGGCCCTCTACCTGAAGCCCTCCGTGGCTCCCTATTGTTTATGAGATAAAGTCCAAACTCCTTGGCGTGGCCTTCAAGCCCTTCCACCCTAGTTCTAGCCTAGGTTTTACTTGCCCGTCATCAGGGGTATTGGTTATTCATGTCTTTCTCTCTGGAATGGCAACCCCCAGGTCGGCACAGTTCTATTTCCATTTAACAGGGAAGGAAGGAGGCTGAGGCAGAGAGAGTTAACTAACCTGCTCAAGCTCCACCTGCTAAGGGTGAAGTCGTGTTTCAACTCTGCAGTCTGGCCCTGGTGCCTAGTGCTGGGCTCCTTCTCCACTGGGTGTCCTTGCTCCCCTCTCCACCATCCACACCCATGGTTCCCCATGCACCCACCCCTCCCAGGCACTGGGCTATTTACTGACCTGGCACAGCACACAAGGTGGCTGCAGACGCTGCCCTGGGGACACAGTCCAGCAGGGCCCAGGAGGCAGGGAGTATGAAGAGCGAGGGGATCCTGCCCATCCGGAGGAAGGCAGTGGCTCTAGCAGGTTATTGGCACTTGGGGATCTTTTATGGAAAAATCACTTGCTTTTTTAGACAATGAAAAGTAGGTCAAAAGTTTAATAAATCCTGGAGAGTCTCCTCTAGTGGTTTCTATTTTCTCCCCAGCAGCCCTCCTCATGGCTGAGTCTGGCAACCCAGACTCCTTACTGCTCCTTCAGACCATTCTCATGCCCTCCTCCTTAAATTTAGTTTCTCAGGTCGTGCCAGCCCTCTCTTCTGTGGCTCAGGCATCCCCCAGCCCTGAGCCACACCCCTAGTTTACCCAGGAAGGCTACTCCAGCCCCCTGCCACTCCCTCCTGAGCCACTCCAGTCTTCTTCCATAGAACAGAAGCGGGCCTTTTCCCCACCTCCTGGCTTTTCTTTCCTTGACTTCCTTCTCCGCCCTCCCTTCACTCTCATTCCCAGGGGCAGAACCTGGGACTGAGATAGATTTACTGATAGACTGATCACTATCAGTAAGTTCATCCCAAGCAGTCTGCAGGCTCACTGCCCCTCCTGCAGAGTGATGCTCTGGAGACCAAAGCAGATCACTGGGCTGTATATGCAAAGCCCTCCCAACTTTTCACTCAAAGGAAAAACCAAAGTCTTGTGCTGCCTTCAAGGCCCTGCCCAGCTGCCCCTCCCGCTCTTTCACTGGAGTCTTTTCAGCTCCCCTCCCCTCACACTCATCCCTCAGGCCACACTGGCCTCAGGGCCTTTGCATTCTCACCCATCCCTTCAAGATCTCTGCACAGACAGGAGGTGGCTCCTGCCTCATCCCTTCCACTCTGCTTAAGTGGCGCTTCTGAGTGCGGTGGACCCCAGCCCCCAGTACTCCTGACCCAGAGAAAGTAAAGACTTTCTCCCGCTGCTGCCCAGCATGTGTCATCATCCAGCTCATTGTATCGTTTACTTGTTTGTTTATGGCTCGAGTCCCCCACTGACTAGAATACGGGCACCACAAGGGAAAGGGCTTTTTATCTCCTCTGTTCACTGATGCACCCCTGGCAGCTGGGACAGCGCAGGCACAGATTAAACACCTGATATAGAGGAGGAACAGCCAGGTGGGAGGGGAAAGCTGCTGTGAGCAGAAATACCGCAAAGGGCAAAGATCTAGAAGTTAGAAAAAGTCTGTGGAGTTCAGCTTGACTGTGTGTGAATGGGGCGGGGACAAGACCTAAGTTAGCCTTCTTGCTCCTGAAAATGGGGAGAGGGTCATTTGGGTTTCTGCAAGGTTTCTTTTGTTCTCAGAAGATCCCTGTGTTTTTTTTGAAGTGCCAAGGCCTGTGCTGGGTCCTGGGAAATGGAAACTGAGAAATGGCCACTACTGTCTCCAGTGCCCATCCTTCCGTCCAGCTCTGCTTCCCCACCCCGACACAGATGAGCTGCCTGGGAGGGCTGTCTGCCTCGTGGGGTCACCTGCCCCCAGCAGCTGGCAAGGACAGTCTCTGTGGGTGTGAGCCACAGGGTGGGCAAGCATAGACCTGGGGGCTGGACGCCCAGGGGACATACCATGGAGGCTGAAGCCCTTTACCCAAAGGAACTGGCAAATAAGTGTGACCTTAGGCAAGTCACTTCCCCTTTCTGGTTCACTGGTTGACTCCCAGTGATTTCTGTTGTGGTCCTACACTGACAGCTACATTATTTGAGCATTTCCTAAGCACCAACACTATAATTAAGTGCTTCCTGAATATTCTGCTAATTATCCTAACAGCCCTACATGATGGTGATTAATTGCTCTATTTTACAGAAGAGGAAAGCTGAGGCCCAAGTTAGTTGGGACTTACTCAAAGCCACCCAGTGAGTGTGGATGAGGCTGAGGTACTGGTAGTTCCTGGGCTGGGGGCAAAGTGGACAGGCAGAAGGTTGGGGGGGGGGTGCCTACCTCCATGGTGGCTTCTGCTGGCTGGCTGGCCCTGCTGACGACCAGCTTCCCCCAGGAGGCCTGGGGCCGTACACCGGTGATTGCTGGAGCCTGGAGGCTGGTCCCCTGTGGGGCTGGGGCCCAGGCCCCTATCTGCAGGGCTGGAGTCTTCCTGCTCACTCTGCTCAAACTCTGGGATCTGGAACATGCTCTGGGCTGCAAGGACAAGATGGTAGGTAGTTAGGGCAGAGATGGGGCAAATGGTGGCTGGCAGTGGGTGGGGAAGCAGGCGCCCCAGGTTCCCTCTCCCACCTTAGCACCCCAGATCCGCCTTGCCTCCCAGGCCCCCGTCTGTCCTCTGGGTCTGGCCGGGAGCTCAGCCTGTCCACCCGGGATCTAAAATTCCTTCCAGAGCCCTGGTGCTGTGGAGCCCCGGACCCCTACCCAAGCCCCGGCTCGACCCGCCCGTAATGACGGCACGCAAGTCTCACCCCAAGCCCGATCTCGAGGCCCCTGACCCCGGCCTGCGCCTCCCTCTCGCACTGAGGGAGCTCGACTCTAGCTGCCTGGGCAACGGGAACTGTCACCGGCCCGGCCCAATCAGCTATCGAAATGTCACCAGGAGGTGGAGCCACTGTTGATCCAGGCCACGCCCCCGCCGCCCGACCTGCTCCCCGCCCATCGCCTTCCTCCAGAGTTCCTTCCTGGTCTCCGAGGGCTCTTCTCCCAACTTCCTTGTACCTGGGGCGTGTATGGAAGCAGATGAAGGATTCTTTGGGGCGCCCAGAGAATTTGGAATCTCGGGGCTAGCTTCTGTTGACGTGTCCTTCAGCCCCTCTGGGCCTTAGTTTCCACCCTTGTGAAATGGGGATAATGACACTTCCCCCAGGGACCAGTGAACTTTGTAAACCAAGTCGTGATTATTGTGGGTGGAAGCACTTAACAAAGGCATAATTGAAGTTCAGCCCTAGCATGCATCGTTGTTGCCGTTGTTACTACGCCGTCTGGACTGGGTGACCGGGTCCCTCCTCCCGCGCACTGTGGGAACCTCGCACCGCACGCATCACGGGCACCACTCCCCACGCCATCTGGGGAGCCCTAGAGATAAGCGAGGGAGCCTCCTCACTGGCAGAATGACTGTCGAAGAACAGGAGAAGGGATAGGGGCCCCGGTGAGGGTGGCCGTAGGACTCGCGGGGGCTTCGCGCCTGGCAAGCGGCGGGCCAGGTGAGCAGGAACCGCGGCCTGCTAGGGCGGGGGACTGGCGGGCCTCCTAGTGCTGCGGGGCTTTGCGGGTTCTGGCCTAGAGGGCGGGGCCCGGAGGCCATCTTGGCTGTGGGCGGAAGTTTTCTTCAGAGACTGGGCGAGGGAAAGTCGTGCCGCTGTCGGCCCGGTGGCGGGATCTCGGTTTGGATGTGGGGCAGAGAAGCGTGGGAACTGGCGGCCCCGCCAATAGGCAAGGGCGGATGGCTACGGACACAACCCGCCCGGGCGCCGGCCGAATACGGTGCTGCCCCAGTACCTCGATCGCCCGCCGCCTCTCCTAACTCCCGGCGCCCGGCGGCGGCGGCGTAGCTCCTACCCATTCTCGAACGACTACGCGCGGGGTGCGGCGCGAGGTTGCGGGGGTTGGGGCGGGGGTGGTTAGATCCTACTCAATTTGCGTAGCAGACGGCGCCCGCGCAGGCGCAAGAGGGGGCGGAGCCGCTGGAGCCGGGGAGCTGGAGCCCCGGAGCCCCGGGTCCCAGCAACCGGAGCCAGCTCCCCAAGAGGCGGACTGAGGGCCTGGCGTCGACCTCCTCCCAGAACCGACTGGATAGTGGACGCAGTGGAGGGTGGGTTGGCAGAGTCCGGAATCCCAGGACTGAAGGCAGAGGCCCCCCACCCCATCTGGATTGTTGGAGGGGAGGGAGCCTCCAGTTGAGGAGGGGGAGAGCTGGGTGTTGAGCGCCCCCAGCAGCGACTGCTGCCCAGAACCGACGGGCATCGGCCGGCTCTCCCCCTCCTGCCCGGACGACTGGAGCGACCAAGGCCAAGTACCCCTCTCCTCAGCCTCTGCAACTCCAAGCTCCTAGCTCTGGGACCGGCCCAGGGCAGCGACACTCCCCACCCCCACGCCTTCCACCCTCAGCTCTGGAGAGGAGAGACTGTCCTTCCACGCTCCTGGGTGAAGGGCCCAGCCCCAGGCTGCCAGTGCCCCGCTGCAAGGGCTGCTGCAAGGGCAAATGTCCCTCCGTTTCAGGGAAGGGCCTGGCCAGCCACAACTCCTTTCCTCCTGAGGTCCTCATCTGTGTCTCTGCACCCTGCACCTCCCACCCCTCCATATTTATTTTTATTTCTCTGGCCCCCTGCCAGCCCCTCCATCTCTGTATCAGGATTCAGGCCTCCCTCCCTGACATGGAGAGTAACCTGTCTGGCCTGGTGCCTGCTGCTGGTCTGGTGCCTGCGCTGCCACCGGCCGTGACCCTGGGGCTGACTGCGGCCTACACCACTCTGTACGCCCTGCTCTTCTTCTCCGTCTATGCCCAGCTGTGGCTGGTGCTCCTGTATGGGCACAAGCGTCTCAGCTATCAGACGGTGTTCCTGGCACTCTGTCTGCTCTGGGCTGCTCTGCGTACCACCCTCTTCTCCTTCTACTTCCGAGATACACCCCGAGCCAACCGCCTGGGGCCCTTGCCCTTTTGGCTTCTCTACTGCTGCCCTGTCTGCCTGCAGTTCTTCACACTGACGCTCATGAACCTCTACTTTGCCCAGGTAACTGTGGTAACCGGGTGGGCTTGGGCTGTGGGGCGGCAAGCCTCAAGGGCGCAAAGGAATAATGAGCATCTCTGCTCCCAGGTGGTGTTCAAGGCCAAGGCGAAGCGTCGGCCAGAGATGAGCCGAGGCTTGTAAGTACTCAGGATACTGGTGGGCTCAGCCCCTAGGCCAGGAGCAGCCTGGTGTCTCCCTGCCTCCCCGCCCCCCCCCCCCCCGTGGGGCTAAGGTAGGGACAGCTCAGGGAGTGTTTGTGAAAGAGCTGGAGAAAGTGAAGCACCTGGTGGATGGCTCAGCAGGGGCGTTGTATGCCTGAAGGGCAACAGGAAGGGAAGCCACTGGGGAGGGGGTGCCAGGGTCATCTGTGACAGAGGAAGAGCTGGAGGCTCCAGCCCCGGGAAGCTCCAACACCCAACCACTTCTGGGTGACCTTGGGTGGCAATATTCCTGTCATCTGTACAACATTTTACAGTTTATTAAGAGCTCTTACAAACATCTCTAATTTTTACAACTGACTTGTGAGGCTCTTATCTCCACTTGAGGGATGAAGAAACTGAGGCCCAGAAAGGTAAAGCACAATGTTCAAGGTCATAGATGTGGCTGGAGGCCCAGCCAGAGCTTAAGCCCAGATTTCTGACACCCAGTGGGCTCCTTCCACTGTTATCACAATTGTCAGTCCCCTTCTGACCTCCTTGGGCCTCAGTTTCCCCACTTGCAAAACCGGAGGGGCATGGTTCGGACCGGATGGCCTGTGGTTCTGGTGGGCACTGGGGGGGGTTGGGTGGTGGGTGAGCACCGAGGGCAGTGGTGGGGCTGACGGTGCTGTGGGCTACAGGCTGGCTGTCCGAGGGGCCTTCGTGGGGGCCTCGCTGCTCTTTCTGCTGGTGAATGTGCTGTGTGCTGTGCTGTCCCGCCGGCGTCGGGCGCAGCCCTGGGCCCTCCTGCTGGTGCGTGTCCTGGTGAGCGACTCCCTGTTTGTTATCTGCGCGCTCTCTCTTGCTGCCTGCCTCTGCCTGGTTGCCCGGCGGGCGCCCTCCACCAGCATCTACCTGGAGGCCAAGGTAGGGTGGTGCCTGGTGTCCTTTGGGGTCTTTGGGCTTTGGTCTTCAGGGTTAGAGGGGAAGCTGGAACCTCCCCTCCCTGAGGGTCCCTTGTTGTCATCTGTGCCAGGGGACCAGTGTGTGCCAGGCAGCTGCGATGGGCGGTGCCATGGTCCTGCTGTATGCCAGTCGAGCCTGCTACAACCTGGCAGCCCTGGCCTTGGCTCCCCGGAGCCGGCTGGACGCCTTTGATTATGACTGGTACAACGTCTCTGACCAGGTGGGCCTTCGGCATGCCTGCTGCCCTCTTAGTGGCCGTGGCTCCTGGGCCCTGGCCAAGTGCCCCACCGGCACGCTTGCCAAGTGGCATGAGCCCCTGCTTTCCCACAGGCGGACCTGGTGAATGACCTGGGGAACAAAGGCTACCTGGTGTTTGGCCTCATACTCTTTGTGTGGGAACTGCTGCCCACCACCCTGCTGGTGGGCTTCTTCCGGGTGCACCGGCCTCTGCAGGACCTGGTGAGGGCCAGCTTGTCGGGGTGGCGCTGTGACAGCCCGGGCTGGAGCCTGGGGTGGTGGTGGGAGGCCAGCGTGGGGCAGGAGAACATCAATGGTGGCTTCCTCCCCCAGAGCACCAGCCGCATCCTCAACGGGCAGGTCTTTGGCTCCCGTTCCTATTTCTTTGACCGGGCCGGGCACTGCGAGGAGGAGAGCTGCTCCTGGGAACATGGCCAGGGCGAGAGCACCAGGTAGGACCCTTGAGCTCTGGCTTGCTCCGTGGAGCTGGGGACCTAAAGCCGAGTCTTGTCATCCAGCCCCTGCCCTGGCCTTGGATTCCATCTGCAGTAGGTGGGGGGCCCTCTGCTGTCCCCCTCTTGCCCCAAGGACACACTTTGCCACTGTCCGCAGTGCTCAAGCACTGGGTCCTGGGATGTCTGGGTCAGTGGGCTCTGCCATCAGCCTCTCTCCCTCCCTGGTCACTGCCTTGGAACCAACCCTGTTTCTCTGTCTGCAGCATGTCCGGCAGTCTAGGCTCCGGCAGCTGGTATGGCGCCATCGGGCGGGAGCCAGGCTGGTACGGGGGCAGCCAGACGCGGACCACTCCTCTGCTCTTCTCCCAGGTGCTGGGCCCTGGCAGCCACCACCACAGTCTCTATTCCACTCCACAGACGTGATCCCCCTCCACCTCTCCCCAGAACACCCAGACCCCGGTCCCTCCCACCCCAGACCCCTGTGCCAAGTTCAACTGCTGCTTCTTGCTCAGAATCCCAGGGCCGTGGCCACCTCCTCCCCTGGCCGGCTCCTTGCTACTTCCCTTGCAGTGAGTTTGTGCCGGCCCCCGGGGTGGGGGGGCATGGCCCTGGCTGCCAGATGCACACAGCACCCTGGCAGGGCCTGCCGCCTCCGCTTCTCCGCTGGAGCCAGCGACCTCTCCCATGTCTGCCACTCAATAAACAGTGTCCGTGACCCACGGCCAGCCACCCTCTGTCAGTTGTCTGTGCTTCTTGAACCCACTGTCTGTTTGGCTGAAAGTTGATCAGACACCGGCCTCTTATGGGGGCTTTTTCCCTCCTGGAGGCTGGTGAGTAGGGCGAAGGAGGAGCCTGCGGTCTGGAGGGAAGACAGACCAGAGGGGCCCTGCTCCTGCTCCAGTCCCCTCTCTACTTGAATAATTGCTACTCTTTCCTCAAGACTGGCTTTCAATGTCACTTCTTTTAGCTGCCTCCCCTCTCTGGGTCAGGGAACTATGTCCCTTCCTGGCCTGGTGGCACTGTGGTTATGTGGCTATAATGCCTCTCATGCCTCAGTGAATCGGGGTTTCCACAGACCCTGCTTCCCCGCCATCACACCCAACCTGGCCTTGAAGTCCAGTCTGGGGCCTGTGGAGGAGGGGTTGGCCCCTGACTGGGCAGCCCCCTTCTCCCTACCAGGTGTGGGTTTGGCTGGTAGGGTGGGCTGCCCCCACAGTCTGCCTGGTGCTCCTGGGGCCCTCTTCTCTGGCCACCCCTAACAGCAGTTACTGCCCTCTGTAATCATGGCCCCGGCAGATCTGTCCCACGGCTGGGAGTTATTTATAGGAGGGTCTGTCTCCTGTACATGCACCTAGCACTGAGCCAGTCTGGGAACCCTTCACTTGGGACTGCCCTGGACAGCAGGGTTTTGGGGCCTCTGCAGAGAGCAGTCACTTCTCATTAAATGAAAAGTTGCTAACGTTTGCAGGGCACTTTATTGTGTGTGCCAGGCTCACAAATACTGACCTCTTTAGTGCTCACAATAGCACCCCCCATGTGAGAGTTAACATCGTTTTCTGCAAGTGGGCACCTGCAGACTCTGGAGTTTGGTCACCGTGGAGGCCCCCTACTGGTAGGGGCTGGTTGGCCTTAGAGCCCACCTTTCCACTACCCACCCTAACGGCTGAGGGTCCCAGGCAGGAGCCAAGGTCTTTCGAGAGATGGGCATTGTAAAGTGGGTAAGAGCAGAGAGGAGCAGAGTTTCAGGACCTTCCAGGGCCCTGGCAGTTTGAGCACCTGGGGAGGGACTGCTGGCTCCATGATGGGCGAACACCGGCGAGGACCAAGGGGTGGTGGGTGACACAGGAGCAAGGGCAGGAGGTGCCCCAGCATGACTTCCCAGAACTGGGCCCCACCCCACCTGGGCCATGTCCAGCTTGCCAGAGAAGATCCCCCCACCTTTTGTCTGGCAGGATCCTCTCCCTCCTGAGTGCTGAGCCCAAGGGCCAGGCCGTCCCCAGGGGCGGGGAGGTGCCCCTCCCACCCCACAGTGGGTCTGGGAGATTAGCGTGGCTCCAGTCCAGAGAGGTGAGCGGAATGATGTCCAGCCTCGGGCTGTGCCGCTGACCACACTGGCCGGAGGGGCAGTACCAGGGCTCTGGTTTGACAGTCGAGGCCAGACTCAGCGGCAGCCTCTCTCGGGCTCCTCCGCCACTGATCTCCCTGGACTGGCCAGAATTAAGGCACAGGGCTGCCGCAGGTTAGGGGGCTGTGGGGGGCGGCATCGGCGAGGGCGCGGCCCAGAGGGAGGCAAGGCGCTGGAGGGGTTAAACGCGGTAGGAGGGGGGCTTCTGGCAGCGGGAGGGGGGTCCCAGCCCCAGCGGCCGCCCGCTCCGCCCCCCGCCCCTACCGCCTCAGCCGCCTCCGTGGCCCAGCCGGCACCGGCGAGGCCGCGCGGGAGCCTGGGTTGCAGCCTCAGCCGCAGCGGGGCCAACAGTGAGTGCGGGGCGGAGGGGCACGGGAGGGAGTGCCGCTGACTCTCAGGTGGGGCGTGCAGGGGGCGCCCGTCCAGGCTGAGCGCCACCTCCCTCCCACGTGCGGGCGCCTCCGGGAATCTTGCGGTCGCGCGAGCCCAGCCGCCCGTCACGCTCCCAGGCGTCGGCGTGAAGACGGGAGGTGGCGGGAGCGAGCGGCGGGCGGGTGTGCGGTGTGTCTGGGCGGCGGGCGCTGCGCCGCGGCCCCTCGGCCTGAGCGTGCGTGCGCGGATGTGGGCGCACGTCAGCGCGGCCCTCTGGGGTGCCGAGGCCCGCGCCGCCCCTGGGGTCCGGGTGTGCCCGGCAGTTGGGGAGAGCGCGGGTGGAGCATGGGATTGCAGCCTGAGCCTCGGGCGGAGGAGCTGCAGGGTGGAGTAGGGGTGCGCGAGGCTTTGTGCGGCGTCGGTGCGTGGGCGCGCTGTCCCCGGGGCAGATGCTGCACTGGTCCGGTGTGTTGCCCCCCGCCGACGCGCTCCTTCCTGGAACCCAGCACTCCCCACCTCCCACCCCGGCACCTCCCTGCCTCGCCTCTGCGCAGGGACCGGATCCATCCCTGGGTTCCTCGAAAGCCTGGCGGGGCGCTGGGGGACCTTGGAGGCTCCCCGCCCGGCCCATCGCGGCCAGCAGTGTTGCCGGGAGAGGCAGGAGGAGAGGGAGGAATCACGAAGATGCTGCGGCAGCAGCAGCAGTGGATGAAGCGGACCCGCCATCCCCGTCTCCGTCCTGTGCGGTCCGGCCTTTCCTCCCGCTGTTTCTTCCAGCACCTCCTCATCCCCTCGGCCTCCTCCTGGGAGGCTGGTTCCCCACGCCCCCGCCAGCCGGCGGCCTTTCCTTTTTGCTCTGCCTCTCCGTCAGCAGGCTGTCTCTCCCTCTTCCACTCTCCTTCCTTTCCCTTCCTGGTGCCCTCTTCTCTTCTCACACCCTGGAGCCCCCCGGACAGGGGCTGAGGGCTGGGCAGTGGAGGTAAGGGGGAGGACAGAGGTGGGGGGAGGACTGGGTGTGTCCTGGTACCAAGTGTCCAGACAGAGGGATGTGAGGAGAGGACATCTGTGGGCAGTAGAGCAGGGGCCTCCAAGAACCCTCCGGTTGGTAGGGGTGGAGGAGGGTGTAGGGGTGTCAGGCCAGGCTATTGATCCAGGCATCCCTGGTTCTGCCCGCAGTGACCACAGCCCTCCAGGAGCCTGCTGCCCAGCCTCCCCAAGCGGGAAGTGGAATTGGCCGGGCCCCTGGGCGCGCCATGCGCAGCACCACGCTACTGGCACTGCTGGCGCTGGTCCTGCTCTATTTGGTGTCCGGTGCCCTGGTGTTCCAGGCCCTGGAGCAGCCGCACGAGCAGCAGGCCCAGAGGGAGCTGGGGGAGGTCCGAGAGAAGTTCCTGAGGGCGCATCCATGTGTGAGCGACCAGGACCTAGGGCTCTTCATCCAGGTGTGTGGGTGGGCGAGAGCCCCTTTGGCAGTCACCTGTGACTGCCTGGCACTAGTGCATGCCAGTGGGGCCGTGTGCTGGGGTGCTGCTTTGGGACTGGCACCCCTCCCTGAAGGCTGGGTGAAGCTGGGGGTGCAGGGCAGGGGCTGGGATCAGGGCTCTGTTTTCAGTATGGCGTCCAAGGGGGCACTGGTTTTCTTTGCTGTGCCTGGCACTGCACTCTGCTCCTGGGAGATCTCCCTCAGTGTGGAGGGTGGTGGGAGGACGGGAGGGAGGAGGAAACGGCTGCAGCACACGAGGTGTGGGACGTTAAATTTTCACAGGTCTAACTCACCGGTTTAGGGTTATCAGGTAAAATCCGGACACCCAGTTAGATGTCGGTGTCAGTTAAACAATGAATAGTTTTTAAATATAACTATGTCCCATGCAATATTTTTATTTGCTAAGTGTGGTTACCCTATCTTGGTCCCTGTACTTTCCCAAGTCCCAGATGCCTTAGAGGAGCCCAGGAACACTGCAAACACTCCTTGTCCCAGAGGAGTGCACCCGGAAACGTGTGCAGATGATTTGGGGGGTCCTAGGACCTCAGCCTGTCCCTGCCACTGTGGATGTGAGGTCAAGTGCCCCTGTGCCCCAAGACGCGTGCTTACAATGCAGAGGCTAGAGGGCGGACAAGTCAGGGACGGGGTCAGCTTTGGTGCAGCAAGTAAAGAAAGTGCTGGGCTTGTCTTCTGGGGTACTGTCAAGCCACACCTCTGTGGCTCTCTCTGATTTCTGAGTCATTGTCATATTAAAAACCTACTATGTAACTTTAATAGGTGAGTGTTTTTTTATTTGAATAAAGTACCCCACTTTCCCTGCCTGTTCTTTTGGAGAGAGGAGCCATCTTGCATGGAGGCCTCTGTGTCCCAGCCGATTCCCAGTGTGGCAGGACCCAGGCCGGAGATGAGGATGGGGTGGGGCCAGGACACAAAGCAGCCTGACATTGTCCCAGACTCTTCTAGAATAGCGGGGGAGGCCCAGAGCGGCCTGGGCAGGACAGTGTCTGGCCAGACCACAGGGCAGAGGCGGGGAGGGAATCTGACCTATTTTATCTTCACAAAGGAGTTTCTTTTTTCCTGGATGAAAAAGAAGAAAAGGAAGGGCAGAAACTAGAAGGTTGGGCAGCAACTGCTTTATTTTTCTTCCACAATTAGTCATACAGCAATTAGGCACCTATTGTGTACTAGGTGCTGTGCTATACACCAGACTGTGAGCGGGGAAATTGACATTGGGGTGGGACAGATGCAGGCTGTGCCCTAGAGGAGGTCACATCTGGGCAAGGGGACAGATCACTAGAATTCAGTGGAAAAGCAGCTTTCCTTACTTCCTCCTCTGTTAACCACTCCTCTGTTGTATGCTGGGCCTTGGGCTAGGTTCAGGGGGCCTTTGGATGGGGCTGGTAGTTGAAGTGAGGAGGTGAGCTGGTAGAATGTGGAGATGTGTGACTGGGTTGCAAGGGACTGCAGGCAGAGTGGCGGCCCCGGGCGGGCAAAGGCGTGCAAGCTGGAAATTCGGAGCATTCTGCAGAACTTGGATTTAGCAGATGCCTAGTCATTTGAAACAAAAATTAGAACACACAGGATGACAAAGAATTTTCCCCCTTAAGTAGTGAATTTACTGGAAGAGTGTTGCCAAATAAAAAAGTCATACATTCCACTTCTTGGCTTTATTTAAAAAGTATTATTACAGGAAATGAGATCCTCTTAGAAATCTGGGGCTAAAGTCCCCTTAATGTGGGTTCCCAAACAGCAGATTCATGAGCTCGGGCCTGCGAACCAGACAATCGCGGTTCGATTCCCAGTCAGGGCACATGCCTGGGTTGCAGGCCGGTTCCCTGCAGGCCAGTTCCCAGCGGGGGATGCGCAAAGGGCAACCATACATTGATGTTTCTCTCCCTTTCTCCTTCCCTTCCCCTCTAAAGATAAATAAATAAATTAAAAAAAACCAGCAGATTCAGGAAAGAAGACTGGAGAAAAGGGGGTTGGGACCGGATTGAAAAGGGGCTTAAACCGTGGGCTGGGGAGATGAGAATCCATTGTGCAGATATCAGGGAGCTGTGGAAGGTTGGGGGCCGATGCTTTAGGACAATTAATTTGGAAAGGGTCTTGCTAATGAGGACCGCAGGAAGAGAGAGGTGTGGTTTCTGATCTCCCCACACTGCCTGCCTTTGTGTCTTGGCTCTGTGCTCCTTGGGGAGGGGCCCAATGGCGCCCCCCTCCTCGGGTGCTCTGACCTCTACCACTTAGGGGAGGCTCTCTCAAAGCAGACCCCACCCTGAGGGAGCTGCAGGCTGGCAGGAGGGACAGACACTCGGCCATCCCATTAATTTAGTCGTGTTCACTGAGCGCCTGCTGTGTGGCACAGAACTTCAGCAGAGTGGGTGGCTGTTTGCGTGCCCACGAATCTGCCAAAATTGGATGAAAAGTGTGATGGTATATGAACCTTCCTGGAAGGAGGGTCCCTAACTTTCATCACACTTTCTAAGGCAAGAGACTCAAATTCACCTCCCATAAGGGCAATAGGAATTGGGTGGGGGGTGGTCTGTGGAAAGCTGGAAATCACCGGGCATGGTCACCATGGGGGGCCACAGTGCTTACTTGGCTGTGAGCGCTTTAACCCTTCACAGCAACTCTGCATGGTAGGCGCTCTTACCGTCTCCACCGGGTAGATGCGGAAACAGAGGAGAGAGAGTTAACCTGCCCAAGTTCACACATCACCAAGATTCAAAACTAGACGGTCTGGTCCCAGAGTCTGTGCTCTTGATCGCTGTGAAACTGGAAATCTGTTGTGTGAATTAGGGGGCAGATTAGTGTTTCTAAAATAGCGGGAAGGTCAAACCAATTTGAGTCACCCAATTTGCAATGCCTGCTCAAAGGGAAAGCCTTCAGGAAGACCAGCTGGAAGGGGAGAGCTGGGAGGGGAAGGAAGGGAAGCACTGCGGACACTGGAGGGCCAGGGGGTTGGCCAGGACCGGAGGGAAGGACTAAGCTTCCTCTTTCTGCGCCTTGTCCTGCAGGAAGTGGCTGATGCCCTGGGAGGGGGTGCGAACCCTGAAATCAACTCAACCAGTCACAGCAACTACTCAGCCTGGGACCTGGGCAGTGCCTTCTTTTTTTCAGGCACCATCATCACCACCATCGGTGGGGGAGGGGACTGGGCAAGGGGTGGCTGGGCTTTCTCAAGGGGGAAGTTGCAGGGGGAGGTAGGGGGATGCCAGGTAACCCCTGGACCTCCTGCACGGCCCCTCTGCCCAGGCTACGGCAATGCGGCCCTGCGAACAGATGCTGGGCGCCTCTTCTGCATCTTTTATGCACTGGTGGGGATCCCGCTGTTCGGGATGCTGCTGGCAGGGGTCGGGGACCGGCTGGGCTCCTCCCTGCGCCGTGGCATCGGTCACATAGAAGCCATCTTCCTGGTGAGCTGCTCCAAGCCCTTGTGGTGGGCTCAGGATACCTTTCCTATGTCCCCTCCCAGCACTCACGCTGGGGCCCTGAGATCTCCGGAGCCTCCCCTCGGGCTCCCAGAGGAGGGGTTGTGGGGTGTGAGAGTGGACGTTGTGGGCACTCCCTGCAGAAGTGGCACGTGCCCAAGGAGCTGGTGCGAATTCTGTCAGCGGTGCTCTTCCTGCTGATTGGCTGCCTGCTCTTCGTCCTCGCCCCCACCTTTGTGTTCTGCTACGTGGAGGGCTGGAGCAAGCTCGAGGCCATCTACTTCGTCGTCGTGACACTCACCACGGTGGGGTTCGGGGACTATGTGGCCGGTGAGGCCACCTTTCTTGTGCTTCACTTCCTTGCCCACTTGATTGCTACCCAGAGCCTCTGCACTTCCGCTTCTCCCTCCAAACTCCACGTGGTGTTTGTGCCCCCCCCACAGGATGGCTGCAACCGCTGTATTCACTCTCAGAATGCGCCCTAACATTGCTGCACTGATCAACATCTCATGCACACTAACATTCTTGCATGCCTGCACCTCCATGCATGTTTACCCATGTAACAAGGTGCACCCCTCACACAGGCTCACATTCTTGCACATGAGCACTCCCACTCACATGCTCTTATCTTGCACACTTCAAATCATGCATGCTCATCCTCTTGCATGTGTTTGCACACACTGTCACATCCTCATTGTCCTGGGGACAACGGGGACTTTTGGTGAGCTGGGAAGACGGGTGGTGAAAAGGTGACTTACTGGCTCAAAACGTGCCCTGCAATCATCTTCTTTCTGCCCTCGCCGGTGGTATCCTAGGCGCCAGCACCAGCCAGAACTCTGCAGTCTATCAGCCGCTGGTGTGGTTCTGGATTCTGTTCGGCCTGGCCTACTTTGCTTCGGTGCTCACCACCATAGGGAACTGGCTGCGAGCAGTGTCCCGCCGCACTCGGGCAGAGGTAGGTGCCCCTGGGTCGGCTCCGCGCCTGTGCCATGATGCTGATACGCTGTACCCGAGCAGTTGCTTGGCCCGCCGGCCTCCCAGAGTGTGGGATCCTCCAGGCTGGGACTGAGTGAGCTCCATTATGCACCGGCCAGGGGCAAAGGGATAATTCAGACAGGTTTGCAGGCGACTCCATCTCTGCTTTTACCAAGTAAAAACGCAGGAAGCCCAGTTAAATGTGAACCTCAGACAAATAAATAATATTTTAGTATAAGTATGTGCCACATAATTGCACGGGACGTAATTATACTAAAATTATTTTTGTTGTCTGTCTGAAATTCAAATTTAATTGAACGACCTATATTTTGTCCCCACACTCTTCACGCCCAGCCGGCCGAGGAGCGCAAGAGGCTCTGGGGGGCACAAGAGGGAGAGATGAAATAGAGCGGGTTTTCTAGAAGAGCTCCCGGAGTAGAGGGCGCTTCCGTGCGACGCAGGAGGGGAGATCGTGGGGCTAGGGGATGAGCCTTTCCCTCCTTGGGCGCACTGGGGCAGGAGGACCAGGGCAAAGGAGGGGCAATGCCTGACTGGCAAAGGGCAGGCTCCCCGGGCTGCTAGGCGGTCGAGGACCCCCGGTCGAGGACTGCTTTTCCTCCCCGCGCAGATGGGCGGCTTCACGGCGCAGGCGGCCAGCTGGACCGGAACAGTGACGGCGCGGGTGACCCAGCGAGGCGGCCCCGCCGCACCGCTGCCGCCGGAGAAGGAGCAGCCACTTTTGCCTCCACCGCCGTGCACGGCCCAGCCTGCGGGCAGGCCCCCATCCCCTGCGCCCCCCGAGAAGGCCCAGCCGCCTTCCCCGCCCACGGCCTCCGCGCTGGATTACCCCAGCGAGAATCTGGCCTTCATCGACGAGTCCTCGGACACGCAGAGCGAGCGCGGCTGCGCGCTGCCCCTCCCGCCACGGGGTCGCCGCCGCCCCCACAACCCCGCCAGGAAGCCCCCTAGACCCCGGGGCCCCGGAAGCCCACGGGACAAAAACGCACCCGTGTAGGGGCAGGACCCACGGCCCAGACCTCTCAAAGGGCTTCGTCCTTGCTCTCTCCCCAGCATGCTTTGCTTGTTTGACCAAAGAACACTTTTTTTTTCACTGGACTGTAACCTGGGGGGCAGGCTAGGTTGCTTACTTGCTACTGCGGCTCCTGGTCCTCTTCTCACTTCATCCATTTCCAGACCCCCTTTCTGTCTCCCTGTCCCGAGGCTGGGGCTGTCCCGGCTGGGCCTGTCCCTCACAACAGTGCCTCAAAGCCTGCGTCAATAAACGGAAAAGTCTGCGCCGCTCCGGGCCTACGCGCTCCGAGGACTCGAGTGGGGTGGGGGGTGCTTGCTTCGGGCCACCTCCAGACAAGTCAGTCTTCCCGTAACCCCCCTGCGCCCGCGGCGGTTTGGTCGAGGCCGGCCCTCTGGACTGGGATCCGCTCGCGCCTCTGCTTGGAGGCTCCTAAGCAGGGTCCGGCGGAGAAATCTGCCAGGATGGGCGGCGCGTCTCCCACCCCAGCACAGCTATTACGGCAGCAGGGTGGGTGGGGAGGGGAGAAGTAATGGTTTGCAGTGTAGGGGGCTGTAGCTTGAACTCGTCCTGCACGAGACCCTCGTCGCCCTTCTGGAAAGGGACCCCGCCCCTCCCCCTTCCTGGAGCGCGCGACCCCCTCTCCCTCAATCGAGGCCTGTGGGGACTGGGTCCGTTGGGGCAGAACCATGGAGGAAAAGCCTGTCAAAGTAAGAACTCTTCCTGGGCCCCTCGTCCTGCAGGGCCCCTCATCCTGCCAGGCCCCAGACTCGTTCAGCCGCTGGCGATCCTCATTCAACACCCTCCCTGGCAGTCTTGCTTCCCCCTCGGTCTTCACGTCCCTGCCCCAGCCTGCGCTTCCTCCCCTCCCCCAACACCCCGTTACCCTGGCTCTGGGCTTTCCTTGGCTTTTTTTCTAGGACCTTTTAAAAATTTTAATTTATCGGGGAGACACTGGTTAATAACATTATACATGTTTTAGGTGTACAATTCTATAACACATCATCTGTATGTTGTATTGTGTGTTCACCACCCCAAGTCAAGTCTCCTTCCATCACCGTTTATCACCCCTTTACCTTCTGCCTCCCCCCACCCCTCTTCCCCCCTGGTCATCACCAGACCGTTGTCTGTGTCTGAGGGTTTGTTGTTGTTGTTATGTTTTCCTTCACCTTTTCCACCCAGCCCAGCAACCCCCCGCCCGTCTGACAGCCATCAGTCTGTTCCCTATGAGACTATTTCTACTTTTTTGTTAGTTTATTTTGTTCATTAAATTCCACATATGTGAGGTCATATGGTATTTGTCTTCCTCTGACTGACTTATTTCACTTAGCACAATGCTCTCCTGGTCCATCCATGCTGTCCCAAAGGGTGATTTCCTTCTTTTTGATGGCTGAGTAGTATTCCACTGTGTAAATGTCTTATCGTTTTATCCACTCATCTACTGAGAGACATTTAGGCTGCTTCCAAATCTTGTCTATTGTAAATAACGCTGCAATGAACATAGGAGTGCATATATTCTTTCAAATGAGTGTTTTGGTTTCTTCAGATATATTTTCAGAGGTGGAGTCCCTGGGTCACAAGGCAGGTCCACTTTTAACTTTTTGCGGTAACGCCACACTGCTTTCTGCAGTGAGTGCACCCATGTGCGTTCCCACCAACAGTGGAGTTCCCTTTTCTCTGCATCCTCGCCAGCACTTGTCATCGTGATTTATTGGCCATAGCCATTCTGACAGATGTGCTGGGCTTTCCTTGTTGTATGTGGCCCACAGGCGTCAGCCAAGTCTTCAGGCCGCCGTGACTCAGTCAGGTCGAGCCTCAACAATGACATCCGGAATCTGTGGACCATGGCCTCGCTGTCACAGTCCAAGCTGAATGTGCCGCTGACTAGTCTTTGTGGGGACTCTGACCTGGAGGGCAGCAGCACAGGCAGCAAGACCGACCAGTGGTACAACCCGGAGGAGATCCACCAAGACTCTGAGGACGTCTGGAAACAATGGGAGGACAGAAAGGACAAGCCAGAGGAGCTGGGCCTTGGTGGCTTCCAGGGAAGCGATTTAGAAGGGGATGAGGATTCCAGAACAAAGATGGGTCAGTGTGGCCTCAACAGGCTGTGGGCGCCCACAGGGCAGGGGGCTGGCCACCGCCCCAATTTCTGTTGGTGGAAAATGAGGGGAAGCAGTAGTATCTGTTTTTAGGATTCCCTGGGTGAGGCGCCCGCGCTGGTCTTTCAAGCTTTAAATCAACCAGACATTCTTGGAGCGCCCCCTACCGGGAGGCGTCGTACGAAGTCCTGTGGCCGGGGCACGCCAGGTCCGGGAGAGGCTCACAGAAAAATGCTCAAACACAGCGCTGTTAGAACCGTGCTTTTAATGGAATAACCAGGATAGTTGAGAGGAGGGAATTAATTTCTTGTCGGTGGGTTTTCGAAGGTCAAGGAGGTGCCCGTCTGTCATTTATCCAGTCATTGGTGCCAATTTTTAAGTACCTACTTCATACCGGGCACTTTTTGGAACTTTCCCTTCTCCCGCTCCCCGCAGCCCTTCATCAGATAACTCAGACTGGCAACAGTATAGTAACTGCCATTTATTGAGCACTTACTGTGTGCTAGGCACTGGGCTTCCCTTGCATGATCCCCTTTAAACTTCTCAAACTCCACAAGGGGTTATTCTTATTACCCCATTTTACAGATGAAGAACCTGAGTGTCAGAGAGTTTCAGTCGCTGGCCCTAAGTAGCACACAGTGGGGTAGTCAGAACGGGAACCTGAATGGGTGACACAATAAAGCCCAGGGGCTTCATTGTAAATCACTGTCCCTTACTGTTTCCCACTGAGGTGACCCTGGTGTTCTTCTCTGAAGGCCACTCTCCCTGTCAGATACCACCCCATACATCTCTGTCCCAGGAAAGACCCAGCAGTCTGCAGATGACTCGTCTTTCTTTTCTCTTCTTCCAGAAACACCTTCCTCAATGGCATCAGCCAGAATCTCAAAGCACACACCCCATCGAGCCTACTGGGTGGAGCAGCAGAACAGGGTTGGAGGCACCCAGGAAGACTGGGGATTTTAGTGGGGTGGGGAATGGGCAAGCTGGGGATTTAGGGATGAAGGGGATTGTGGTGGTCTGTAGGGTGGAGGGGTGGGTAGGTGGGGGGTCTTGGGCTGGAGGCAGCAGGTGGGGCATTTCATCTGTGGGCAGAACTGGGGTCCCTTGGACATCTGAGCCTCTTGCTGCCTCTTCAGCTGCCTCTGCCCCTGGTGGAACTCATGGAGAGTGAAGCTCTGGAAATCCTCACCAAAGCCCTCCAGAGTGAGTCCCTCCCCCAGCTCCCAAGAGACCTTGGGTGATTTTTCAGGACTTGAGCCTGTGGGAGTGGGGTTTCAGGATGTGTTTGCCTTGCCACATTCCCTTACCACTCACTAAAATTGCAGGAGCCCCACAGAAAGTAAAAAGTTGGGGGACAAGGCACACCCATTGGGGAGATCATGGGGTAAATGTGAGGGGTCTGGGATCCAGCTTAAGTGCAGCCCTCACTCCAGCTGACAGGAGTTTTCTAAGACTGTTTCTCCATTCGCCCAATGGGGGTGACATTTTTTTGTGTGGACCTGGTCCCTTCCCTGGGTAATGTAAAGAGCCTTTGAAGAGTCAATTTGCCCTGCTGGTTTGCCCTGCTTATGACACAAGGGGGCTGGGGCTGGCTGGCTAATGGCTAATAGTGACTGGTCCAGGAAGTGTCCAAAAAGCAGCCTGCCACCACTGCCTTAGATCAGGCCGTCATCTTCTTTAATTTTGCCCCTTATTCATCCTCCACCTCAATACCCCATCTTGCTCTGCATCTCCCCATCTGTCTGGAGCACAGGTCTATGACTTGAAACGAAGCCGGCAGGGCCCAGCACTTTGGAGATCCAAAGTTCCCCAAACTAACACAGACCCCAGTGCTCAGAGCTTCTGCCAACCCAAGTTACCCGCGGTTCCTCAAATCACACATGTGGCATCTACTGCTAGGGACACCATGCCCCTGCCAACTGAGCTGAGTGTAGATCTATCCCCCAGGCTACCGGTCGGGGATCGGCAAGGATCACTTCTTAACCAAGCAACTGCAGAGATACATCGAGAGACTCAAGAGGCGACGGAGCAAGAGGCAACACGTCTTGGTGCACTGAGAGCACCAGCTCAGGCTCAAGTGACTGTCCAACTCCAGCCCCAGTCCCTGTCCTGCCCCAAGACACAGCCCGACCCTCTCGACGTGGAATTTGAACCGTAGAGAAATAAAAGAGCCCGTACAAGGTCCGTGAGTCTGTGCGTGGCTGCTTGCGTGAGGCGGACGCGCACGGCCCCGCCTTTCCCCATGACCTTCACTCGGTCACCGCAGTGACCTTGAGCATTCTTTGTTGGGGCCCTATCAGCGTCACCTTTCCGGGACTCGAAATCCAAGACTTCTTGCATGTTTTAGGTCTCTTTCTCCCATCCCAGATACTGCAGCTTTGTAGGGATATTGGGTTTGCAGTCCAAGTGCTCCCACGGTGTTATCTCTTTTGGGATAAGGAAAAAGAGACAGTGGCAGAGATTAGCCTCCAGCTAGCGCATTCTAGGCCCCACCCCTCATGCATATGCAGCTAACTAGCCTTTCCGCTCGTCCGGCCCTCTCATTTACATGTGTCTGTAGTCTCCCGGGTCTGGAAACTGAGGCCACAGAGAGACTTCGCCCACTCCTCCGGCTCACAGCGCGCCCCGCCTCCTTCGTTACGTAAGAGCGTTCTTGGCCCTACCCTTCCCGGAGCTTCTCCGCGTCTTCTCGGATCACGTCCACCCGGAGGCTGCGTACGCAAGTGCGCTGCTGTGGCTTGCGGCAACGGGGCGGGACCTTCGTGAAAGCCCGCCCATTCGCTTCGCCTGCTCCTCCCCTACTCGTTCCAGCACTCAGGCGCTGCCTGCCCCACTTGTCTTATTAGCATAGGGCGCCTGGCCCCGCCCCCTGTTTTGCATGCGCACGGCCGGCCCCGCCCCCACTGTCAGCTGGAGGAAGCGGAGTAGGAAGCGGCCGCGATGTCCTTTTGTGTCCTACAAGCCGCCAGCGGCGCCGCCAAGTGAGGGGACGCTGCGCGGCGGGGCGGCGCGGCCCGAGGAGGCGGCGGAGGAGGGGCCGCCAGCGGCCCCCGGCTCACCCCGGCGCTCCGGGCCGCTCGGCCCCCATGCCTGCCCACCCGCCCAGCCGGAGCCCCAGGTCTGGGGGCGGAGGTGGAGCACCTATGGGGAGGTGGGCGGGAGGGGTGCTGGGGCCATGTGCGAGCCCCGCAGGGAGGCGGGCGGGGGCGGGCCGCAGGCGGGGTCCGGTTTTTGGACTGGCCAGGGTCATGGTCGGGACCAGATGGAGAGCTAGAAGAGGTCAGGGTCCGGGAGGGATCTGGCGTCCAGATCTTAGTGCGCCGGCCTGGAGCAGGGGCCGGCTTTGGCTCGGGCCGAAAATCCTAGCCAGAGTCGGGCTTGGGCCTCGGATCCAGTCCTAGGGCAGGGTTCAATCCAGCACCTGGAGCGTGCCGAAGTCCCAGGGGCGGGCGGGGGTGGAAGATGAGGGTTCCCTGTCAGGGAAGGGGCTTTGAAGACCACGTGGGGGCGCTCGAAGGGTCCTTGGGCCACCCTCCTCTCTGGGTCAAAGGTCATCGAACCCGCAGGGGAGAACTTCCTCCTCCCTGGCACTCCCCATTTACTTCCTGATAACCTGAAAGAGGTCCCCGGCGGGCGGAGGAGGAGGGGAACGAAGCAACTTCTGGCAACTTCCCGTAGGTGTGCGCGTGTTGGGGGGGCGGGGCGCCCCGGAGGTGGAGGACCCTGAGGCTGCAGGAGTGGAAGAGCGAAAGTGCTGGCGGGTGGGATGCGAGGGGGTGTGCAAGGAGGTGGAGCCGCGCCAGTCAGGTGTGCCTTGGAGTGGGTTTGCCTGGACCGGGGGTCAGTGTGTCAGGTGGGAAAGCTCTGAATGTTTCCACAGGGGTCTGTGCCTGTAAGTGTGGGGTATGGTGAGGGTGTAGGGCCGTGAGTGTGTGATTATGAGTCATGAGTGTGACTTTGTTTATGGGGTTTGCAATTGGTGGGCATGAGTGAGAACTGGGCCTGGAAAGGCCCTGTGTGAGTGAGAGTGAGCGTGTGAGGACCTAGGTGAGTGGGAGTGTGTAAGCACATCAGCTGCCCTTGGGCTTTTGTGCCTCAGTTTGCTCTCTCGAATGGGGGATACCTTAGTGAGAGAAAGATCACCAAGGTCCCTCCCTGGGGAAAATTAGAGGTCTCCCATTTCGGGGTGAGGATTCCAATGGGGTTGGAGGTCACCTGGGACCAAGGTTACCCTGCTCACTGGCATGGGTGGGAGTAGGGGGGTTTCTAAGCCTCCTGCAGGTCCCCAAGTGGGACCTGCCAGTTACTGGCCCTGGAAGCTCTGGAGACTCTGTTCCCTTGGCAACAACTAGGGGGGGCCCTTCTTCATGGGCAGCCCTTCCTTGGACTCTGTACCTCCTCCTTCCCCCTCACTGATAGTGGAAGCCTGGCCCCAGGCCTGGGGTTGGGCAACCAGGGTGGCAGGGTGTCTCTCCATCCCCCAACCCAGTGCCTCCCTGTGATCTGACAGGTTTCTCCCCACAGGTGACCAGCGCCATGTCCAGCCAGGTGGTGGGCATTGAGCCTCTCTACATCAAGGCGGAGCCAGCCAGCCCAGACAGCCCAAAGGGCTCCTCGGAGACCGAGACTGAGCCCTCCGTGGCCCTGGCCCCCGGCCCAGCTCCCACTCGCCACCTCCCAGGCCACAAGGAAGAAGAGGACGGGGAGGGGGCTGGGCCCGGCGAGCAGGGTGGTGGGAAGCTGGTGCTCAGCTCCCTGCCCAAGCGCCTCTGCCTGGTCTGTGGGGACGTGGCCTCTGGCTACCACTATGGTGTGGCATCCTGCGAGGCCTGCAAAGCCTTCTTCAAGAGGACCATCCAGGGTGAGCCCCCACCCCACTTCTGTGCCCTTTGCCCTCTGGGCCTGGCACTACCCAGTGGATGCACTGCTAGGTGGTACTAGACGCCCAGATTGCCATGGTGCCATTTGGGGTTGGCAGCCTGATGTTCCCAGGCCCTCTTACCCCCGAGGAGTGCTCTTTCCCTTAGAAACTAAATAGAGCTTTGGGATGTGTTGATGGATTGGATGTGGGATGTAAGAGAGGCTTTAGGGTGTCTCTGAGGGTACGATCGGCTCAGTCTCTCCCATAGTAGCTCTGAAAAATTTGCGACAACCTCTGCCTGCTCTAAACTTTGTTCTTGCTTCTGGTAGCTACTGGCCTCTCACCGACATAGAATACACCCACCCCCTTTATGTGGACTTCCCCAGAGCAGCACCAGTGCAAGGCAGGTTTTCAGGGCTGAGCGGGGCTACCTCCTGTTTCAGTACCTAACTTTAAAAAGACTGTTAGACATCCTGCTGATAGTACCCAGGGAAGCTTATTAAAATGTGAGCCAGCAAGATGGCGACGGAATAAGCAGCACTTGGGACGTGCCTGTCACTCACACTTTCATGTAAACCTCGGTTACTTTGGGGCTGTAACGTGTACTTTTTGAGAACATTTCTTGTATGCTTAGCAGGCACTGTGCCTCTTTGCATTCACAATCTGTTACCCCACAGCAACCTAGAAGGTGCCAGCACTATTATAACTGAGGCCCAGGTTGGTTTTTATTTTTATTTTATTTTATTTTTAAAAAATATTTTATTTACTTATTTTTAGAGAGAGAGGAAGGGAGGGAGAAAGAGAAGGAGAGAAACATCAATGTGTGGTTACCTCTCATGTGGCCCCCACTGGGGGACTTGGCCTGCTACCCAGGCAGGTGCCCTGACTGGGCATTGAACCGGTGACCCTTTGGTTTGCAGCCCACGCTCAAGCCACTGAGCTACACCAGCCAGGGCCCAGGTTGGTTTTTAAAACTTTGTCCCAGCCCCAAGGTAGAAAACGGCAGAACTAGGGTTTGAACTTGGGTGGATTCAGGTCCAGGGACTGAGCTCCTCGATGCCAAACTGCTGCCTCTGCTTATTACTAATAACTGAACTTTGGACAGGTGCCTCACGAATGATTGTGACATTCGGAGAGTCTCGACTTCGCCGTTGCCAAGACTCACTGGTCTAAAACCTCTGTGCCCTCTTCTGTCTGCGAAGCCCAGGGAGCCGACAGGTTCAGGTCCAGGTGTCCCCTGCCCATCCTGGAACCCTCCATTCTCTGCTGACTCAGCCGACAGATGTTTATTGAGCACCAGCCATAAATAGTAGTCACTTATTGAATGTTTAGGTGTTGTGAGCTGCACTACATGTGTTAACCTCAGTTACCCCCTTGAATTCTCACAGCTCATCTTTGTAAGAAGTATTGTTTCTATCTCCCAGTGTTACAGATGAGAAAACCGAGGGCTCGAGGGCTTAGGTATGGGGCTTGTTCAAGGTCACACAGTTGGTTTATGGAAGTGTCAGGCAGCTTCCAGAGCCTTTACAAACCCTGTGCATTGCTGCCCTGGCCACCGTTGCAGGCATGGGGACTCAGGCAGGACTGCCCCATCCTCAGACAGTTTACTTTCTAGCAGAGGGAGGAGGAAGGAAACAATGAATTGCACAGAGGTGTTATAGGACAGCTGTGATAAGTGCTGGAGGGCGAGGAGCGGGGTCTGAACCAGGGAACCTGGCTGGGTCCGGGGCTCAGGGGGGCTTCCCTGAGGAGGTGCCTTGAACTGAGCATGGAAGTGGGTGGGGTGAAGGGGAGGCGAGCCAGGGGCTTGGCGGCTGGCTGTGTCATTCAGTCCTTGAAGTAGCCCTGGGAGGCTGAGAGGGCTGCCATGCGTTCACTCCACCAGTTATGAGCGCACACTGTGCCAGGTCCCATTCCCAGCACTGGGGACAGTCCTGGCCCTCGTGGAGTGGACAGTAATGTTGGGAGTCAGGCAATCAAGACAATAGATATGTACATCTGTAGCATGTTAGATGGTGCTGAGAGCTGATGAGAAACTATCAAGCAGGGGCAAGTGCCTGGAGTCATCGCCAGAGGGGGCAGGTGGCATTCTTACCACCCCTCACAGGGTAGCCGGGGAAGGCCTGGCGAGGTGACAACAGGCAGAGATCTGAAGGAGGGAAGGGAGCCACGGGCCCTGAGTTAGGGGCCCGGAGCCAGAGCAGAGTGTGAGGCGGGTGAGGTCAAAAAGGGCATGAGGAGCAGGGGCACGGGGTTCACTGGGCTCTTACCGCTGGAAGGGAAATCACTGGAGGGTTTTGAGCAGGGGAGGGCCAGGTTCTAACTTCGGTTTAACAGGGCACCTTTGGCTGCGGGGTGGAGTGAGTGGAGGAGGCGAGGGCAGGGCGGGAGTCCAGGGCAGAAGGGAAGGCCCGCCAGGATCAGCGGACAGGGTGGATTTGGGCTGTGGGACAGAAAGCCGTCTCCTACGCTGCTGCTTGAGCAGCTGGACAGACGGAGTCACAGGTTTGGGAGGGGGATCGGGGCCACATTTGGGACAGGTTAGGTCTGTGAGGCCTTCCACGTCTGAGACAGATGTGCAAGATGTTGAGGAGGCAGGGGATGTAAGTCTGGAGTTCAGGCAGGTCCAGGCAAGAGATGGTTTGAAAGCCCATGAGTAGGTACGGTCACCATGGGGGTGAGTCAGCAGAGATGAGGTCTGAGGGCCCTCAGTGCCAGGAGCACAGCGGGACGCACAGGAACTACTAAGTGGCCAACAAGAGGGGAGGAAAACCAAGAGTGTGTCCTAAAAGCAAGAGAAGAAAACTGTTTCAGTGTTTCTAGGAGTAGAATGTGGTCAATGGCATTAGATGGTCCTTTAGGTCTTGTAAGATGAGGATGAGAGTTGATCGTTGAGGGTAGCAACAGAGAGGCCATTGTGACCTTTGAAGAGAGCAGATGAGGATAGTAGAGTCCAGAGATGGGGCTTGACAAGAGGCTGGGGGCAGATGCAGCCCAACTCCCCTGGTCCCAGTCCTGTTGCCCGGACAGGGGCCCCCAGCCCAGCAGCCATTCTCCTCAGTGCCCTGGGCGTCCCTGCCCCACTCACGGCACTCCTGCTCTCCCCAGACCTGTGCTTGCCCGGGGCGAGTCAGGGTTCTCCTGTCTGCTGGGCCCCCTCCAGGCCCTGGGAGGCTGCCACTGGAGCCCTGCCTCTTCCTGGCAGGGAGCATCGAGTACAGCTGTCCAGCCTCCAATGAGTGTGAGATCACCAAGCGGAGACGCAAGGCCTGTCAGGCCTGTCGCTTCACCAAGTGCCTGCGGGTGGGCATGCTCAAAGAAGGTGAGTACTGGGCAGGGGCCTTGGCAAGGGTTGGGGAGCTGGATGCATGGGCCGGAGAGGGCGGAGCTGGAGAAGTTCTGGTGGAATGGATTGGGCAGGAGGGCTCTGCAGAGCAAGTCACCCACAGCTCCCAGGACACAGCTCTGTCCTCCAATTCAAGGAGTACGTCTGGACCGTGTGCGGGGTGGGCGACAGAAGTACAAGCGGCGACCAGAGGTGGACCCGCTGCCCTTCCCAGGCCCCTTCCCTGCTGGACCCCTGGCAGTAGCTGGAGGCCCTCGGAAGACAGGTGAGCGCTGTGGCTCCTTGGAGCTGTAGGGTTGGGATTGGGCTGGGACCCTCGAGCCTATCCGGTGGCACTCCCCCAGGACAGTAGTAGTTGTTTTGCGCACTGAAACCCAAATTTTCCTTTCATTTATTCGCTTACTCATTTCCCCCCAAAAGCATTTTTGAAAATACTTTTTCTGTCAGTCGCTGAGTAGCACAGCTGGGAACAGGGAAAGGTTTTCTAACACTCAGAACCTGTTCACAAACAGACTGGCTTCCCCTGGGAGACAGGGAGAGCCCTTCCCGGAGAGAGGTGTGTGAGCCTGCTAACCAGTGGCTGTTGAGGAAGGCCACGGGGGCACTGACTCTGGGAAGATGTTTGACTGCAAAGGGCCTGCAAGGTGATGAATCCAAGTGCCTCTCCCAACTGTCACTGCAGCCCCAGTGAATGCACTGGTGTCCCACCTGCTGGTGGTAGAGCCGGAGAAGCTGTACGCCATGCCTGAGCCAGCGGGCCCCGACGGACACCTCCCAGCCGTAGCCACCCTCTGTGATCTCTTTGACCGAGAGATCGTGGTCACCATCAGCTGGGCCAAGAGCATCCCAGGTAAAGGGCCAGGTGATGCGGGCTTCCCCAAGGCACGCCAGGCTATGCCTGGCTCTGGGGCACCTACTCAGCCAGGTGTGCTCCCCGCTGCCCTCCAGGCTTCTCGTCACTGTCACTGTCGGACCAGATGTCAGTACTGCAGAGCGTATGGATGGAGGTACTGGTGTTGGGTGTGGCCCAGCGCTCACTGCCACTGCAGGATGAGCTGGCCTTTGCTGAGGACCTGGTCCTGGATGAAGAGGGGGCGCGAGCAGCTGGCCTGGGGGAACTTGGGGCTGCCCTGCTGCAGCTGGTGCGGCGACTGCAGGCCCTGAGGCTGGAGCGGGAGGAGTACGTGCTGCTGAAGGCCCTGGCCCTGGCCAACTCAGGTGAGCCTGGGCAGGCCCCGAGGAGTCTCCAGGAGGCCTCCCATAACTCCTCTGGTGGGACACTACCATTTTACAGACAGGGGACACTGAGTCATAGGGAAGAACAGCTTACATGCTGAAAGTCACAAAGCAAGGCAAAGGCAGACCCAGGAACAGGATTTTGAACCCTAGTGCCATACTTAACTAGAAAGGTGAATGATTTAGTGGGAGGGAAGGCGGGGAGAACAGAAGGGGACCACAACTGAGAAAGGCAGGGCCCTGGCTCATGGGCAGCAGTTGAGTGTTGCCTCAACCAGCCAATCAAATCGGTGTCTGGCCCCTCTGTACACCCACCCCTCAGTGCCCAAGCAGACTTGCGCTGTCTCCTTCCTGGAGATGTCGACAGCTCTCTCCCTGCTCCTTGCAGACTCTGTGCACATTGAAGATGCTGAGGCTGTGGAGCAGCTGCGAGAAGCTCTCCACGAGGCCCTGCTGGAGTATGAAGCTGGCCGGGCAGGCCCCGGAGGGGGTGCTGAGAGGCGGCGGGCAGGCAGGCTGCTGCTAACACTACCACTCCTCCGCCAGACAGCAGGCAAAGTGCTGGCCCATTTCTATGGGGTGAAGCTGGAGGGCAAAGTGCCCATGCACAAGCTGTTCTTGGAGATGCTGGAGGCCATGATGGACTGAGGCAAGGGGTGGGCATGGGTGGGGGTGCTGGCAGGACCCGCCCAGCATGTGGTCAGCCCCAAGGGGGCAGAGCTGGGGTCTGGGCAGTGCCACAGCCTGCTGGCAGGGCCAGGGCAATACCATCAGCCCCTGGGAGCAGGCTCTACGCCCTCCCCTCCCCCTTCCTTGGGGGTATTAGAAACTGGGAATGTGTTTGCCCAGGCTCTGCACATAGTGCTGCCCCTTGCAAGCCATAATGTACCCCCAGTAGGGGGTGCTGTGGAAGCCATAGGGGGCTGCAGGGGATGTGTGGGGGAGGGGGACAGAAGCCTGATCTCAGGGAGGGAAGGGAGTGGAGGCCACAGTTTCCCAGCTTTTGCTGCTGCTTAATCTGACCTCCCCTCCAGAGCAGAGGGGAATTTGGAGAGCAAAGGTCCTACCCCCTTGGCTCCTCTCATCATTTGCATTGGGCATTACTGCCCGCCCCCCCCCCAAGCAATAACTCCAAGCAGGCTCCAGCCCCTGGACCCCTGGGGTGGTCAGGGCCCCCCATCAGCTCCCACCCAGCCTCCTCAGGGGGTAGGGAGAGCACTGCCTCGATGCCCTGCAGAGCAATAACACTATATTTATTTTTGGGTTTGGCCAGGGCGGCGCAGGGACATGGGGCAAGCCAGGGCCCAGAGCTCTTGGCTGTACAGAGACTCTATTTTAATGTATATTTGTTGCAAAGAGAAACCGCTTTTGGTTTTGAACCTTTAATGAGAAAAAAAATATATCGAGCTCAAGAACACTGTGTGGTGTGTCACTCGGTCAAAGTTGGGGTTACAAAATCAACGACAGGAATATAAATAAAGATACACACAGTCGCAGTGTGAAAACCTGATGCCGGCACCCTTAAGTCTCGGTTTGCTCATCACTCAGCAGCATGTTTGGGATCCCGCGGGTGATGGGGAACACACGTCCCGACTCTGGGCACTGCAGGGTGCCCTCCATCACCTCCACCTATGAAGAAATGGGGAACTGAGCTGAGCGCTGGCAGCCTCCGGGTATAGCTGTGTGGCCAGGAACCAAATGACAGGCCATTTCTCACCTCCAGCAGTATGTGGTGCATAGTCCTCAGAAAATCCTCATTTTGCTCATATCCCTGAATCGGCTCTGTGGGCACCCCGCCCAGGGACAACTGTGGGTAAGAGGCTTCAATTATGTCTGGGAATCCCACACCCTCGCCAAGTGCAAAAAAAGGTTGTCAGGAGACCCCCCCACCCGCAAGGGTGTGCACGGGCACTGGGGGGGGGGGCTCCTCACGGTATTGGCCGCCTCCACAAGCGCCGCCCACTCCACCTTCGGTATCATACGCGCCACGAACTTAGGGTTGAACTCCACAGGAATGATGCGGACCTCAGAGGCCTGCGGGCAGTAGGTGTTCAGTTAGGCAGGGGCCGGAGCCTAGTTCTCCGATCCCTCCCGAGGAAAGGCGCTATATCGTCCCCCGTACAGTACCTGCAGGCGCAGGGGGAATCCACGGGGTCCCACCCCTTTCACGTGCGAGCTCAAGAAATTGTGGGTAAGCAGCTTCATGTCTCAACAAAATTTCTCACGAGGTCGTAAACCGGAAAAAAGTAGAAGCTCCGCTGCGTCACTTCCGGGGGCGCTTTGCTCTTTCCCATTGCACCCTCCGGAGGAGCGGAAGCGGCTAACTTGCAGGAACTTCTTCCGGGGCTCGCAAGCTCAGAGGTGTCGCGAAGGCCAGGTCGGATGACGCGTTGCTACTGGCAGCATCCGGCAGGAGGTTGCTACTGGCCCAGTGACCTGTCTCCAAATCTCCGCGCACTACAAATCACGTACAGTGAAATCACATGTAAGAAAGCCGCAATGCAGGGGCCATCGTTAACCGCAAAATTAATGTTTTACTTCTACGCAGGCGCCTAAAACTGTCGTAACCTGCCCCTCGTTTTCGGTGAGGGACCGAAACGCTTCTCCAATCCATGAATTACGCCCTTTAAAGCGTCGGCACCCAATCCTTGTGTGCAAATAAGCTGCGTGGAGGCAGAAAGCTCCGCCCACCCACGCAGCTCCTGATAATAGTATTACGCAAGCACCGCCCCTGACGTACCGCTCACGCCGGCGCTGTGGCTGCGTCCCGCCCCAGCGGTCAGCCAAGGCCCTGTGGTTGGCAGGCTCGTGTTGCGGCACTGCAGTGCCAGCTCTCCCTCTTGCGGCTGCCCTGAGGCGGGAGCGGAGGAGGAGGCGGGGCAGGAAGGTTGTGGTCTCAGCCTCGTGAGGGGATGACGGGCTTGTGCATTCTGAACCACGTATCGGGCTTGCTACTCTCCCGGGCGGCCGCCGTGCGTCGTGCAGCAGCGGTGGGAGGCAGAGGGTGCCTGGAAGCAGGTCTAGAGTGGACGCTTGGCAGAGCCCGCGGTATCAGAAGCACTGCTGTCGTTATGGCCCCGATCAAGGTGACCGCTGGCCCAGTCCGGCCGGGCTGATCCCCTCTTCCTTCCCCCTTCCATCTCTCCCAGGCCCTTCGTCCCGTCGAAGGCAGTGGCCCCCCAGCCCCAAACCCTGCTGGCCTCCCTCTTTTCCTGCCTTGCGGACCTGTCTCTGCTGCCCTAGAGACTCCTTCCCGTCGTCTGTCCCCCCATCTACGCAACAAACCTCGTGGCTGCCCCGCCGTTCTCACCAGTTCTAAGGGCTTGGTGCACCATCTCCTGAGACGGTTCCTGAGGCTTTTCAGCCTTCTCTTCCACATTCACTTTGCGACACCCTGTTATGGGTCTCCACCATTTTCAGGCAATAGAATGCCATGGCCTCCCCCACCTTCTGGAACCTCCTTTGCCCCAGGGTCCCTTCCAACCCCCATACATAGCCCCCTCTGTACCCTCCTGCATGCTTTGTCCAGTTATTTGGCATCACTCTCACACTGTCTTCTGAAACGTGTTGTGTCTTAGGGCCCCTATTGTGCCCCCCCATTCCCTTCCAGAAACAGCTGATTCCCCACTTCAGCTGCTTCGTTCCTCTCGTCTTGAATCACCCCCAGCTAAACCCTGCCCCCGTCCCAACTATTCGAGACCTCCTCTCTCCTCTGCATCCTACTCCCAACCCCTGACTTTCCCTCCCTCTTATTTCCCTGCTGCCCATGAAGCCCTCATACACTCCCAGGTAGACTGATCCTTCCCCTTGGAGAGATTCCCTCCTCTGTACCTCCCAGATGTAGGGCCCGCACTCCCTGCAAAAAGCTTTCCCGTTTTCTGCTGCTGTCCCTTTTTCTCATTTTGGGGGTGGGTTGCAGACCTGGCCAGGATCCCCTCCCTGGGTTGGTCAGGGCCTCCGCCCCACCAATACAGCCTCCTTGCCCCTCCTCCTTCTGCCCAGTTATCCCACTTCTTTCCTGTAACTTACACAGCCTGTTTACTCAACTCCTTGCAACTCCCGGAAGGCCTCTCCCTTTTTCTGTTGCCACCACAAGGCCCTCAGAGAGAAATAAGGCCACCTTGAAACTTGGAGGATGGGGGGTAACTAGGCAGTAGGAGAAGAGAGGGTGATAGGGAGGGAACCTCTGGAAACTCTGACAGGGTTGGCCTTCCTGCTGTGTGTCAGTGCTGGCGCCCTGAGGTGCGTCTTCCAGGTCTTCTGTCTCCTGAGCCCTCGGTTTGCTGCCCTTTCCTGGCCTCCCTACCTGTCTCCCACTCCCTGACTTCTACCTCGGAGTCTTTCCCTCCAGGTGGGAGATGCCATCCCATCCGTGGTGGTGTTTGAAGGGCAGCCTGGGAACAAGGTGAACCTGGCAGAGCTGTTCAAGGGCAAGAAGGGTGTGCTGTTTGGAGTCCCTGGGGCCTTTACCCCTGGTTGTTCCAAGGTGAGGTCCTGCCCTCTGGGATCTTGTTTGCATCATTCACGAGTCCCCCACATTGTCCCCAGGCAGCTTGCAACATTAGTTGCAGGTGATGTCACAGTTAAAAAGCTTATCACAGAGTTGAGAATGTAGGAGAAATGAAATCCAGCACCTCTTACCCTGTTGAGTGACAGGCACTCTGGAAGGTATTTGGGTAAATAAGGCACGACTGTGCCTGTGGGAAGTTCATGGCCTTGACCACAGACATCTTAAGTATGGATCCAGGCTCCCTAGTGACCAGGGCAGGAAGGAACTGGCTCAAGCAGTTCTCAGTGTCTGTTGAAAGGTGTGGGAGCAGGGCAGTGAGGAAGGCCTGGAGGTGGAGTGGCCGGAGAGGAGGGGCACTTGTCCCTTTGCTGAGTCTTTCTCTCCTCCACAGACCCACCTGCCCGGGTTTGTGGAGCAGGCAGCGGCTCTGAAGGCCAAGGGAGCCCAGGTGGTGGCGTGTCTGAGTGTTAACGATGTCTTTGTGACTGAACAGTGGGGACAAGCCCACAACGCAGAAGGCAAGGTGAGGTGTGGGTCCTGCAGGGGACCAGGGGCCAGGCGGGAGATTCTTCTGGTGACTTTTCCTTTCTCTTTAGGTTCGGATCCTGGCCGACCCTACTGGGGCCTTCGGGAAGGTACGTGTAACCCCCTCCCTGCAGGATGACCGTTGTTCCAAGCCTTGGAGGCAGGGATTTGGAGGGACAGGGCCAATGTAGAGCTTGGCCTGTTCTGGGGGTTCCCGACTCTTTTCTCGCCTCTCCCCTTTCTTAGGAGACAGATTTGTTACTAGATGATTCGTTGGTGTCCCTCTTTGGAAATCGAAGGCTCAAGAGGTAAAAGTGGGAGGTCCTCCCTTTTTTGTAACTTACACAGAAGTTACAAAACTTCTTGGCTCCCCCTGCCACCCTCCCTCTCTATTCCCAGCCTCCAGGCTCAGGCTGTTGTAACTGGCACCACCCTCTTTCTGGCAGATTCTCCATGGTGATAGATGATGGGATAGTGAAGTCTGTGAATGTGGAGCCAGATGGCACAGGTCTCACCTGCAGCCTGGCCTCCAACATCCTCTCGCAGCTCTGAGGTCCTGGGTCTAGACACACGTCTTCTGCCCTTTCCTGATTCACCTGCCCAGCCCAGCCTGAATTTGGGCCACCCCGTTGAAGCCTTGGCCAGATTTCTCCAATAAACACTTTTGGTTCACATCTGTCTCCTTGATTTTGAATTGCTGATTCGCTGTGTCCCAGGCCTCATGACAGTCATAGCTGTGAGGGTAAGTGGGCAGGCTAAGGAGGATACTTATGTAGGAGACCTTAATTTAATTTAGGAGGTAGTCGGGGAAGGCTTCTTGAAAGAGGTGTTATGAAGCATTTGTCTGCAAGCAGAGAAAAGGCCAGTGGTGCCGAGCAAGGGAAGGAGCAGTGTGTGCAGAGGGAACACAGTGGAAAGGCCCTGGGCAGGCTAGAGTGTGGCTCACACCTGGGACTTTTGCATTTGATCTATGGGTGCTTGATCTCATTTAGATCATACACCCTCAAGGAGGGACTTCGGCCCTAGGCACCCCTGGGTATGTGCCCTGACTGAGGATTGAACCTGCAACCTTTTGGTCTACAGCACGGGTGGCAAACACAAGGCCCTTGGGCCGAATCCGGGCCTCCACCTTGTCTTATCCAGCCTGGCACCTCGTTTCTACCTGGCGTCAGCACCCAGCTCCTTGCCTGTAGTTGAGGAGTAGTTACATTTGTACAGTCCTGAAATTACATTTGGCCCTTTGAAGGCAACCTCGAGGCTGATGTGGCCCCTGGTGAAAATGAGTTTGATGCTCCTGGTCTACAGGAAGAGGCTCCAACCACATGAGCCACACTGCTCAGGGCTCTCTCTTTTTAAAAAATCCTCACCTGAGGATCTGTTTATTGATTTTGGAGAGAGAGGAACATCAATGTGAGAAACACCTGTCGGTTGCCTCCTGTGTGCACTGTGACTGGGGATCAAACCAGCAGCCCGGGTCTGTGTCCCACTGGGAGTCGAACCTGCAGGCTTTTGGTGCACAGGATGACGCTCCAACCGACTGAACCACCCTAGCAATCCGCCAAGCTGTTTATATTCACATCCATTCTTCTGCTTGAGCTGCTTCTACTTAGCACAGGTAAGATGCCCGGCTCAGGATGAGGAACACAGGAAACTCTCAACACTTGCTTTGGGAAGGAGGAAAGAAGTGAAGGAAAGGAGAGAGAGAGAGAGGGCTGTCCTTCCCCCAGCTTCCTGGATATCCTTCCCGTTATTTCAATATCAGATCGACTCTAGTGGCTCTGAAGTAGAATCAGATTTGCTTGAGGGTGAAGTGAATGCCAGTGACTGAAGACAGGCCTCCCTCCCAGCCACGCAGTAGGAAGGCTGACAACCTGGGGCTAGTATGGCAGCTCCATGATCATCAGGGACCCACATGTCGTCCATCTTGTTGCTTTGTCATTTTAAATGTGGGTTTCTGCCTCACAGTCCATTGTGGCTGCTTAAGTTCCAGCCATCACAGCCATAGTCCAGCCAGCACAAAGGAGGACATGGGGAACAGGAGATAAAAGACCCATGCCAGCTGTCTTTTAAGAAGGGTTTCTGGAAGCTGCTACATATAATTTCCACTAATATCTCATTGGCCAGAGCTTATTCACACGGTCATGCCAACTCCAAGAGAGCTGGGAAATACCGACTTTACACCAAGGTTCCCTGTGTCTAACTAAAACTGGGAGTTCTGTTACTAAGGGGGAAAGGACATGGGTGTGCAACATCAAGGCCTCCCAGGGGTCAGTGTCGCCTCCCTGCTGCTCCATTGGCCTTGGCAGGGGCACGTGCTGATCTGTTCCAGGTCCCTGTGTTGCCTCATATGCCCAGGGAGCCCTCCCCAGGCCTCTGTCGCTGCCACCGTGGTCTCCCTAGTCACCCCAGTTCCTCAGTCTGTGGGTTCTCCAAGCTTCTGCCACTTCAGTGTCTACTCGACGGTGTTCACCACCCAGGGCGCCCTTCCCTTTCCTACTCTGCCCAAATCGCTCCAACCTTCAAGGCCCCAGGTCCATCCTGTTTGCCAAGGATGAGAGGCCATTCCCCGTCCCTTCCCTGAACTAGTTCATGTGGGCCACGACCTCAGCTTCATTAAAGATGGAGTTTTTATGACGTAAGTCATGCATCAGGCCCTGGCTGGTGTGGCTCAGTGGATTGAGCACAGGCCTGCGAACCAAAGGGTCACTGGTTCGATTCCCAGGCAGGGCACATGCCTGGGTTGCAGGCCAGGTCCCCAGGAGGGGTGTGCGAGAGGCAACCACACATTGATGTTTCTCTCCCTCTCTTTCTATCTCTCTTCTCCTCTGTCTAAAAATAAATAAATAAAACCTTTAAAAAAGTTATGCATCAGAAAATTCACCCTTTAAAAGTGTACAATTCAGTGGTTTTTAATCTATTCCCCAAGTTGTGCAACTGCCACTACTACAAAGGTGTGTTTACAATCTCTACAATCTCGGTGACTTCTCCCAAGATGAAGCTGCTTATCTCTTCTGAGTGCTGTGTGCACCTCCTCCCGTGGTTGTGAAAGGCACGGTCAGAAATTTGGGCTTCTGCTTCCTCCCCCCGCCCAGTGCCCCCACAGGCACGTCAGGTGTCTCACGTCCAGCGGCTGTTTGCTGAGGGTCATCTCCGCACCAGACACTGTTTGCCGGGTTCTGGAGACACGGTGGTGGATGTGCCGCCCTGCACGGCCCCGGCACCAGTGCCGGCCAGCCGGCCCCAGCGTGTGCCCTGCCGGAGTGGCTGCACCGCCCGGCTGCGGTTCCCCACTCGATGTGCTCACTCACAGATGAGGGCTTGCCCTCAGCGCAGGGCAGCTGTGAGGGAAGCCTGCACCGGGGAGTCGGGGGTATTGCACAAGAAGGCCCCAGCCCACACACCCCCACAGCCCATGGAGTAAGAAGGGAGGAAACGACTTCTAGCTGTGAGCGAAAAGGAACAGGCGATGCCCAGATAAGCAGGAGGGGTCCCAGGTAGCAGGAGCAGCCTGGGCTGAGTCCTACAAGTGGGCAGGGTGAGAGGTCTGGACTGAGCGGACCGGGGGAGAAGGGTCTGGGCTTTTGTCCACAAGCCTCGGCTCAGCTGGGTTCTCTTGGTGGACACCGGGGTGTCTCCAGTAGGGGAGGCGGCTTCAGACACAGTTGTGCGTGTGTTTCCTCTTGGACTTTGTCCTCAGGGTGTGCTCCCCAATGCCGGTGTGCTGGGCCACGGGGCTGGCGCAGTTCCGCCGTCTCTGGAAACCCGGAGGCTGTTCCGAGGGCCTTCGGCAATGTGCGGTGGGCATCTCTTCCACGGTCTGCTCACCTGAGTTTCACCTTCTGGGTGTTGTTTGTTTAAAATTTTTTATTTATTGGTGGGGGTGGGTGGGGCAGGGGAGAGCAATGGGGGGAAAATTGGTACGACTGTAATAGAACAACAATAAGAAAAGTAAATGTAAAAAAATGTTATGTATTGATTTGAGAGAGAGAGAGAGAGAGAGAGACATCATATTGTCATTCCACTTATTCATGCGTTCGCTGGTTGCTTCTCATACGTGCTCCGACCAGGGATCAAATCCGCAACCTTGTGTACCAAGAGGGCACGCTGACCGACTGACCCACCTGGCCAGGGCCTGGAGCTATTTCTGCTAGTTGAGTGGATACTTATTGGTCCCTTGGAGCTGTCTTTAATTACGAGGGAGGCTTGGTGCTGGGTCTCCCCTTTCTCGAGATCTGGTTCTGGCCCTGGCCTGGCTCTACTGCCACATGGCCCGAAACCCAGCCCTGTGTGCTGAACAGGAAAGGAACTGGTGACCTCTCAGTCTGCAGGATGATGTTCAGCCCACTGAGGAATACCAACCAGCCAGGGCAATAGTTAATAATTACAGTTAAACAATAATTAACTACAATCCTCGTATCTGAGTTCTGAAGGCAGCCAGTTGAGAAGATTCCTGGCTCGAAGCGCCCTCGGACGCAGTGACAGCCAGCAGTGACTGTGTGGGAGGTCCCCCGGGTTTGCAGCTTGAACGTCTCTGGTGACTTTTCTGCACCGGGCACAAAGATTGTCCATCTATGAACTTTTCCTTTTTATATGTGAACTTTTGTGGCGATTTCTCTGAAGCTGATGTTGAAGGTCATGGTGAGAGGCTGGGACTTGATTCGGAATACAGGGAGAAGCCACCGGACAGTTAAAGGAGGGAAAGGTCATGAGCCAGTTGATATTTTCAAACAACTCCTTGGGGACTGGGTGGAGGCAGCCCAGGAGGGCCACTGGTGCCAGCGTCTCAGCTTCAGTAAGAGGCTCGGGCAGCTGTCCCCCAGAAATGTGGGGGTGCCCTGGGAAGTGCAGGAAGGGAGAGCTGGCCAAGTGTCAGGAGGTGGGGGCTGGGATCTTTCCAGTTGCTAGGGCCCGGGCCTTGCTGGCCCCTCCCTGAGTCCCCGGGCATCTGGCCTGGCTCTGGGCACGCGGCCCTGGGCCCCGCCCCTTGAGGTGTTGGCTTTCCCCTGGACCGGCTCATTGAGGCCACTCAGCCAGGCACTTCTGCTCCTGTCCGACTGCGGCTACATTATGTACACCCCCAGGTGGCAGGTGGGAAAACCCATCCTGTCTCAGACCCTTTGGTGGGGAGGAGGGAGTCTCTCAGACTCAACACCAGAGACCCAGGAACCCAGAAGGCCCTGGAGGCTGTTTTTGTTTTTAGTTACTCAGCCTGGGGCTTCCGGACTGCTGGCAGGGCCAGGCAGGACTCTGGGCCTGCAGAGACGGGGAGAAAAAGCCACCCTCTGACTCAGCCCTGGTGAGTCCGGGCTCTGGCTGGACCTGGCCACCACTTACCCTGGCCTCCCCTGGCCCTGGAGTCCTCCTGCTCTGACCTTGGGGTTGGACCAGAGTTATGCGGGGAACTCAAAACCAGAAGGGCACTGGAAGGCAGAGTTGAGCCCCCAGGGGAGGGCACTGGGGGGGACAGTGGCAGCATTTGTCCGCTGTCCTGCTCTGCTTCTCACCCACCACTCGGGTCCCCAGGCCATCAGCAGGGAGCTCCCTTAGAAACTGCCAGAAAGAGCTATTTGGGAAGGGCAGTTACTATGGCACTACAGTAATAGCAAGAGATGCAAATACGTAAAGTATTTGTCAACAAGAGACGGTTTAAAAGGCGATGGGACCGCAGCATGAGCAAATGCCCTGCGGCCACTGAAAAGGCCATGGCCGATAGTCCTGTGCAGACATGAGCCAGGCTGCAAACGCAGTGCAACTCGAGGGGCGTGCAGCTGTGGGTGTGGCTCTGCCCCCGTTGTGACGGACGGACGGACGTGGCCGCCGCATCTCAGGAGGACACAGAAAGTGCTAAGACGGGGATCGGGCCAGGGGGGTGGGAGTCATGAGGGGTAGACTTGAATTTCCCTCCCTGAACCCTTATATACTCTTGACACTTTTGCTCATGTATCTGAAAACTTCTTCAAAGGAAAAATGTATCCAAAGAACAGGGACCACAGCCAGCCTCTGATGGACACCCCTCAGCGGGTAATCCCAGGATCTCTGGGTCAGTGGGCGAGGGAGCCCCTCTGCCGCCTGCACTCCACCCCCACCCCAGCCTTCCTCTGCCTGGCTCAGCTGAATGAACCAAGTCAGAGAACCAGACCGAGGTGCATCCGGGCGTGTCTGGAGGGGAGGATATGAGAGCAATTGCGACACGGCCTCTGCCTCTGAGGACCAGGTGAGGAAGGCGTGACTCAGGGCTGTGACGGGGACCCTTGTGGCCAGGAGATGAGGCCCCATCACACTGGCTCACCCAGCAGGTGCCCCGCAGACTTTTTGGGCTGAAATCCTCAGGTGGTGCAAGCAGAAGTAAAATTCACGGGGGGGGGTCAAATCCGGATGGACCCTTGATGTTATTAATAGTAAAGACAGCCTTGGCTGGGTAGCTCGGATGGTTGAGACGTGGTCCCGGATGAGCCAGGGTTGTGGGTTCTCTACCCCAATCGGCACATGCAGGAGTCAACAAATGAGTGCTTGAGCGGGTGGGGCAAGGAATCCCCTTTGGATCTCCCTCCCTCCCTCCCTCCCCTCTCTCTAGAAGTCAGTTTATTTATTTTTTTAATATTTGATTTATTTATTTTTAGAGGGGAAAGGGAGGGGGAGAAAGAGCAGGAGAGAAACGACAGTGTGTGGTTGCCTCTCATGTGTCCCCCACTGAGGACCTGGCCTGCAACCCAGGCATGCGCCCTGACTGGGAATCGAACCAATGATCCTCTGCTTCACAGGCCCGCGCTCAATCCATATAGCTATACCAGCCAGGGCCTCTAGAAGTCAATTAAAAAAAAAGAAATAGTAAAGCCCTGGCTGGTGTGGCTCAGTGGATTGAGTGCTGGCCTGCAAACCAAAGGATCACCAATTCAATTCCCAGTCAGGGCACATGCCTGGGTTTCGAGCCAGGTCCCCAGTTGGGGGCGCACAAGAGGCAACCAGTTGATGTGTCTCTTGCACATCAATGTTTCTTTCCCTTTCTTCCTCCCTTCCCCTCTCTCTAAAAATAGATAAGTAAAAATTAAAGAAAATATGATAAACACTGCAGGGACTGTTTAATGAACGCGTGAGCCAGGTACCAGCGCCAAAGAATCCTCATAACAATTCTTTTTTTAAAAGATGATTTTAGCCCTGGCTGGTGTAGCTCAGTGGATTGAGCACGGGCCTGCGAACCACACGATCGCGGTTCGATTCCCAGTCAGGGCACATGCCTGGGTTGCAGGCCGGTTCCCTGCAGGCCAGTTCCCAGCAGGGGACGCACAAAAGGCAACCATACATTGATGTTTCTCTCCCTCTCTCCTTCCCCCACTTCCCCTCTAAAGATAAATAAATAATAAAATATAAAAAAAAAAGATGATTTTATTTATTTTTAGAGAGAGGGGAAGGGAAGGAGAAAGAGAGGGAGAGAAGCATCAATGTGTGGTTGCCTCTCACATGGCTCCCTCTGGGGACCGGGCCTGCAACCCAGGCATGTGCCCTGACTGGGAATCAAACCATGACCCTTTGGTTTGCAGCCTGTGCTCAATCCACTGAGCTACCCCAGCCAGGGCTCATGAGTGTTCTCTGAGAGGGTTATCCTCATCTCACCTGCATCTCGGGACTGGCCTACGATGAAGCAGACGAGCAGTAAGTGTGACTCTGGGCAGGCACTGACCTCTCTGCGTTGCTGTTTCCTCCTCTGAGCACTGGAGCTAACCCAGAGTCCTCATTTCATAAACTTGGCCAGAGGAAATGAGCCACGAAGGGTAACATGCTTGTAACCATGACAGGCTCGTGGCAAGCCTGCGTGCGCCTCGACTGTTCTCATGACCCCACATTTGATCAAATCGAAGACATCATCAATTGTAAAAGATGCCACTAAGGAAACAAACAACACTGCGGTTAACTATGTCCTTAGGCTCCGTGATCACTGGAAGCCTTATTTTATGCCTCCCGGAGTAGCGTTCTTTGATTTGGATGTGCGTTTTCATCACGCTTGTCTGTAACTCTGACGCACACATAAAACGGAAAACAGAAGCAAAATACATTGTTTACGGTCTTCACGAAACTCCTTTACATTTAAAGTCTGGCTGAGGTGTGACTGTTTCACAGTCATCTCCTCTGTGAATCATCACCAGTGCTGGAGCACCGGCTGCTGTGGCTCAGTGACTGAGTGCCGGCCTGCGGACTCAGAGGTTGGCTGTTCGACTCCTGGTTGGGGCACATGCCTAGGGGCAGGCCAGGTCTTTGGTTGGGGGTGTGCAAGAAGTAAATGATCAGTGTATCTCTCACACATCGATGTTTCTCTCTTTCTCCTTCCTTTCCCTTCTCTCTAAAAAAAAATAATAATAATAAATTTTAATACTTTATTTATTTATCTTTAGAGAGGAAGGGAAGGAAAGAGGGAGAGAAATATCCATGTGTGATTGCCTCTCATGTGTCCCCTGCTGGGAGCTGGACTGCAACCCAGGCATGTACCCTGACTGGGAATCAACAGCCAGGGCAAAATAAATAAATACATTTTTGGAAAAAAAAAAAAAAAAGAGTGCTGGAGGCCAGCGCCCCTTCCAACAGTCCTCCGTGAGACAAGTGCACAACTGTCAGTAGCCGTCTGTGTCGGTTCATAAATCGGCCTTGCCATTGACTTCTGCCTGGGAAGTGTTACTGACAAGCCAGACAGCAGCTCCACCACGTAACTGACTTCAGAAACATGAATGTGGGAACTAGAGTCTTGGGACTGGGGAGACACGAAGACTTTCTGAACTTTGCACTGGCCACACTTCCAGCCACGCACCCCGTGTTCCTGCCGCTGGGAATGTCCTTCCTTCCTCCCCACTTCGTCCCTGCTCTCAGCTCCGTTGTCCTTTAAAAAAAAATTGTGTGCATTTGCTTATTTATTTATTATTTTTATTTTGTTCAGCTCCATTGCTGAGCGCCCTCCCGATGCCTCTCGGGAAGTCCGATCCCTCCCCCATCCACACACCTAGTGTTGCTGCAACGTTACACTTGGAGCCTGCGTGTGATTTCGGGGTAGCTGTCTCCACAGTGCACTGTTTGTCCCGCTGGGGCGGGGACCGTGCGGCTCACATTGTGTCCTGGTACCCACCCAGCACTGCGTTCCGCACGGAGTCCGTGAATGAAAGGATGAGCCCCCATAATGAGCAGCGGGGGATGGGGCGGACCTGGCCTGTTTGTCTAAGAGACAATGCTGCTGGTCTCTGCATTGAACTGCTCCCTTCTGAGACCTAAGGCCCCCTGACTTCTTTTACAAATGGGAAACCGAGGCTCGTAAGGTCATTTGTGTCTGGTCTAGAGGTCCTGTCTCGGACCAGTGAGCACAGGATATGGGGGTGGGGTCCAAAGGGGGGCTTGCTGGGGGAGGTGGTATCTGAGCCAGGCTTCCCAGGTGAGGCAACAGCTTGGGTAATTTGGAGACATATTCAGGGCCCGGGAAGCCAGCAAATGAGAAGATGCTGGGTGAGCACCCAGACTCACCCTGTGATGCCGGAAGCCCTTTCAGAAGCCCTGGAAGGTGCAGGGCCGAGGGGCCCCCTCTCTGGGGTTTCAGGTTGGGAAACAGAGGCCTGGAGAGGTGGGGAGCTCACCTGACATTCATTGTCCATCACGTCCCAAGAGTTGTGGGCTTTCCTCTGGGGGAGTCCCGCCTTCCCCTCTTCATCTCAGTTCCTGCCAGAGATGCTGGGTCAATGCAGTGGGGCGAAGTGGGGGCAGAGGCAGGGCTCTGGGGGTGCACAGGCCAGCCTGCACCCGGAAGGAGGAAGTTGTACACGGCGTCTGTGGCTAGGCCTGGGATCCCCCACTGGGGACTTCCTCTTCCTCTCAGGGCAGGTATAGCTGCCACAGCGGGACCAACACCCTGACCTGTCATGGATGGGGCCAGGGGGCCCAGGCTCAGAGACTTCCTGAGTGGGAGCCTGGCCACCTGGGTAAGGCCGCAGGTGGAAGAGGGCTGGGGAGGGGAAGTGAGCCCAGGGAGCGGCTGGAGTTGTGGTGGGCAGAGCCGAGGTCTGAGGGGGGTGGGTGTGAATGTGGGGCTGAAGTGCGGGCAGCTGTGAGGCAGGAAAAGGGGTCCAGACCCCAGGGGCGGGCAGAGACATTCAGGGTTTTGGTGAGGAGGGGGCTGTGTGGGCTCAGGGGGCAGGTCAAAGGGGCTGAGGATTTACTCTGCTAATGGGGGGCTCCCAGGCGGGCCAGCTGACCTGTCTCTGCGTCCCCCAGGCGCTGGGACTGGCTGGGCTGGCGGGGGAGGCAGAAGAAACAGAGGGGGAAGAGGAGGAGGAAGGAGAGGGGCCCCCTTGTCCGGAGAAGAGGTTCTTGCATCTCAGCGATGGGGCCCTGCTCCTCCGGGTGCTGGACATCATGTAAGGGGCATCGGGGACCAACTTAGGGGCTTGAGGGGAGGGGGTTGGGATGGCTGGTGCACAGAGCCTGAGGACTGAGGGCAGAGCCTGGTTGAGGGGAGGTGGGTCCTTGATTGCCCCATCCAACCAATCGCCCCCTGGGCCCACAGTGCCCCTAGTTCCCGAGGAGCCCCTCGGATGATCAGGGGCCCTGATGACCCCCCAGCTCGGCGGGTGCGGAACCTGAGCCACCTGTGGGGACGACTGAGGGACTTCTACCAGGTGAGGGTTTGGAAGGGGGAGGCCGAGCCCGGGAGCCCCTCAGGAAGGTCCATCTCGTGATCTCCCGCCCCCTATACCCCTAGGAGGAGCTGAGGCTGCTGATCCTGTCGCCACCCCCAGACCTCCAGACACTGGGGTTTGACCCCTTCTCAGGTACTCTCTCTCCCACTATCCCTCCCTGTGTCTAGCCCCACAGTCCCCCCACGAGCTGTTAACTCCCTGTGGCTTGGGCCCTGCAGAGGAGGCAGTGGAGGAGCTGGAAGGCACCCTTCGGCTGTTGCTGGGGGCATCAGTGCAGGTGAGCGGAAGAGGGAAGGGCAGCGTCCAGCTTTGGCCGCAGTGGTGGGCGACTCCTGTGTCAGCCTCTCCCACTGGTTCCCCTGCAGTGTGAGCATCGGGAGCTCTTCATCCGGCACATCCAGGGCCTTAGCCTGGAGGTCCAGAGTGAGCTGGCTGCTGCCATCCAGGAGGTATGGCTTTGGACTGGCACCACCTGGGGACACCCTGCCCCTGACTTCTTAGGCTGATCTGCTCTCCCTACCCACCCAGGTGACCCAACCTGGGGCGGGCGTGGTGCTGGCGCTGGCTGGGCCTGAGCCTGGAGAGCTGGCATCTCCAGAGCTGGAGATGCTGTCCCGGAATCTGATGGGGACACTATTGAGACTGGCCCGGGAGCGTGATGTGGGGGCCCAGGTAGGGGGCAGCAGGGACTTTGAGGGTCAAGTGGAGGAATGGGAAGACCACGGAGACCCAGGTGTGTGGGGAGATGGGGGCTGAGGCCCAGGTGTGGGGATGGTTGGGGGCAGCTTTGGGGGGCATAAGATGGGTTACTTCTGACCTCTGACCCTTGATCTCCCGCAGCGGCTGGCGGAACTGCTGCTGGAGCGACAGCCAACCCCCCTGCTGCCTGAGGCTCCTGCTGGGACTCCTCTGCAGGGCCCCTCGAACCACCTGGCCCTGCAGCTGGCCAACACCAAGGCCCAGCTGCGGCGCCTGCGCCAGGAGCTGTGAGTGTGGCAGGCTGGGCCCGGGGCATGGGGGAGAGGGGCAGATGAGGCCTGGATGGGGGGTCTGACCCCATTTTTCAGGGATCAGACCTGGGAGGGGCTGGGGCTTGCTGGTCCCGAGCCCTCCAGTGTTTCTCTCCTCCAGGGAGGAGAAGGCCGAGCTGCTGCTAGACTCCCAGGAGGAGGTGCATGGCTTAGAGGCCGACATTCGAAGGCTGCGCCAGGAGGTGCGTTCTGATGCTCCCCGCCATCGCCGTATTTCCTAACCTTCTCCCCGCACCTCCTGCATCCCATTGCCTACCCCTACCCTGGCTCCTTGCCGTCCTCAATCCCTGTGGCCACGGCTGGCCGGTCCCAGCTCCGCATCATCTGGCCCAGGCCCAGACGCTGTCGGGACAGGCCAAGAGGGCAGAGTTGTACCGCGAGGAGGTAGAGGCGCTGCGGGAGCGGGCCAGCCGCCTGCCCCGCCTGCAGGAGGAGCTGCGTCGCTGCCGGGAGCGGCTGCAGGTGGCCGAAGCCTGCAAGGGCCAGTTGGAGGTGAGTCCGGAGGCGGTGCTGCGGGAGGGTGGGGCTTGTGGAGGGGCGGGGGCGGGGACTGAGGGGAGAGGGGTGGGCCACGAGGAGGAGCAAATTTGGTTCTGGGGAAGAGTCAGGCCCGACTGTGGGAACAGTTAAGGCTAAGAGAAATGGGTGAGGTGATGATGTCTGCAGAAAGGCCCTCTGGAGGATGGGGCAGATGGAGGGGGGGAAGGTCGGGGTTGTAGGTTGGGGTAGGTCCTAGGGAGGAGGGCGGGGCGGAGTGCAGGGGAAGTGGTATCTGCATAGAGTCCTTAGCAGTGGGGCCTAATAAATAAGGCCTGGAAGGTTGCGGCCTCGGAAGGCAGTTTCTGGGGAGAAGGGGCGGGCCCACATAGAAGAATAGGCGGGGCCTACATAGGAGAAGGGCGGGGCCAGGTGCTAGGGAAGTGGCGTCTGGAAAGAGTCCGCAGAGGTCAGGGCAGATGGAGGGGAGAGGTGGGGCCCAGAGAGCCTCAGGGGTGTGGGGCCTGGTGGGATGGGGAGGCAGGACCTGTGGCCCTGGAGTGCTGGGGGCCAGAGCACTGGCTCTCTGCACCCCCTTTTTCCCAGGAGGAGCGGGCGCTCTCTGGGACTCTGGAGGCCTCGAAGGCCCTGCTGGAGGAGCAGCTGGAGGCCGCCCAAGAGCGATGTGCTCGGCTGCATGAGACCCAGCGGGAGAACCTGCTTCTGCGGACCCGGTTGGGCGAGGCTCATGCGGTGAGCTTGCCACAGGACCCCAGTGGTGCCCCAGGATCCCTCAGTGACCCCTGTGACCCCTACTCCTAGTGATCCTTTAGCCCACACACTGGTCTTGGTAGGGAAGGCTTGTCTGATCCTGCTGTCCACGCCCTGTCCCTCCAGGAGCTGGACTCTCTGCGGCATCAGGTGGACCAGCTGGCAGAAGAGAACGTGGAGCTGGAGCTGGAACTGCAGCGGAGCCTGGAGCCACCCCCGGGCTCTCCTGGGGAGGGTGAGTGGTGCCCCAGTGGAGGGGCTGGGTCTGGGGGGCCGCCTGTGTTTTCCTGCAGCTGTGGTAGGGATGGCTCCTGACTTCGTCCCTTCCCCCAGGTCTCTGGGGGTGTAGGGTGTAGGTGAGGAGCCAGGCGGTGTGGCAGGACTAAGCATGGGGAAGGGTCCTGACCTCATCTCACATACCCCAGCACCCCTGCCAGGAGCGGCCCCCTCGATACACGAGGAAGTGAAGGAGGCAGAGGCCGGCCGGCTGCGGACCCTGGAGCGAGAGAATCAGGAGCTTCGCGCCCTGCTGCAGGTGTTACAGGGGCAGCCAGGTGGTCAGGTGAGTCCCCTTCCCTGACCATCCCAGTAGGTCCTTCCTGGTGCCCTCTGCTGGGCTTGACCATGCCTCTCTTGTGCCCTCAGCGCCCCCTGCTGGAGGAGCAGAGCCAGGGGGAAGCCTCCCAGGTCCCAGAGCTGGCCGTGACTCACCAGACTTGCCTGGCCTCAGACCATGGCCCCCAGGGTCTGGTTGGCCCAGGTGGGGATGCAGACCCCCAGACCTTGGACCTGGCTTCCCTGGCGTCAGACTCAGCCCCCACGGGGTTAGCGGAGTGTCCCCAGACATCTGATCCAGACACTCAAGTAACGGAGAGGCCCTTCCGGACGGCTGCCACGGCCCCCCAGACCTCAGATGTGACGGCCCAGGAGTCGGGTCCTGCTGCGGAGACACAGGAGGCCCTGGAGAGGTCTGACCTCGGAGCCCCTCTCCAGACCTCTGCCTCTGCGGCCCCACCGCAGGGTCCAGAGAGCAAGATGCAGGCCCAGCTGATGTTGGGAGGAGGGACTGGGGAGTCTGTGCCCGAGACCCAGGGGCTGAGACAGGGGGTGCCTGAGTGCGCCCCTGAACCCGCAGAGCCCCGCCTCCAGGTGCAGCTGGAGGAGCCGGAGTCCTCAGGCCAGCAGCTGGACTTGCCCAGGGGACAAACAGAGGCCAGAGAGCAGGACCAGAGGCTGGAGGGGATGACCGGGAGCCTAGCCCAGAAGACAGAAAGGGCTCCTGACGCCCAGACCTTGGAGAGGCCAATCCCAGGGGAGATCCTAACCTGTGGTGACCCAGAGCAGGAGGCCCTCCGGGAGGAGGTGGCTCGACTGAGGAGAGAGGCTGAGGCCCTCCGGGCTGAGTTGGAGGTCCAGGCTCGCAGGTTGGAGGCCCGAGGCACGGAGGCAGCTCGTCTCTCTGAGGAGCTGGCTCAGGCTCGGAGGGCAGAGGCCGAGGCCCACCGGGAAGCAGAGGCCCAGGCCCAGGAGCAGGCCCGGCTTCGGGAGGCAGTGGAGGCAGCCGGCCGGGAGCTGGAGGCGGCATCGCGGGAGCGGGAGGCGCTGGCCGAGGCGCTGGTGGCAGCGGGCCGAGAGCGGAGGCAGTGGGAGCGAGAGGCACCCCGGCTGCGGGCCCGGGCTGAGGCCGCTGAGGAGCGGCTGCAAATGCTGGAGGGCGAGAGCCGCCAGCACCTAGAGGAGGCCGAGAGGGAGCGCCGGGAGAGGCAGGCCCTCGGACAGGTATGTGGGTGCTCACGTTCGTTCACTTGGGGTCAGGAAATGGGGTGCCAGGCCAGTGGCCGGAGTTTTGGGTTATTAATTTTATCAGCAGCCACTGAGTGCCCAGCGTCAAGCTGGGACTGGAGATAAAAAGGTGAAATCCATACCTGCCTTCCCAAGGTGCTCCTGACCTGGGAAAGGGACGCATGTCCTCTGCCTCTGGTGGGGTGGCTTTGGAAGGGATGAGCGTGTGGCAGGGAGCCAGAGTGCCCCTCTGACCGCAGCGCCTCCTTCTGTACATTGGAGGTGCTCCTCGCAGCTGCCCTGGTGGGTCTTCTGGAAGACCAGAGGAGGTCGAGGTGGGAGAGCCCAGTTCCTGCTGGTCAGACAGTTTGGAAGAGCAAAGCACTGTGGGAGCAAAGCCTGCGGGAGAGGGAGCTGAGGCCAGAGTTGGGGCAAGGAGGCTTGGCAGCTGCAGGGCCGGGGGTGGTTCTGAGGAACAGTCAAGATTTCACTGGACAGGGAAGGACAGTTCACCCCAAGGGAACAGCCAGTGCAGAGACTGGAAGGCATTAAAGGTTTTCAGGGCCCAGGAAGAGTGGGCGGATGGGGCCAGAGGGGTGTGCTGGGCCGGCTTTTCAGGTGTTTGAGCTCCGTCCCCAGGCTGGGAGAGCCACCCAGGGGTGTGGCTGACCTGTGTGAGTTTGGGTTCGAGGAGGGTCACCTGGGTGTGCAGGGGCCTGGGGCCATTAGGAGGCAGTGCCTGTGGTCCAGGTGGCAGGGGGTGCTGGCTGGAATGGGAAGACGAAGAGAAAGCCTGGAACCCCCTTTGTTCATTCGCTTGAGCATGCGTGTGGGCGTCTCCTTGGCGCCAGGGCCCGTACCAGGCAGCCAGCATGCCCGTACTTGGGGCAGTGCTCCCCATCTGGGGTGGAGCCGTGCCTGTTCGGGGAGCTGGGACATGTCAGGGAAGGCTCCCTGGAGGAGGGGAGAGAATGGCAGTGAGCGAGGAGGTGCAGGCAGAGTTTGTCGGGGTGGAGTGTGAGGCAGCGAGTGGAGGGAGGTGAAAATTCATTTAGCAGGGTTCCTATTGGGCGGGGCCTCACCTTCCTTCGAAGTGAGGCAGTGGGAGCCACTGGGGCAGAGTGGACAGGGCCCTGTGCTGAAAGGCCCCTCAGGGGGCGCAGGGGAGACAGCCAGGCGATGGGAAGCCGGTTCGGGTCCGCAGGCTGTAGGGAGGTTGTGCCTCGGTCAGGAACTGAATCTTCCACCTGACAGTTTCCAGTTTCATCCCTGTTGTACCGACGGGGACACTGAGGTTCAGGAGGAAGAACCGTCTCTGGGACTCCTTCCAACGGAGAGGGGCGGGGAGCCTGCGGTTGGGCTGACCTGGGCTCGGGCAGTGTGCAGGACGGGCCTGGGGAGGCAAGAGGTTGGGGGTGTGGGTAAGAGGGTAGAGCTGAGAGGCTGTCTCTGGGGTCCCCTCTGTAGGGTGTGACTGAGACGCGGCCAGGCAGGCCTGGGTTATAGCCCGAATCCCCTCCTTCTCAGCAGTGTGGCTTGGGGCAAGTTATTTAACCTCTCTGAGTCTCAGGTGTTCACCTGTGAAACTGGGATGGACGCAGCCTGCCTCATGGGATGCCGTAAGATAATGGAGGTAGAAAGCTTGGGGCAGCGGTAGACAGGGAGCCCTGGCAGTGAAGGTGAGGGAGGGGCCTGCCGCTGGAAGGGCCAGCTCTGAGCACTGAGAGGGGGGAGGAGGCCGAGGACTAGGTGGGGAACTCTGTGGTATTTCCTGGTCAGGGCACTTCCTGGTGATAACTGGCCATGGCACCACAGGAGGTGACCAGCCGGAGGGAGGTCAGGGAACCAGGGGCCCAGGGGGCTGTCCACGTGGGCCTCCTGGGCTGGGTGGCAGGCAGGAGGTACAGTGGAGCAGGTACCAGGGGCTGTGGCCTGGGCCTGGAGGAGGGCTGGGCCAGAGTCTGGGCTGAGGTCCAGGTCTCCTTCATTGGACTGAGATTCTGATCCTCAGCCCCTGGCAGCCAATAGCAGGGCATCATGGGACTTGTAGTTTTTCAGTGAGAGGCATTGGACAAGGGTGCCTGGAAGTCCACTGATCCTGGGGGGAGGCTTGAGGTTGGGGGGGGAGGGCGGTGGTGTTGCTAAGCCAGGAAGGTCAGAGCACAGGCTGTAGACTTGGCTCCCAGAGGCAGGGTTCAGCAGGCTGCTTGGCCAGACCGGGCCCTTCCCTGTGGCTTTATCCTGCCAGGGCCCCCACCCCTCAGAGTGGTTTGGTCTACCTCCCTCTGGGGCCCACAGCTCAAAGTGGGCCTCCTGCCCCGTTCTGCAGTGGTGTGGCCCAACTGCCAGAGGCCCGCTGGCCCCAGCATCTCTGTCCTTCCCCCGCCCAGCCCCCACTGTGGTTAGGCCTGGTGTTCACCAAGTTCCTGTCTTTGGCCATCCCCGGTGGCTGAGGGCACTGTGCAGACCTGCCGCTGCTGAGCCCCATCCCTTCACATGGCTAGTGTGGCCGCGGCACGTAGGACACACCGAGCTGTCCCTGGGCGCCTCAGAAACCATAGTCTCAGAGAGGTGAAGATGCCCGGCAAGTGCCTCTGACCCCTGGCCCAGGAGCCTCCCCCGACCTGGCCAGGCTCACAACACTCAGTTCTTTCATACCCACTCGGCAGGGCGACCAGGCTTTGCTCCCGTTTCACAGATCAGGGTGCAGAGGCCCAGAGGATTAAAGATGTCTGCCTAGGGGGACGCAGCAAGGACAGAAAGCCGGGTCTCCTGACTCGCAGGCCTCTGCATCTGTCGCCTCCCTGGGTGAAGGCAGTGGTCTGTCCCTTCTGGCCCTGAGTCTACGCTGTCTGCCCTCAGGATCTAGAGAAGGCTGTGGTGCGGGGCCAGGAGCTGGGGGCCCGCTTGGAGCGGCTGCAGAATGAGCTGGAGCAGGCGACGCTGGAGCGCCAGGAGTTTCTGCGGGAACAGGAGCTGCAGCACCAGAGGTGGGGACGTTGTCCGGGAGGCAGAGAGGGCCAGGCGCAGGCTCGAGTCGAGGTAGATGTCCAAGCTTCTCCCGCCAGGTACGAGGGTCTGGAGCAGCGACTGAAAACGGAGCTGCAGGCCGTGGCCACCAGCAAGGAAGAGGCGCTGATGGAGCTCAAGAAGAGGGCCCTGCAGCTGGAAGAAGAGCTGTTCCAGGTGAGGCTTTAGCCCTGGGCGCCGAGGGCCTTGCCCCTCCCCTCCCTCCATCCTGATGCAGAAGAACAAGGCTGCATGGGCTCCCGTCCTCCAGGGTCCCCCGGCCTTGGCACTTGATTCTTGGCCAGGCGTTGCTTGTCTTGTGTCCTGTTCTGGGGCCTGTTGGAAGGAGCACTGTGCTGAGAGTCAAGCTGGCTCTGCAAGGCCGGGTGGTCTTCTGGGGGCCTCGTTTCCCCGTTCCTCAAACAAACAGAACCTGGTGGCTTTGCTCTGAGGTGGCTACTGTGTTTCTTGCTCGCCCCACCCCCCACCTTCTAGTGAGCTCAATGACTATCACTGTCATAAGTCAGCTGTCATTTCTGACATCCCTGAGGCACATGGGCTCAGCGTTGTGATGTGGTGGAGCCAACACCAGGCCACCGTGCTCAGGGAGCGCACAGCCCACCTGGGACAGAGGCAGGAGAACAGGAGACCCTCACATGGTGTCAGGGGCCAGGGGGCACCCAGCAGACTGCCTTGCTGGCGTGTATGGGGTGGGCCGGGGGAGGCTTTCTGGAGAAAGCGACATTGAAATCTGGGCCCGAGGAAGAGCAGCATGTACAGGAGAAGCAGCGGGGCAAGGCCTGTGCTGCAGAACCTCAGGGAAGGTGGGCAGGGCAGGCTGGGGAGTGAGGGAGCTGCGGAACCCGAGTGCAGGGTTGTGGCGCAAGAGGCGACTCCTCTGCAAGGTCCCTGTGCCCTCCCCACACACTGCCAGTCCCCTGTATGACCTCCCGGGGCTTCTCCTTGCAGCTGCGCCAGGGACCCATGGGGCAGGGGCCTGAGGAACACTCGGAGCTGAGGGTCATGGAGGCCCAGAGCGGGCGGCTGGTCGAGGTTGAGCGCAGTGTGAGTGGCAGATCGTGGTGGCCGTGGGGGCTGGGAGGGCTGGGAGGGCTGGGAGGACAGTGGCCTGGCCACTGCTAACTCCCCTCCCCACTGAGCAGAATGCAACACTGGTGGCCGAAAAGGCAGCTCTGCAGGGGCAGCTGCAGCTGCTGGAGGGGCAGCTGGGAAGCCTACAGGGGCGGGCCCAGGAGCTGCTGCTGCAGAGCCAGCGGGCACAGGAGCACAGCAGTCGCCTGCAGGTGGGTGGCGGCTGGGTGCTCATTCCCCAGCCCATGCCTGCCTATTGCCCACTGCCCCTTTTGTGTTGTTCGTTTGACCCTTTCCCCTGTCTCAGCTCCCAGCCAGCTGTCTCTCCCTGTTCCCTAGTCACATATCTGTGCCCCAACCCCAGCCACCTTGTTCTATATTCCTCCTTCCTACCCCTGCCCACCTCCACTTACCCTTCTACCTGCCTCCAGCTCCCACATCTGTGCCTGTGTAGTCCGGTCTCCAGCCTCTTCTTTACAACCAGCCATGAGTTCCAACCTTGGTCCCGGCCTACCCCAGCCCCATCTGTCCTGTCTCTGCCTTGTGCCTCTTGCGCTCCCCTCCACGGCCTGGCACTAGCCGTGACACCTCTCCCTGCTCCTCTCCCTACTCCTCTCCCATTAGCCTCTGCCTCTGTCTCCCTGCTGCGCCCACCCCAGCCCGTGCCGCCTCCGCAGCTTTCTCTCCTGTCCTCTGCCCTGCTCCCCTGCCCTGCTCTCTTACCCCCTTTCTGGCCTGGGGTTCCACCGCTGCGGTGCATGCTCCCACCTCTGTCCTAGGCTGAGAAGTCCGTACTGGAGATGCAGGGCCAGGAGCTGCACAGGAAGCTGGGGGTGCTGGAGGAGGAGGTGCGGGTGGCGCGGCAGTCCCAGGAGGAAACCCGCAGGCAGCAGCAGTCTCTGCTGCAGGACCACGAGTCCCTGGCCCAGCTGCAGCGGCGGCAGGAGGCCGAGCTGGAGGGACTGCTGGCCCGTCACCGAGACCTCAAGGCCAACATGCGGGCACTGGAGCTTGCCCACCGGGAGCTGCAGGGCAGGTGTGTCCCCCCAAACAGCCACTCTCCCTGAGGAAAAACACCACCACCTGGAGCCCCACCGCTGTGCCCCTTCCGGGCACCTGTGTGAACACCTGGCCCAACACGCTGCCCTGTGGCTTTGCCTGCGTTTATTCATAGAAGATGGCAGGCCCCCATGTCCAGACAGTCCAGCTGCCTGCTTGCCCTGACCCCTGGTCCCTGCAGCCCTCTCAGCCCCTGTCCATCACAGGCATGAGCAGCTGCAGGCCCAGAGGGCCAACGTGGAGGCGCAGGAGTTGGCCCTGCTGGCAGAGCGTGAACGCCTGATGCAGGACGGACATCGGCAGCGGGGCCTAGAGGAGGAGCTGCGGAGGCTGCAGAGCGAGCACGACAGGTACCAGCCCTGGCGCAGCCTGTCTCCTCTCGGGCCAGGTCTCAGTGTTTCTCTCTGTGAAGTGGTTTGGTGGTGGGTCAGTCACCGTCCCTGTGGGGTCTTGCTTTGCCCCTCTCGAGCACACACTCCGGGCCTCAGGAGGAGCCTGGGGGACAAGTCCCCCTCTGAGAGCAGCTCTTTTTGCCTCCGCAGGGCTCAGAAGCTGCTGGCAGAGGTGTCCCGGGAGCGGGGTGAGCTGCAGGGTGAACGGGGGGAGCTGCGGAGCCGGCTGGCGCGGCTGGAGCTGGAGCGGGCACAGCTGGAGATGCAGAGCCAGCGGCTGCGAGAGTCCAACCAGCAGCTGGACTTGAGCGCCTGCCGGCTGACCACACAGTGTGAGGTGTGGTGAGGGGCGTGTGGTGGCTGCAGTGGGGTCGGAGGGTGCCGGAGGGCAAGGATGGGCCGGCATGGAAAGGAGCCGCCCTGAGCCCCATTAACCTCCACCCGATCTGCTGCCTGTCCCCAACAGCTGTTGACAGAGCTGCGGAGCGCCCAGGAGGAGGAGAACCGGCAGCTGCTGGCTGAGGTGCAGGCCCTGAGCCGGGAGAACCGGGAGCTCCTGGAGCGCAGCCTGGAGAGCCGGGACCACCTGCACCGAGAGCAGCGCGAGTACCTGTGAGCAGGATGGGGGTGCGACGGGCTGTGGGGAGCCGGAGCTGGTCCTGCAGACCCCTCTGGTTGTTCAGGGGGCGATGCCCAGGAGGCCCCCCAGGGATCTGGGGCAGTGGCAGTGTGTGGCCCCACACAGGAGTGTGTCAGGGTGCTAACACGTGGCAGAGCCGTACCTGCTAGACCCTGAGCCTTGCTCTGGCCAGGGCCTCAAGCGCCACCGCTTGCTGTGTGCTCACTCCCGTTCCCCTCCGTGCCCCCAGGGACCAGCTCAACGCCCTGCGCCGTGAGAAGCAGAAGCTGGTGGAGAAGATCATGGACCAGTACCGTGTGCTGGAGCCTGGGCCCCTGCCCCGGACCAAGTGAGTGGCCCCTTCACCCCCTAGGCTGGGGTCCTCCCAACCTGGACCCTGCCTGCCCTCTGACCCCCGGCCCAGCTCAGGCCCAGGCCCAGTGAGGGTTTGCCTGGCCTTTGTATCCCCAACATGACCCTCTTGCCCTCATCTCCTGGGCCTCACTCCCTCTTGTGCCCTCTTGCCCCCAGGAAGGGCAGCTGGCTGGCAGACAAGGTGAAGAGGCTGATGCGGCCCCGGCGGGAGGGGGGCCCCCATGGGGGGCCACGCCTTTGGGCCGATGGGGCTGGCAGCACCGAGAACCTGGGGGGCCCCCCAGAGCCGGAGCTCTCCGAGGGCAGGGAGGCAGATGGGACAGGTGGGTCTGGGGCAGGGGACCGGGTTGGTCCCTACCCCATGTCCTTTATCCCCATCCTGGCTCCTGCCAATGCCTCTGGTCTCCTGCTTCCTGTGTGTCTCATACATGTGCCCCGCTGACCTTCCCCGCTGACCGTCTGGCGCTCCCCAGATGGATCCAGTGGTGCTTTGCTCTGTGTCCCTGCTGCGTCCCTGTCATCTGGCACCTCCCTCCTGCCTGTGCCACCACCCACCCAGTCCTACCCATCCACAGCGGTGCCTGGGCCCTCGGAGCGGCAGGGGGCTTTAGTGAGAGGTCATTCATTCCAGTCAGCAGACGAGGAAACCGAGGCCCGGGGAGGGGCAGCGCCTTGCCCAAGGTCACAGAGTGAGTTAGTGTCAGCGCCAGCACAGGGTCCTGCCTCCCGTCACCTCCCTCATTTACCCAGGCCCTGTCCCCCCCCTGCAGCCGCCTCCCCCTGCCCCTGTGCAGCTTTACACCCCCCCCCCCCCGCCTCGCACTGCCCGGGCGCCCCCTGCACTGCTCTGATGCCCCCATGCCTGTGCCCCCTGCAGGGTCCCCTTCACCGGCACCCATGCGCCGGGCCCAAAGTTCCCTCTGCCTGCGGGATGAGACTCTGGCAGGTGTGCAGCGGCGGAAGCTCAGCTCCCGGTTCCCGGTGGGGCGAAGCTCTGAGTCGTTCAGCCCCGGGGACACCCCCCGGCAGCGATTCCGACGGCGCCCACTGGGGCCACTCAGCTCCCCTGGCAAAGGTGAGGGACAGGGTCCTTGCTCATTAGCCCCCGGCTCCCTGTGGAGCCACCGACTCCTTGGGAAAGGGGGGTGCCCCGCCCGCCTCTGTCCTGGGCCCTGTGGCCCAGCAGCTGCTCTGTGCCCCCTCAGGCCCTGGAGTGCGATGGAATGGCTCCGTCGAGACCCTGGCGGAACATGAAGCAGATGCCGGTGGAGAGGGTGAGCGGGGTATGTGCCCTGTGCGTGCGTGCGGCTCTGGCCACGCTCCTTCTTCCGTTCCCTCGCTCGACAGTGAGTCTTTACTGAGGGCCAGGCGACGAGCTGGCAGGGGGACAGCGGGGGACGTTGTGGTGTGGAAGGCAGACAGTACACCCTGCGCGTAAACACAATAATTGTCTGTGACAGCCCCGGAGAAGGAAGATGTGAGCTACATGTGTAATGTGAAATTTTTAGTGGCCCCATCGAAGACAGGTAAAAAGAGACGGGCAAAGTTAATTCTAATAACATGTTTTATTTAACTCCATAAGCCTGAATCGTTACCATTTCAACATGCCGCCTGTGTGGAAAAGTCAGTCATAAGATATTTCGTATTATTTTCTCATACCGAGTCTTTCAAGTGCAGTGGTATTTCACACTCCAGCACTTCGCGGCTCAGGCCGGCCCCGTCTCCCGTGCTCAGTCTGTATCAGGAGGTGGCGATGTCCTGGGAAAGCGGGAGAGCAGGGTGAGGGAGGTCAGAAGCGCTGGGTGGGTGGGTTGCAGCTTTAATTAGGGTGCTCTGGGGAGGTGAAGTCGGAGCAAAGACCAGGAGGGGAGAGTGTTGTGTTGACGTGTCTGGCGAACGGCATTCCAGGTGCAGGGAATGGAGGGGCAAAGGCCTGGCCAGGTGGCCGCTGGGATGAGGTGGGGAGAGCTGAGAGGTTAGAGAGGTGGATGGTGGGCAGGAGATGCAGGGCCCTGTGGGTCAAGTCCACTGCTGGGAGCCCCCCCACTCAGGGCAGTGGGCCTGAGCCGAGCCTTTCCCTCCAGGCCTCACGGTACAGGAGCCGGAGAAGAAACCTCTCGCCCCTTCCCTCAGCCAGTGACACGGAGTGGCCCGGGAGCTTGGGAGTGCAGTGCCCTCGCCGCTGGAGTCCCAGTAGGGGCCCCAGGCAGCCCAAGAATTTGGGGAGCCAGGGCCTTGGGGGCAAGTCCTGGGACAAGGAGGCCTGGGACCCTGGGTCCTCAGTGGCTGGCACCGGGACCCTGAGATGGAGCAGGGATGAGCCTGTGAGCAGCAGGGACGGCGGGCCCCCACGAGCCACACCCGGCCTGGGCTCCGGCCCTGCCCCGAGGCCCTGGCCTAGGAGGCGGTTTCTGGAGGACGACCCCGGTGGCAGAGGCAGGCAGGAGTGGACAAGAGAGCCCCCTCCCCGGTCCAGGCCAGGAGCCAAGGGCTATTCCCCGGGGACTGTGGCCTGGACTTATCTCTGAGCCTTAGCTGGACAGAAGTAACAATAAAGCTGGGTTACAACCACCCGAGTCTGCGCAGTCTGTGTCTGCCAGTTGCATCCAGAGCCTCAAGGCGCCAGGGTCACCTGTGGCCAGGAGTCTTCTGCCGGTGGGGTCCGGGGCCACTGTCTTCCTTCCTGGGCACAGGGCAGGGCTTTCCTGGGGCGGGGGGGCAGTGGGGCTTGCCTGGGTGTCCCAGTGGGGTGGGGAGAGGAGCAGGGGTCCGAGCAGCCAGAAGTGGATGGGGCCTGAATTTGGGCTCAGACTTTGCTTATCAGGGGGGTCTGGGCTCTGGGGTGGAGGAGGTGAACCCCAGAGGCCCTGCCCTCCCTTCGCTGGCACCCTCTCCTTTCACTTTTTCCTGTCTCCTTACCATTTGGGTCCCTATCCATTTCCTGTCCCCATCCCTTTGGGCTTGGGCCCCTGCCCAGGGAGCTCACAGCCTGGTGACTGTCACCTAGTGCTGAGGCTGTCATGGACGGATATAGGAGTGGTAAGGACACGGCCTCTGGGACGACATCCAGGAAAGGGGCAATTAGGCTGGGTGGCAGGATGTGAGTCAAGGCACCTGGGGCTGCCCCAGCTAGGGCGGGGCTTCCCAGGCCAGGGCGGGGCTGCCCAGGCCAGGTTGAGGCGGCCTGAACCTGGGGGCAGGCAGAGCAGGGAGGGGGCCAGACCAGCCTCCCCAGGGCGACCAGCAGCCTCCTGACTTGGGTTTCCGCAGCCCCTGGGGGAAAACCGACTGCTCTGCCCGCCTCCTCTTAGCTCCAGTTACAGAGGTTGATGGGGTGGGAGTGAACCCCTCACCTCCAGCTGCAATCCCCTCCTATAGGCCTCGGGATGGGGGTTTGATGGCTGCCCCACCCTGTTGGTGGCCCCTGTCAGGTGTCAGGGAGTAGGACGAAGCGCTGGAGGACAGGCCAGCCAGGGCTGTGGGCCTGAAGGTGGAGGAGGCCACCCTTGTGTGGCTCTTTTTGAGGCCTACTGTGGGCTATGCATGCTATGGGTGCCTACTGAGCCAGGCTTGGGGGCGGCGGGGGCAGGACCATGTGAGGGGTGTGTGGCGCTGGGTGGGCTGTGCAGGGTGGCCGGGGCCTGGGGTGCTTTTGTAGGTCAGCTAGGAAGAGATTCCATCTCTCCCTGCTGCCCTGTGGGGCTTGGCTCCAGCACCCTCTCAGCGCCCCCTGTAGGTGCTCCCTGGGCAGGGGGAGTCCAGGGACAGGGCTTTGGTCCGCAGGGCGCCTGAGCTCCTAGACACCAACCCCCCACCTGTTCTGAAGGCTCTTTCCCAGGAGAGAGGTCCCAGTTGGGCTGTGTGGCTTCCAGGACTCAAACACCCTCTTAGGCTGCACCAAGGGCGGTGGGCCACCTTGAGTGACAGGGGCTGGACTGGCCCTGTGCTGGTAGCCACTGGACAAGGACAGTGGTATGGCCTCAGGTTGCAGATCTGTCAAGGGGACTTTGAAGCCCTCCCCTCTTTGCAGCCTTCAAGGAGGGATCACAAAAAGATGGTGAGCTCTGAATTTTATGAAACCCCTCCCTTTCACTGGTGGCTAAGAATTAGGTGCTGGGCTGCCCTTAGGGAGGGCGCCCTGGGAGAGAAGGCTCCAGAGCACCTGCGTGGCCCCCCCTGGGGTACAGGCTCCTCTGAGTCTCAGCGCCACTGGCTTCAGCAGGCATCCCAGGGGCAGACACCTGGCTTGGGAGTGACTGCCCAGCTGGGGCTGGATGCTGTCCACGGACCCCAGACATGGCTCCTGAAGGGTGTTCCAAAGCCTTCGGGAGTGTTGTGCAGTCCACCCTGTGTACCCGCGAGCAACCGCAGGTCCCTGCCCACCCACTCGCAGACGCGCTGTCACGTTCCAGCGTCTGACTCAGTCTGCGCGGGGCGGGGAGCTGGGGGAGCTGGGAGGCGGTGCCGGCGCCCGACTCGACCTGGAGGCGGCACCAGGAAGCACCCGCCCCGGCCGGAGCCGCCATGTAACCGGCGCCGCCCGGAGCTGAGCAGCGCGGGCCCCAGCTACCAGCCCACCATGGGGGACGAGGAAGAGGACGAGGGCTGCGCGGTGGAGCTGCAGATCACTGAAGGTGGGGCAGGGGCAACCAGAGACTGCAGGGAGGGGTGCCGGCAGCCCGGGCCGCAGGGAGGGGTCATGCACCGGCTGGGCTCATTTGCCCCCTGTGCCCACAGCCAACCTGACCGGGCATGAGGAGAAGGTGAGCGTGGAGAACTTCGAGCTGCTCAAGGTGCTGGGCACGGGAGGTGAGGACCCCCACCCACCAGGCAGATGTCCCACGCACCGTGCCCTGGGCCTCCTGCTGGCACACCCGCCTGGTTCTGAGCCAGGCAACAGGCAATGCCCCCCACCCTTTCCTGGCACACCCAGCCTTGACAGCCCCACCCTGCCCTGCCACAGTTTGCATGCCCACTCTTGAGGCTGCTTCTCCCCATAAGGGCCTCCTAGATTTGTCAATACCCTTGGGGGCTTGCAGCCCTCCCAGGCGATTTGCACAGCTCCTCTCCTTGGTCTGATATGACAGCCCTCTCCCCCGCTTTGCAAACTCCAAGCTCAGGTTTGCACATCCCTCCCCTGTCTGCATGCACCTCTGCCTCCCTTCCTTGGATTTGCATCCAGTCTGTCTGATCTTGCACAGGTTCCCAGGTACCCCCCCCCCTTGCACTGCAGGCCTCATGGAGTTGCATGCCCCCCAGCCTGGTTTGCACACCCCCTCCCTGGTTTTGCTGAGCACCCTCTTGGTGCTGTGCACACCATTCCTTCGAAAGCTCTGCCAACTTTTTGCACACCTTCCTCTCACTCCAGCTCCTCTCATCAATTTGTACAGCCTCCTGGGTTGGCGTCACGCCCACACCCACCAGTCTGCACCCCCCTCCTGCTCACTGCCTACTCTCTGCCCACTCCTTGCTTCCACAGCTTACGGGAAAGTGTTCCTGGTGCGGAAGGCAGGCGGGCACGACTCGGGGAAGCTGTACGCCATGAAGGTGCTCCGCAAGGCTGCGCTGGTGCAGCGCGCCAAGACGCGGGAGCACACCCGCACCGAGCGCTCGGTGCTGGAGCTGGTGCGCCAGGCGCCCTTCCTGGTCACACTGCACTATGCTTTCCAGACCAACGCCAAGCTGCACCTCATCCTGGGTAAGGGCAGGCACCTGCCAAGCTGGGGGGCCGGGAAGCCACTGGGGCCACCCACGGGGGGTGCTTCCAACCTTCACTCTGCTTCCCAGACTATGTGAATGGTGGCGAGATGTTCACCCACCTCTACCAGCGCCAGCACTTCAAGGAGGCCGAGGTGCGCGTGTATGCGGGTGAGATTGTGCTGGCGCTCGAACACCTGCACCAGGTGGGTGAGGGCCTGACCACACGCCTGTTGCTGTGGGTACTGGCCTGGGCCTTCTTCAGGGTCTCTCTCCCTGGGTTTCCTGGGGGTCATGGGGACTGCAGCTGCTTTACTCAGTAGGGTCAGCCTGGTGGGGTCTCCTCCCCTAGTGCCTCCTTCAAGGAGCCTTCCTCTTGGGGAGCTTGGGGCTGCCTCCTGGGGCAGTGTTCACAGAACTTGCTCAAATGGAGACCTCATGCCCCGGCTTCCAAAGCCTTTTTGAAATGGGGCTCTTCACACAGGCTTTCCTCTCTCTGGGACTTTGGGGTCTGTTCCCTGGGGAGTCCGCCATGGGGCTCTCCTTCCTTGCTTTTGCCTCTTAAATGGCCTTTCCTGTCCAGTGGCTCAGTCTGCTCCGGGCCCACTCCTGCCCTGGAGATCCCTGTGTCCTGAGCGGCGAGCAGGGGGCCTGAGGGTGCTGGGGGAGGGGTCCTCAGAGCCCCTCTTGCTCCTGCCAGCTGGGCATCATCTACCGGGACCTGAAGCTGGAGAATGTGCTGCTTGACTCTGAGGGCCACATCGTCCTCACGGACTTCGGGCTTAGCAAGGAGTTCCTGACAGAGGAGGTGAGTGGAGGCACCCTCGGCATTCTGCACCCCCCCAAGTCATCTTCTTTCTGTCTCCTCCTCCTCCAAGCCTGGCTCTGTGTGTTTCTCGGGGTGCAGCGGTAAATAGCCCCAGGCCCTGTGTTCCTGAAGCTCCCGCAGTGAGTCCTCCGCAGAGCCTTGGGAGCCGCTGGGTGACCAAAATGGGTCCTCTTGCCCTCCCCGCAGAAAGAGCGAACCTTCTCCTTCTGTGGCACCATCGAGTACATGGCCCCCGAAATCATCCGCAGCAAGTCGGGGCACGGCAAGGTGGGTGCGCAGGGGAGTGGGGGGCGGTGGCAGGGTGGGGCCCAGGTGACCGTAGGCCTTCACCTCGGCTCGGCCCTGGCAGGCCGTGGACTGGTGGAGCCTGGGCATCCTGATCTTCGAGCTGCTGACGGGGGCCTCGCCCTTCACACTGGAGGGTGAGAGGAACACACAGGCGGAGGTGTCCCGGTGAGTGGGGCTGGATGCGGAGGGCAGCTGCAGTGGCCGGGCAGGGCTGTGGGGGGGCTCACTGCCCCTGACGCCCCCCAAATCCTCCCAGACGGATCCTGAAGTGCTCCCCTCCCTTCCCCCCTCGGATCGGGCCCGTGGCGCAGGACCTGCTGCAGCGGCTACTTTGCAAGGACCCCAAGAAGCGGCTGGGTGCAGGGCCTCAGGGGGCGCAGGAAGTCAAGAGCCACCCCTTCTTCCAGGTGAGGCCTCTGAGCTGC